AAATTTGATTTTATGCAAGTTGCCGTTGCTGTACTTATTGAAAATGTCCCAACTAGGGAAGTGTTAATCACAAAAAGAGCCAAACACATGAGGGCGTTCCCAAATACCTACGTTGTGCCTGGAGGGTCTGTCGAACAGCAAGATGAATCTATTTATCATGCTGCTGTCAGAGAAACGTTTGAAGAGACAGGAATTCAAATAGATTGTAATTGTTTAACACCGATTTATTTGTGGGAAAGCGCCTTTCCTACATCCATTGACCAAGGAATTCCATCTAGACATCATTTAATTATTTATTTACATGCAAAAGTCAACTTATTTACTGAAAATGCATCAAAAGAGGAAAAATATGAGAAAATTTTGAAACTCCAGAAAGAGGAAGTTGAATCTGCCAGTTGGATTGGAGCTGACGTGGTTTCCAAAATTGTACAGCATATTGAAGGTGGAAGAGAAATGACCCAAAAATTGAAACAATCTATTGAAGGAAAGACTTTTGAAGTTTTTGACGTACATGGAAACTATTCAACAAGTCCTCTTGATGTTCTATTTAACCCAGATAATACCATTGGATATGAGAGGTTGACAACAGGAACTAGATTTCTATTGAGGAGGTGGTATCACATTAGGACCCATGAATGACGTCGATGTTTGTAAATATCTGTTGTACATTGAATCCATTGGTTGAGCATATCATTTATTTACTAGTCTTGAAAATTACTAAACTTCTACTCGATGAACATTGAATAAATAGTTAGCCATGTAGGCTGCCTCATTCTCAGAAGATGGAACGTAGAACGATTCTGGTGAAACAATTTGAGAGGCCTTTGTTCTCAATTCCATTGAGCTCAAATTTGTGCCTACCACAATAACAGGTCCTTTGCTAGCTTCTTGTTTGATGGAACTTGAATTTTCTGATTTATCAAACAGAATATCAATTTCAGGTTTGGAAAACTTGTGTTCTTTGGTCTGATATATTTCTGTAATAATTTGAGGGATAAATTGCTCGGCGTCGTTATAACGTCCAGGAAGGAACATGATTACGTTGGAGGGAACATCTTCCCTCTTTCTGGTTGGAGGCACTGGGCAAGTTTTTTCGTTTTGATTTTCTTCCTCAGCGGTAATACCAATGTCCAACGTGTGCAAAGGTTTCATCCAATCTGTAATTTTAAACTTGCTTGAAACAAACTTAAAGTTATTAACTTGGGGAGTAAAGTCGTGAACAACGTTCCAATGATTATTGTAAACAGATAGATCCGCTTCATGGAATTGTTGAGCTAGCCCAATATAGTTGGAGGCAAAGCAACTGAATGATATGTCCGACGAGGACTCAATGACTGGTCTTGTTGAACAAAACATACTCAGCTCCAAATTTTTGCAATCTCTTGTTCTGAATTGTTGACAAGCAACAATCATTTTAACATTGGTGCTAGTTCTAATGAAAATACTTCCAGAACAAGGGCCAATAAAGAATCTACAATTTTCGCAGCTATCAATAAATATTTGAGATGAGTTGTCCAATAAGTAGAAATCGCAATTCGTGCACTTGTCAATGTTCATGGCTTGTCCAAGAATTTCGCTGTATCATAACATCAAGTTATTACGAGGAACAAGTTGCACGTGATATTTAAAACTCACCCTGGTCTTCTAATAATGACTCTATCCTGAAATCCGCTCAACAAAAAGTCTTCTGCCTTCAATTTTGAGAAATCAATTTCTTTCTTTTCCTTACTCTTTTGTCCCAAGTAACTCCAAGTGTATTGTTGAGGAGAATGACTTTGCTTTTTACTTTCGGCACTTGTTTGGTTTGATTGAGCAATATTCTCATATCCTGCCGATTTTGCTCCGGTGGTGTTATTCGACGAGTTTTGCTTGCTGTAGAGACAACCCATGATGAAATGTATTGTGATTTTTTTTTGTACTTTAAAACAATTGTTTTGGCGGTTCTTCGCATCATGATGATGTCACATGGCGCTAAATGAACAACGCTTTGAGCGTTTCACATGAACGGTTCAACAACTTACTTTGGAAGATCTTTCCATGACGCCAAATTTTTTGGCGTTGTGCTTGATTCAACAGACCAGAATCAAGCTTGCAAAATTTTCCACATTTTTTAAAAAACAGTGCAGCTCCATAATTCGAGTGTTTTTACTTTTTAAAAATGTCACAACAACCCTCACCCACACCAACCGATAACAACTCCTCCACACGAAAGAAGTTCATCATCTTTGACATGGGTGGTGTATTGATCTCCACAGATTTCAATAATTGTCTTAAAACTATTTATAATGAGAATCAAACGACTTTTCAACAACATCAACCCAATGCAACGACCGTTGAAGATTTGCTCGAGTTGGTGAAAAAACAATTCTCTCAATATAAAATCGGTGCCATCACAGAGGATCAATTTTGGGGAGTGTTTTTTGAAAAGTACTTCAATCATCAACAATATTATTTACATGGTCAATTAATTACTTTGGAATATCTCAAAGAACAATTCCGAAAAGAATTCATCATTCCATTCTATAATGGTCTTGCTCTCGTGGAAGAAATTCGGGACAAACAAAAGAAGAATCAAACGCAACTCTCGATCGGAATTATGAGTAATCATTCTAAAGAATGGTTTCCATATTGTGTGGAGCGATGGAAGTTGGATACACTTTTCGTTGAGCCTCTGTTGATAGTCAATTCAAGTGATGATGATGTCCAGTGCGGGAAACCAAAATTGAAAATTATGGAACAATTAATGAATAGAATTAAAAAGGCTGGATATGAAGATGCAGTGCCTTCCGATATTGCTTTTATTGATGACAAACAAGCCAATGTGGATGCGGCTATTCAATACGGAATGAAAGGTATTTGTTGGCATGGAAAGAAGCAGCACTTGAATGAATTGATTCAAGCATTACAAAAGATTGGTTTCCTTTATTAATTAGAGCAGATCACATTGAGTTTTGGAAGAGTTTACAACACTGTCTCCACAGTTTACGTACATTCTTTGATCACTACTGAGCTAAATATCTCTTAAATCAATCACGCCCTATTAAACGCCTTATTCATTCTGATGATGAGATGTATCGAATCGATGCGTGACGGCCTAGAAAGGTCAATTCTACTCCCAGAGATGATAGAACCAGAAAGATGTGTACATTGGACGAAAGAGAGCTCTGTCATCGGAACGAAACACATGCTTCTACGAGATATCTCTGAAAGTCAATAACAAACAAACGATCATGAGTCAAGAAGACTCCAACAATAACACGGCACGCTCTTCTTCCAACAGTAGTAATCACTCACTCCCCATTGATAGTAGTACCACACACATACAAGAGGACCATCCCACTCGCAATGACCTGATAATTGCTGAGCCTCCCACCGCCACTGCCACTCCCAAAGTCTCCTCCAACTGCAATGGTTTGAAAGATACCAATAGAATGGAGTACCCTCATGATGATGGCAATATTCTGCACGAGGTTCAGCCCGAGTCACTCATTCCAACCTCAAACATTGTTCCATCACATAGTGTTATCATGGATATCCATAACGACAACAACAATAATTCAGACATGATGGTTGTTGGAACGAGCCCAATGAGTCCACGCTCTCCTTCTCAGCCCCTTCTCTCTTCCTCGAATTCGAATGCTTGTGATGCTTTATCCACTACAACTACTTCATATTGTACAACTCCTTCTTCCCCCATCCCAAAACACGATCTTGCAATTCAACCAAGCACTTCATCTCGTCCCAAAAGCTCCTCTTCCAATGACGCTCAATCACGATCGTCTTCTGCAGTGGAGAGACGTTTGTCAGCTGCTCGTTTTCTCAAGTTAGAGAAGGATGGTAAAAGTGGGGTGAATCAATCTATTACTTCTCTCAAAACACCCATGTCCTCCAATTCCAAAACCAAGTCAAGAAATAATTTTCGAATTCGAACTTGTTTTGGAATGTTAGAGCTGGGACGAGTGAAATTATGTAACTTGCTTTCTTTGATGGTCAACTTGGTGGCCTTTGTCGTATTGAGTGTCATCATTATTGGTGGTTATATTGGTCAAACAAAAATTCAAGAACTTGTTTCTGGTAATTTGGGCCTCGACACGGAATTGAATCGTGCTGAAATGATCAGTGCGTGTCGGGCAGCTGCTTTTTCAAATTTTAATGCAACGATTGCTGCCAGATATCTAGCATATTACAATTCTACTTACCAGAAATTTATGGCCAATGTTAAGATTATTCTTGATCGAGTGCCTATCGAAATGCAATACAACATTGTGAACAATATTTCCTTTTATGACATGAGAACCGCTAAGGCAATGGCATTAGAGTCAAAGGCTCTTTCATTCGTAAGGAAGAAAAATTACACAGCTGCAATGGATACTTTAGAGTCGGCACAATACAAGAATTATTTGGAAGGATTTAAAGAAGAGTTGCAACCGTTAGTGGAATACGTTTTGGGAAATACAGCTAGACTTCAAGAGTTAACAACGACTACAATGACTGTGTGTTTGGTTGTCATTGTAAGCTCTATTGTAATTGTCATCCCGACTGTCATCGCCTCATTGACAGTCTCTATTAGAAAGGATTCTTCCAATGTCAAAAAGTTGAAGAAAATCAAGACGTATCTTCTGAAAGATACCATGCGAGATCCAAAAACAAGAAACCAATTTAAGAACTTTTGTAAGCAAGAGTTGAGTTTGGACAATTATCACCTATTAGAAAAGGTCAATGATTATAAGGTTTTGTGTGACAAAAGTATTGATATTCAAGTGTACCTATTTGACCAAAGCGACACACTTTCTGATGTTGCTTCAGAACAAAGTGCAACAACTAACGGAAGTACCAATCAACCCAAAAAGAAAAAGAAAAAAGTATATACTGAGAAAGACTTTGTTGCCGTCGAAAAGAAAAAGTATGAAATTGCTTTTGAAATTTTCACAGATTATTTGGATGTTCGAGGTGATAAGTCTGTGAATATTAACAAATCTCTAGCTGACCGAGTGAAACAATGTTTGGATATCTTTGCAACTGGTCAAAGTGAGCAATTGCCAGATAACTTGTTCGAGAATGTGGAATCCGAAATTTGTCTTCTCTTATTGGATACTCACCGCCGATTTATTGCATCCTTAGAATGTCAGAAACAAAACAAGATGGAAGTGCTCGCCAAACTCAAGCTCAGCAAAAAGAGCCAAGTGAATCAACAATAAGAGGACATTGTTGTATCCTAACCATCGCTCCACCTTACTTGAGCTCCAACAGAACTGATGTCATGCATTGTTCAGTGATTGCGTTCAAAAACCTCGCTAAAAACTCTTGGTGTCCGCAAGACCCAGAATGAACCTGTAGATCATAATTTGCACACGAGTTTACTGCGGTTATTATCCAGTAAGATCGTATTCGGAATGTTATCATTAAAGACCTCTCGACAACAAAGTCCTTTGAAATACATCTAAAGTAATGGAATCCTTCGAACGATTGCAATGCAATTATCTATCACAATCCATAAATGGATTTCTTCATTCCTGACAAGACATGCGACTTTATTTTTGTACGAGTCATTTAGAAAAGAGAACCGATTGAGGCTTTACCTACAACATGGTATCCGAAGTCAAAAGTCCATATCCGAGACATGTTTAATACAACATCAAAAAGCCAGCACCATGTAGCTTTCAAACTTAAAAACAAAACGTTCAACAATCCCTAGAGTAACAAGAGGATGAATCACAGCGAAAGTGACAACAGCAACACCAGCCAACAGGCAAATGTGAGTGGCGAATTAGAAATACCACAAGTAGTTACTCAAAATGATAAGCAACAAACGCTTTCTATTGAACCATATGAACCCAAACTTCTTTCTCCAACTAATATCATAAGTAGTTCCATGTCAGATTCTGGAATGAGTACCAACTCGAATCAATCTCAAATTCAACTCGTGATCCATGAAGGTGGCTCATCACTGAAAGTCGTAAGCAGTGCTGATCGATGTTTGAGTGTCAGTGACGAGTCAGGCGATGATCATGTATTAAGAACTGGAGACATTGGATTTAGAGTCGAACCAATTTCTAAACAAGGAGCAGACGACAAGAAGAGCACAGCTGGGCAATCAGCAGCCACTTCAAAGACACCGCGTTCTTCTTCAGTGACTAAGAGTACGTCAGGCGCTATAAGGGTAAAAACATGTTTTGGTGTGCTAGAACTTAGTTGGTTAAAAGTTTTCAGTCTATTATCGTTGACTGTCAACTTGTTAGCATTTCTCACGTTGGCCACATTGATCATTGTTGGTTATGTTGGACAGAATTACTACTCGACAATATTTGATGGATTAGATACGAGCACGTCTTATTATCGACAAATGATGGTTGCTTCATGTAGATCAGCAGTCTTCTCCAATAACAATCCACAAATCACTGCAACCTATGCTGCTAAGTTTTCTAATTACACTAAACAGTTCCTGGCAAACGTTGACGTGATCCTCACCAAAGTTCCAAAGAATTTACACTACTATGTGGCCCATAACATGTCCATCGATGATTTAAGAACGGCCAAGGCATTGGGTATTGAATCTAAGGCTATATCACTTCTAAAGACTGGCAATTATTCAAGTGCCATGTCCTTGTTGGAATCTCCTTACTACAAGTTTTGTCTTGAAGGATATGCTGAAGAATTTCAGCCATTGGTCGATTATGTGTTGGGTATTCAAAACTTTGCAAAAGACTTTAATACTGTGATCATTACCGTTTCTCTCATCGTCATTTTGGTTTCCGTTATTGTAGTAGTACCAACAGTCATTGGTTCCATAGTCATGTCGCTCAAGAAGGACTCCTCAAATAACAAGAAGCTAAAACAAATTAGGGCTCTCATGTTAATGGATACAATGAAAGATACCAAGACACGTAACCAATTCAAGAATTACTGTAAACAAGAATTAAGCTTGGACAACTTCTCACTACTCGATAAGATTAACGATTACAAATTGCTGAGTGAACGAAGCTTTGATATTCAAGTCTATCTTTTTGATACCAGTGAAGGAGCATCAGACATTCTTTCAGAAACAGGCTCATCATCTGCAAGCATGGAGCCAACCAAAAAGAAAAAGAAGAAGGGATTCACCGAAAAGGATTTGAATGAAATTGAAAAGAAAAAGTATGAAATTGCCTTTGAAATTTACACAGATTATTTGGATGTTCATGGTGATAAGTCTGTGAATATTAACAAACAGCTTGCGGACCGAGTGAAACAATGTTTGGATTTCTTTGCAACTGGTCAAAGTGAACATTTACCTGAAAATTTGTTTGAGAATGTGGAATCCGAAATGTGTGTTCTCATGATGGACACATTCCACAGGTTTAAGGCATCCCTCGAGTCTCAAAAACAAAACAAGAAGGAAATACTTTCGAAGTTTAAGAGCAACAAGCACAAGTCTGTAAATCACAAATAAACGAGTCACATAAAACAGTGACTATTCCTTGTTGATGGTTTACTTTCTAATTTCAAGGTTACATAATTCCTTCCAAACAGCATATTGCCCAAGTCGATAGACATTTGACATGCATGACCAATGCTAGAAAACATGCGAAACCAAAAGAAAAATCATTCAACCCTATTTGCTCTTATAATCTAACAGAAACGTCCTTTCATAATCGAGGCCTCGGGTTTAACGCAAAATCCTTCCAAATTCATCAAAACGGTCTCTTTGCCTCAATTTTCCACCCTTTCATTTATTCATTGATTGTTTTTCTCACACACCGATCACGTTTTACGAAGCAAAGAAATTCCATATTGTTCGTTCACACAACAGGCGAGAAACCCACATTTGAAACCATTGAGTGTCATTGCAACATCAAACACAGAAAAGAAAATGGGACAAAATCCTATCAAGAGTTTGAGTAATGAGGAAAATTTTCTTGTTGGCCAAGCGTCAGAGATGTTGTTGAACGGCAAGCCAGCCGGAGACAGCACACAAAATCTTTGTACTATTGGAAAAGTCTATGGAAATTATGAAGTCATTTCAAAGATTGGAGAAGGTAAGAGCTCTTCGGATATGATGAAAGGCTTTCATTGTTTTTTATTATTGAAATGATTCATCGATGAATAATAATTTAATAACGGTATTATGAATTCATACACATGATTTAAATCAATTATAGGCGCCTATGGACAAGGTACGTGATGTGGAATTGATTTGTTTTTGGTAGTCATACTTCCGTTACAATTACAATAATCAATATTTATTGTCCATATGATGATGATATTGACCTACATTCTCATCAATATCTGTTTCTTTCTGCATGAATCATCGTACCGTCCATGAATTTATATCTATAACATGACAACACAGTTTTTAAAGTTATCAGAGTGAATGAAGGAGCTGGATCTAATAACCATCAACGGAGCAGCTCTCGATTCTTTCAAATACCTGCCAGTCCCCTCACCTCTACAAGTCCAAAAGGAAGTGTTGATCCTTCCTCTGTATTCAATAACAACAACAGCAAACAAGAATTCAGAAAATCCACGTTAAGAACCTACTATGCTATGAAAGTGATGGTCATTATGAATGATGAACATTCAGCCTCTACGAATCCTCATAGTCTTTCCAAAATTGAAAATGAAATCAATATTCTTCGATCGTTGGAGCATAAGAACATTTTGAAATATATAGATCAATTTTACTTGAAAGTGGGTATGTAGAACAGTTCATAGAATGGAATTGACAAATTGACATTGTGATCCAAATGATCATGGTCGTACACAGACTTGACTCCAAAAATTAAAAAGGATGCCATAGCTCTTGTATCGGAATATTGTGAAGGAGGAAGTTTGGGAGATATTATTGATTTGAATCAAAGCACTAACATTCCTCTTCGTAAATTGGTTGAGTGGTTTACGAGTATGGTTGATGTGTTATATTATTTCGAACAAAAGGGTGTCATCCATCGTGATATCAAGCCTGGTAATTTATTATTGCAAGGAGGATGTGTAAAATTAGCAGATTTTGGGCTTGGTAAGTTGATCTTGATATTTATTTGGGCTAATGCTCGTGTCACACTTTACGAAATTTGTAGCTAAGACTGTGGAGGAGGCTTCTTCAAACAGAAATCATACAGTGTGTGGAAGGTTTGTACTTTATTTCGTCTAAGTTTATTAATTGCTCGTATAGTCCAATTTATGTTTCACCTGAAGTGATGTTTAGAGCTGGATACAGCTCAAAAGCAGATGTCTATTCGTAAGTACTACCAATTTTACGTTTATTTTGTGTACAAAATTTCACAGACTTGGTGTAACATTCCTTGAAGTATGCTCTGGAGTTTCTCATGATACGTTCAGTGAATACTTCACAACTGAGAAAATTGATTTACAACCCCTTCTTAATCGTGTACAGCTGTCTTCTCTCAAGACTCTATTATCTCTTTGTATACCATCCAATCCAAGCGAAAGAATATCAGTGGAACAACTCCATAGGCATCCAATCATTCAGGCATATCTTTATCTTTTATATGGCAAGCAACCTAAGGATCCAAGTAAGTTATTTCACAAACTTGTAATTAATCTGCTTTTTTTTAGGAAATCTTACATTTATTGGAGTGATTATTGGATCTATTGAGTTAATTTATAAATCAAGAGAAATACACATGAACGCTGCTCTATGCAACGCTATTAAATTAATTAATGATGTATTACCAAACCAGACAATCCTCGATTCCATCTACGAAGGCGAGCATACAAACTTTGTGGGAATTATTTTAAAGATGGGTACAGTATGGAGCACTTATGATAACTCTGATTTGGAGGTTGCTTGTGAAAACTTTTTGAAAAAATATATGGAGTCTGGTTATCTCTACAAGCAACATTTAGCAGAGGAAATTGTTACAATGTACTATGATTCGGATGTTCCACAAGAACGTCTGGATTGGTTTTTAGAAACACATTTACTGCAGCACGTGGATGGAGAAATGGTTTCCATGATTCTTGAAACTGTGAAAAATGCAGAAGGAAAGATACGACCAAATGTTGCCAAGCAACTTGAGGAAAGACTTGCAAAATTGGAAGTTAAACAAGAACTAGACGTTATTGACGAAATTTAAAAACTTATAAGAATTTATGGAAAAATTTTGAAACTAAAAAGTGAGATACTCGTCCAATTCGCCTTTCTGGGACAGCAAAGGTTGCCTTGGTGACAAGTTTAGAATAGGTCTGAAGATTTTGACGTTCTTCTTCCATTCTCTTCATTAGTTTTTCATCTTCCGTTATCAGAATTATTTGAGCTTCGATATCTCGTTCTGTAGATCTACCACCAAAGTTACTGCTTCCAATCATAGTTAAAAAGGGAGTATTGAATTGCTTATTGGGAGAGTACAGCCACAATCCCTTTGCATGAAAAGTCCACTTTTCTCTCATGTACTCATAGAGCTTAATGGAGCCAAGTTTTTGATTTTTCTCTACAGCCGAATAAAATTCTTGTTCCATTGTATCATAAGCCATTGGAATGTTTTTTGAAATACCTTTGGCCGTGAAAAATCCATTTGCTGGTGGAGAGGCCGTCAAAATTGCAATATCTTTACATGGAGAAGTCAATACATCCGTCATGTACTCTTTTGTAAAATTGAAATAGGCAGATGTGAAGGCGAGAGAGGAGTTTTCAACAGCAGCACCGATAATGCCACTAATTAAAAATTGTTCGTGCCTCACATTCACCTGGCCCATTTGAATGGTGGGAAACACCCATGTATTTGTGACTTTGTTGGAAAGGTTGTTGGACCACCGTTGATTGAAAAAGTATTGTCTAATAGCATGTTCGGCAAATAATCTAAATTCCTTGTTGTTCTGTACAGGATCTGGTGAAGAAATTGTCAAATGACCTTTTTCACACAATCTGTATGAAAAACTTTGAACGGTCTTTACAAGCCCAGTAAAAAAATCAATGACTTGTTTTTCATTCTTAATCAACATGTATCTATCTTGTCTATCTACGAAATACCAATCGCTCAAATTAGCTCCAGAAATAATCATATCGTTATCAAACATGTACAGTTTCATGTGTTGCACACCTATAATCTCGTTCACACGTGCAGGTAGTACGTTTTTCCAAAATCCAGTCAAATTAGGTGTATGATAAAAAGATACATTCACTCGTTCCTTTCCAAATTTTTTGACAAGACCTTCCAACATGCTCACGCTGCTATCTTTTTTGGTCTCACTGGTTTGTCTGGTTCCTCTCAAATAATCTAATAAAATAACCACTTGTAAATCTTTTTCTCTTTCCAAAGCTTTTTCAAGCTCATCTACAATTTTTTGTTCTTGTGTTCCTGTACCCAAATACAAACTACTCAACACCACTCGTTCCCGTGCATTCTGAATACCATCAATCAATCCATCATAAAACTTGGATGGTGTATCTATGATAGAAACATGATCTGGATCAATGGGAAAACACGGAGCATGTTTTGATATCATTTCATGAATGGTCTTGATGTATGGATCTCGGAAGGAGTAAAATCCTTCTCCATCATCACCTCTATTCATTTTTTAAAAAGATTGATGGATTGGGAAGAGATGGTTGATGATCAAGAATTAAAAAATGAACCCGATGTATCGAAATTTACCATTATTGTGATTTTCCAAAAAGTGCGAAAAAAAAGAGGGGAGTCAAATTTCCACCCCACCCGACCACCTTTCAACCGTTCAACCAACACGTTGAAATGAAATGATCTATTTTAGGTTTTGTAAAAAGTATCAAAGAAAGGAAGGGTAGTTTCAACAATAAGTCCACCCAAAAAAAAAATTCCACTCACAGCAACATGTTGCACAATACAATCACCCCAACAACAATCGAATACGAAGACACGGTCGAAATTGATCCTGTTTTTGATGAAGAAGTATATGATACAAACTCCGAAGATGAATTTGATGACGATAAGCTTGGTTTGCTCACTGATGTATGTAATTCTATTTCTAAGCCATCAAATGTAGGAGATAATTATTTACAAATTGATGGTAAAATTATCAATTTGAAAGAAAATGAATATATAATTCCGAGAGGAAATGTTCACAAAGTAACAACTAATCAGCAGCAATTGAGATTTAATAATTATTTCTACAGCAAGCACAAAACATTTGCGCACTGTATTACCTATAAGTGCAATCTTTATAAATCCAGAAAATGTTCTGCGAGAATAAGATATTATCCTGATATTGATACATACATACACGTTGCATCACACAGTGATCATGCTCCACCTCATATTGAAAAAAGTCAACCTCAAAAGATTTCGGAGGAACGAAGAAAGGAATTATTTGAATACATCAAAGCAAACACAAATATAAGATCTAGTCAACAAATTGCAGAAAATTTAAACAAAAAGTTATCAAAAGAAGAACTAAGAGATCACCGATTGATAATCACCAAAGAGGATGTTAAAGAAATGAAAAAAAAATTCTACACTGAAAGGATTGAATGTTTACAAGATTTGTACACCAGACAAGATCTATCATGTACTAAATCTCAAGATCAATTTGTAAGATGGGTACAAGGTTTTCCACATTTCCTTCTTATTTATGGATCCAATTACCAAATTAATATCTTAAAAGAAGTGACTGAGGAAGATCAAATCTATGTTGATGGAACTTTTGACGTGTGTCCTAAAGGTTGCGAGCAAATGATTACTATTCATGTAAGGAAAAAGGGAATGGATGCGGCTGTTCCTGTTTTATTTATTTTCGCACAAGCTAAGTCAGAAATATTCTATACATATTTGTGGATGGTGATTGCAAATTTAATTGTACCTGAATTATTGCAAGTTCGAAAATTATTTGTTGCTTGTGATTTTGAGCAAGCTATGCACAAAGCTCTTAGAATTATTTTCCCAGATGTAGAAATTGTTGGATGTCAGTTCCATCTCTTGCAAGCAGTGTCAAGATGGATAAGAAGAGAACTACCTGCGAACAATCCACTGAGAAATAGAGAACTTCTTAAGACCTTTAAATCAGAACTAAAAGACCTTGCACGAACTAAAATGACTGAACAAATGTTCAACATCAAAAAGGAGGAATTTTTAGCAACATGGAGAAGTGTTGCAGGTGAAAAGTTGTGGAGGTATCTTGTTAGAAATTGGTTTGGAGATTTGTCCACTAATGCACTATTTGCTCCAAATATTTGGGCTCTTACATTCAAATCAAGAATACAAGATTTAGATTTGACAAATAATCAAGCTGAAATATTTCATTCTCGTTTAAATTTAAAATTTGCAAGCAAACCTGGACTAAAAAGATCAGTGAATATTCTACAAGAACTTGAATTTGAAATAACTAATAATGAAATTGCTAACAAACAAAAGAAATTGACTACAACTCTAGCACTTCCTGACAATTCTATCAACAACGTCAAAAAGAGAACCAACCCTTTCGGTGGCTTGCAACTGGTTAATAATGATAAGTCCAAGAGAAAGAAAATCACATTTTCAAATATCTCTAACACAGATCCTAACACACCATCTACAGCACTTGCTACAACCAACATTTCAAAGAGTCAACCTATTAGAAATATTACACTTCAGAATGAACCTCTTTCACTTCCCCCACCTGAATCATCCAACACAAATCAAGGTCAAAATTCATCATATCCAAATATTACTCAAAACACATCCAATACCAGTTTGATTTTCGATATGTATAACCCTAACCAGCCAAAGAAAAGAGGAAGAAAACCAAAATCAACGCCAAACCAACCTTCTCAATCTTCCCCAACACCAAATCAAACTTCATCAATTAATATGACAACTATTCCTGCATTACTTCCACCTTTACAGCAGCCTCTACTTCCTCAATACCCACCATATCCTCCATATTCATTTACTCCTCAATTTCCTCCATTCATTCCAACCAACAATATTTATAATCAAACAACATTGAATTACCAAACTAACGCAACAATAGCTCCTCCAGGTATATTAAGATGAAAATGGTAAATTGTAAAGAGGATGGAAATTGTCGTAATTTCGAGTTGTATTTATTTATATAAACACTAAATTGTCATTTCAATGTTCAAATTGAAGAGTGAACAGGTGGTTGGGTGGAGTGGAAATTAAACTCCCCTCAAAAAAAATCGAGTAAAATCGAAAACGACTTGCTCAAATTCGGTCAACCCTCATTTTTTGGACGTTTCGTCGATTTTTTATTCGCACTTTTTCGAAAATCACAATACACCTATCGGAAAAGATGAACAATAACTTGTCCAAAATCTCATTGATTGATATTGTTTCATGTAATGAGTATTTCAGAACAGAGGCTGTTTTATGTCAAATTGATATCGAGAAGGGTATTGAGCCTCTTGCAACAAAAAGACTGAATAATTATATTCATCAATTCATGTTATATTTATTGGTGAATAGTTGCCCATTAGTGACTATCAAAGAGACAGAAAATGATTATTTAAAAAATTTGATCATCGGATATGCTTGTGATAGACTTAAATATTTAAGGGCAAAGTACACCAACACTCCCATTTATAGACATGAAAGAGACACAGAGATTTTTTCAGTAATTAGTTCTGATGATTGGCTGAGCGTTACTGGAGAAGAAATAGAAGAGGCTGATGAGCCTACTTTGAAGAAATCAAAGATGACAGCTCACTTGTATACAATGGAAAGCTTTTTTAAATCTCTTGTTTTTAAGAATTTTCCTGGAAATATTGTCAATTACATGTACAAAGATATTTGTAAGCAATTACAATTAGCAAGACAAGAAATATTGGAAAATCAATGGGCTTCCGTTTACTTGACATTTTCTCCAGTAGAAATGAGCTTATTGATTAATTCATTCTTTGACGTACATTTAGAAATACTGGAGGACGAGCCAAACCTTACAAACCTAGATGCGTGTTTATATCTTCTATCTGTTGGAATGACTACAATCGCGGAATATTTGGTTGCAGAGATGGTAGAGTTGGCATCAATGAAATCCTCCTATCAAAAAGTTTTGTCTATCTCTGAGTTCATGTCATGCTGTTATGACGACGAACTCTGTCAGGTAATCAATTGTGGGAGTCTTGTTTATTTCCCTACAGCATTTATATCATCACGAGATTTCGTTACTTTTTGTGAGGAACGGCCATTTCCAATGATCGACTCGAATCAACATCTTTCTGCATTACCATTCGAGCTACATGAAATAATTCTTCAATTTTTTGATGATTTAGAACAATTGCTAAATATGAGACTGGTGTGCAAGTATTGGAACTACTTAATTGTTACCAGCGACGACATTTGGAAGCACTTGTGCTTTCATTCATTGATAAGACATTCCATGTTTGAGTTTGCCACCTCCACTAGCTTGTCACTTTCAAATTTTAGTTTGGTAGGAAAAGGAAAGCAAATAACCAGCTATTTGGAACTCTTTTTTGTAAGAATTAATCCATGGATTCGAGCTAAAAGTTACTGTATTAGGCCAGATTTCACGGAATTGTGCTTTGGGGGAGCTATCCTTGGAAACGTCGTTGAAGGTGCAGACAATCAAACCATCGAAAAACCTCCAATAGAGTTCCTTAAAGAACTTGAAAAAAGTCTTTACATATCTCTTAATTCAAAAAGCATATACGATCACACACCATCATTCGACGCTTTAACATTTCCCATTGGAAGGTCAAAACTTGGTGGCTTTCCTGAAATTCCAACAGAATGGGAATCATGGTTTTATAATTCCAATATTTGGAGTAACGGTGACACATTCATAGCCCAAATCAACTTTGAAGATATGGACACTCTTGTTTCAGCCAGCGTACTTCCTTCACATGGTATTTTATATCTATTCATAACAGCTAATGATTCTGTTAAAACATACTTTTATGAAGGCGACACGACAAAGCTCAAGCCATGCAACATGGAGAGGATTCCAGACGAAGGGTTCAATTCCATTGGAGATGAATCACATCCTCTAATATTTGAGGATTCAATTTTCTACCACTGTGGGGTTGATGCAATGGATGAAATGATGAATTATGATAACATCTTCTCAATCAATTCGGGCTTACAAGATCCAAATCCCAACTTGTTTTGTTTGCATTTCTGCTATGACCCATGTGAACTTGAATTCACTTTCAATGCTCTTCAATTTAAAAAGAAGGATTTCACTTCCCTTAAACTTACAGATCGCCACTGAATTCAATGGTAGACACTCAACGGAATACTACGTAATTAAATGAGAATGAGGCAACTGAGAACTCCCTCAACAAATTTGTTGGAATCGACAACTCCTAAAAAATGGCTCCTCTCCGATCATCAGGATGTGGTGACCATCGTCGTAGTCCTGAGGTGGTTTTGGTTCGTTCTTCATTGAGTTGGTTGGTGTTTGTTGTTGCAGCGTGTTCCTTGGTCATCTTGAATGAGTCATTGGTGACGGGACATGTGATTCGAGGAGGAGGAGCAGAGCAACGAAATAATGAACGACGACCAACTCTTTCACCACTTTCCAAAACAACAGTTCGAAAAGAATCATCAACAACAGCTTTAAATGATCGTCCGATCATTGGAATATTAGCACAGCCAACGGGTAGCAAAGAGCATGGAGAAAGTTACATTGCTGCTTCGTATGTGAAATGGATTGAAGGCAGTGGTGCAAGAGTCGTTCCAATTCCATACGATTTACCACAACCAATCCTACAATATTTGTTTAATTCGTTGAATGGGTTGTTATTTCCTGGAGGTGTGTTTTTCTGTTGTTTGAATTTTTTTTGTTGACAAATATATATATTTCACACAAATTTGAAATTTTGTAACACCTAAAAGGAGGTACCAATATCAAGCATTCAAAGTATGCAGATGTGTTAAAATTCTTTTTTGAAAAGACGATTGAAGCCAATTCTAGAGGAGAATATTTTCCATTATGGGGCACGTGCTTGGGATTTGAGTCTTTGAATATTTTGGCAGCAGAAAACAATGATGTAGTGAATTATGGATTTGATTCAGAAGATCTGAGCTTGTCTTTGAAATTTGTGAGCGATTTTAAAAATTCGAGATTATTTGGAAGTGCAGCCCCCAATGAGGTTGTAGAAATACTTGCAAAACAAAATGTGACTATGAACAACCATATGGCAGGTGTCACTCCAAATGATTACGATAGAAATGAGAAGCTAAGAAACTTTTTTAAAATATTATCCCTCAATGCAGACAGAAAAGGAAAAGTATTTGTCTCAACAATTGAAAGCTTTAATTTTCCAATTTATGCAACTCAATACCACCCTGAAAAAGTTTATGAATTTAACTATGAGGCCATTGACCATTCTTATGACAGTTTGATTGCAAACGAATACTTTGGAAGATTTTTTGTAAATGAAGCAAGAAAAAGTCAACGAAAGTTCCCAAGTTTCTCGGAAGAACAAAAATATTTGATTTATAACTTTAGTCCAAAATTTACTTTCCCTCACATTAGCAAAGACTTTTTGCAAATTTATTACTTTAATGCAACATCCAACCCTTAGCATGAGCACTCTCGCGATCGACTGATAAAGAATCTATAAACAAAATCATTTTTGAGCTCATCTGTGAGATCAAACTCAGGATTTTCTAATCTTGCTTTTGAAAGATTGAATTCAAAGAGTGCCTGTTTTTTAAGCAATTCTCCTGCTATTTGACCTGAATAGTCATTATTGTGCTTGGCCAGTTCAATAACTTGGCTACCAAGTCTCAATCTCATATTCTTCAACGAATCCATTTGTTGCTCTGGGTCAGTAATTGTCGTTTTAATGGCAACCTCTTCTTTAATACTCTCCACAACAATGTCCAATATTTCTGATCCGCTCATGAGCTCCCTTAGGGTTGATTTGTGACGCTCGTATTGATTAAAGTGCATATTTTTCTCCTCAATACTGCTTGCACCAATACAACGATGCACTACGGATTGGTCAGACCAACCACAATTCACTCTTGTTTCAACTTCGCTAAAAGGAAGTAAGTTTGCTAATAACATCATGTCTTCCGAGTTGTGTTGTAGGTATGTTAGTGACTCTATTGATTTGATTAAATGGCTGTATTCGTTTTGGATGAGAGGATATCGAGCGGATAGAATTTTCAAAGCTCGTAAATCATTTCTAAGATTATCTTCTGGAGTTAGGTACGAATAATAGGTTGCTCTTATAGTACATGCAGTGATGACAGCTTTAGTGACACTGGCTGGGATGAAAGGAAAATGTCGATGCTCTGTCAATTGAATTACATGTCTAGAAACTCGAAGTATTTCTTGAAGGTCTTGAGTTTCTTGATCGCAATTCGTTAAAATGTCTAAACGAAGTTGAGACATCACAAATTCTGTTAGTAGGACGGATAGAACGTCCTTCTTTCCAAAATTGTCCATCGCCAGTCTGACAATGCAATTAAATGCTTCGATGATTGAGAGAAGTTTTTCCGCAGCTTCTCTATTAAGGGACTTGCAAGAAGATATTCCTAAATTCTGCTTTGAAATCGTCATTTGATTTTTTGTAAATATTCCTAGCTCGTCTAAAATAAAGCTCTCTGGGCTGAAAATGTCGGCAATTTTACATGTTTTGTGTTGATGGAAATACTTACTTTTCTATTTCACAATAAAAGAAATCAAAAAAACGAATCTCTGACTCCAATAGATATACAATTAGCCAGTTAGCTTGTCCACTCATCATCAACTTTTCAATGTAATCTGTTCGAGTTTGATCTTGGTGTGACTCTTTAACTGTTTGTTGCAATTGTTGAATGAAAGGATTAACTTTCACTTTCACTGTATTTAATAGCGATCGTGCTTTTCTTTTTTCTCCCACGCCTAATAAATATTCTGCCATAAATCGCATACCCAGTATAATACTTATTGAATCAACATCATCAAAATATTTTCCAATTAATTGTTTCCCATTACTAAAATGAAATGAAGCCAATTCACGACATCCCAATCGTTGAAAACAAACTGCTTGAACAGTGTAAAGCAATGCTTGATCTTTCTCCAAGTCACAAATAACGTCATATCGATAATCATTCGTCATGATTTGTCCTGAACGCGATGACGTTTGGTATTCTAATACTTTGTCAAACGTTTTTCGATCCACCAAAGGAAATCCCATTGAGAGTATATCATAGTACAAATCCATAGTTTGTCTGGTTGTATATACATAATTAATTTGATGTTCCATTCTACTTTCCACGGGACTGATACTATTAGCAGTAGTTGCAATTGTTGTTGCGTTGGAATAGGGCGTTGAAATGCTACTACTCGCATGGGAACCTTTAATGTCAAAAGTTGGGGTTGTACAACTACGAGAGCTACGTTGTTCTTGTGATTGGCAAGTCGTCGAATGTACATTCACAAAAACAATGGGATGAGAAGCCTTCTTCTCTTCCGTTAATTTTTCCGAACGTTCTTTATAAACACATTTATAGCCTCTTTTGATACAATACGAGCATGCAGGTAACGTTTTATCACACTTCCGATGTAACTGTCGACACGAGAGGCATGCATGGTTCGAGTGAGATGGAATTTCAATGTTTGAAGTTGTTGCAGAAGGTGCAACGGTTATACGCATTTTTTTTTGATGTTCTGAATCAGTAAAGCTTGCGGAGTAAATAGTTTAAATATGCCAAAACCAGATTCTGATTGGTTGAAATCGATGGACACGTGTATTTCATTGGAATTTGCATGGACTTTTGAAAATGATGGAAAATTAATGTCCGAGCGTTCTTGTACACGTGGTCATGGTTAATTGATTGATTAGAAAGAGAATGGAGATGGGACTTGAAGATTTCACAACGAAAGTCCATGAGGTACAAGATACAGAGCTCGTTTCATTCTCTAATTTATTAACGCTCTAATTTAATGTGGTGTCCAAGAATTGAGATTCATTCTCAGTTCTTCAAAGAAGGAGCAATTAAAGTACTGCAAAGACAGTATGTATGGTTTTCTGATAGTTATTATTCCCAAACTCTGTCATTTGTCAACAATCCACATAACACTAATTCATGACCAAATGGTCTCGATACATCATTAAAACAATCATTCAAAGTCATTCCTTCTGCATGATAATCATATCCATCATATCCCAAAATTAATAAATTGTCACCTCTTTTCAATAAGTTCTCCAACTTTTTATAACCTTCGGTGTGAACTACTTTCTCTGCGTAGAGAGGACAGTAAATTGCTCTTCTTGCTTGCATGTAATCCAATTTTTGGCCTTTCCACCATGCATATAATGGCTTTTCACCTTTTTTCACCCATCGATGAGCTTTTTATCATTCCATCCTTCCATTCTTCGTTCAAAGAATGTCTTGTTGGGTCTCGTTGTACCACTCTCTGGATCCAACTCTTCCTCTCCTTGCCAAACCTTTGAAAATTGCCAAAAGTTTTCCAAATTATGTACTTGAATGGTTTTCTCAATTTTAGAATGCTTGGGTTCTGCAAGTGCATAATCATGATCGGGATTCATTTGGTATTCGTATGGACCTAACAACATGGGTGACAATTGTTTGTATAACTTATCGGAAGATGTTGAGCAGCAATTGATCACGGTGAATCCTTCAAGATCAGGAGTGTGGTTTAATTTACCACATCGGACTGTTCCTTTCGATTGTTGTTGTGAGCTTGTTGATGATAACATTTTTTTTGTTGTTTGAAGATTTGGTTCTCACTGGAATTTGAAGTTCCTTTTATGAGGAATGAATGGTGAGATTGAGAAAATAACTATTTTCGCAGCATTCTGGAGTTTACGTTCGAGCAGGTTGAAGAATAACCACCCGTTAAAAGAACACAAGTACTTTGATGTGCTCATCTTGTTGATAAACCACTTGCTCCCACTCCTCTAAATCATAATAATCTCCCAATCGCTTTTCAAAGATTTGAAGCTTGATGGTTTTCAGCCATTGCTCTTCGGATTTACGAGCATAAATATTGGGGTTGTCGTGCCCAAACCGTTCAATGATGTGTTTTTTAAGGTGACATAATGGATTGAAATTAACATCTAATTTCAGTTTCAACACTTTCTTAACCTTGAAATTGATTCTTTTGAAAAGCATAATCTCTGAGTCGTTTTCGTCATAGATTTTTGGATGAAGCTCAATACCGAATCGAAATTCTCTTTCGACAACTATTGGACTTCCAGAAGGTTGTGTTAAAAGAGGAAGGTGACCCATGTGGTTCGTGTGCTCTTTCATATGAGTGGGATGTAAATTGTGAAAAGGAGTGTTGGATGTATGGATGACAGGTGGAGAAAGTTGTGTGTTCTCAATGCTTGTTTTACAATTTTGTTCAACCATATCTGAATTTAAATTATGAGGAACATGATGAAGAGAAGATTGAATTGGAGAGACCTCTTCAATTACTGTTGACACTTCACTATTTGTAATATCTTTGGACGAGACTCATTGATGAGCTCTCTTTGGGAGCGATCCGATAATTGTGACGAAGGAGAGTTTGGAGATTGCATTAAGAGCTTGCTTCCTAGTTTCACACAATTATCAATAAGGCTGTTCAAGTTTTTTCCGCTCACATTGGAAATTTCCAAATACACTTTAGCTCCAATTTTTCGTTGTAATTCAAGTCCCTCAAATAAAGTCACTTCTCTCCGATCGGTCAAGTCGCATTTACAACCCACAAGAATCATGGTTACATTTGTAATCACAGCCTCCTTAATTTCCAAATAATAGTCATGGACCTTTTCAAATGATGATATCCGATCCAAAGCAAACATAATCACGAATACTTGACCCTCTTTGTAAAAGTGCTCTTTTCGGTAAAGGCTTTGATCATCATCGGAAGGAGTATCAATGAATAGAATTTTATCAAAGAAATCCATGCATACAGGAGAGGGCGTGGAGGATCCATTGGTAGAATTATTATTGTTATTAGGAAGGTAATTAATTTCAAAAGCATCCAAAACCGATGGAATACATTCACTGCGGGACAAGGGCATGAGAGTCTTTGAATAACGTTCTCGCAAATTCAGGAGAGTGCTTGTCTTGCCAACTTGACTGTCCCCGACTACAACGACATGCAAAACAGAAGAATTCATTTTGAAGTTTTTGAGGCTCTTTTTAATACAGAGAGAATGTGTGATGGTATCATACTTTTATGGCAATTTTTAAAAAGTTGAATGAACAAGTGAATGTGAGGCTTGAGAACAGATTGTTTCACACGTTCAACTTTCAACGTTGTTTGTTCTTTGTGCTGCAGAGCTCTGTGAATCTTATGTTTTTGGCGCCTTGTTACAAAAATTCAATTCCAGTCAAATGTCAACAGATAAAAAATTCAAAAAGATCTGACAGGAGGCGCTAGATTGCCGACCACAACAACCAAACGAACAGTCAAAAACACGCTTTCTCACTGCGAAGACAGCATCACGATTTCGTTGCTGTCTATGAAACATACACATCAACAAACTCCTACCTTTGTTTCTCTTTCATCCTTGTTGAATTTTGTAATTTATATTCATCGTCAAACCCTGTCCATCATCTCCATTTGGGCAAGAATTAATTTTTAAATTATTTCAATAATAATTACCATACACCTGATTGTCATCATCATACATTTCACACAAATAGATTGATATACTCAAACACTCGATCCATAAAAATGTCAACACCAAGCACAACATCTCCAACACCACCTCCTCGCAGACATCAAACCACCATGTTTTCCGTCCTTCCTCCTCCTCCAACAACAACAACAAGTACAACCACCAATTCATCCTCTTCCAATAACAACACCTCTCCCACTCATTCATCAACAACAACTTCATCCACCAAACCATCCACAAAATCAACTCTACCAATAACAACATCACCACAACAACAAAAATCCTCTTCTTCTTCTGACAAATCTCCAACAACAACAACAACAACAGGAACTTCTCCTCCAACCATTCCCTCTCGAGTCGGTAGAGAACGATCTGGTGGTATGGTCAGCTCAATTCCTCCTCCATTACCACCACGTGCAAATCTTCGATCGAAAACAACGATTGGAAATTCGTCGTCTTCTTCTTCGTCCTCAACTGTGAACTCTGCCAACAACAACAACATGATCTCACAAAATATAATTTCTGCAACAAATATTGGAATGAGCGCTGGAATGAATATTGGAAGTGGAGTCATTACCAATGGTCATGATGGTAATGTGTATGTGAAATCAACAGTGAAGAGTGAAAATAAGCCAGCAGTCACCATTGTGCATCGAGTGCCACAACCATCCAAAGCAAGTAGTGACCCAAATTTAACAGAGCTTAAGAAGGTATCTATTCATTTGACCACAAGTGGTACCTCTAGTACTACTACTACTACTACAACTAGTACTACTACTACTACAACTATGGATGGGCCTTTGGATTCAAAAACAAAGGACTCGCCACAAGTCACTCATTCAGTAGCTGCTACCTCTTCAACAACAACAACAACACCACCACCACTGACCAACAAATCCTCTCTTCCAAAATTAAATTTACAACAAGTGACATCTCCCAGTGTGGGTATCTCAACGAGCTCTCAAAATTCTCCGCAACAACAACAACAACAACAACAACAGAAGAGAGATACGGAAGAGTCGATGGATGACGACAATTTATCGGTTCATGAAGATGAAGGTGTGGCTGTACCTTCCAAATTGCCACCACCTCCTCCACCTAGAAAGAAAGTAAAAACAGAAGAAGAAAAAGAAATTGAAAGAAAAGAACTTCGTTGGGAGGTCATTGCTGAAATTATTAAAACTGAAGAAAATTATGTGGAGGGATTAAATCACTTGGAGAGATTTTACATTAAACCTTTACGAGCATTGGGAAGTGCCACACAACATGTTAAGCCTGTAATTACACAAAAAGATTTAAGCTATATTTTTGACAAGATGACAGTGATTAAGAGTGTGAATGAAGGATTTTTAAAACAATTGAAAATGTTGGATCTCAGTTTTGAAACACAGGATGAGCCAGCAAAATCCATTGGATTGTTTTTCAAAAGAACTCTACCCATGTTTAAGGTTTATACTGATTATGTGAATAATTATAATAGTATTGCAACAAGAGTGAAAGACATGATGAAAGAGAATCCAAGTTTTGACAGTTATATGAATGTAAGTAGAATGAATTGATTCGTGTTGTTCACAATCATTGAAATTTATAACTTTTTGTGTGACACTCGACATAGGAAATGGAAAGAAATGCTAGAAAACAAGGGAAAGTTGGATTCTTTTCATACATGATTCAACCGGTTCAACGTTTACCAGTAAGTATTTAACATGATGTCATCTTTTCAAATGTTTGTTCCGTCACCGATTCTTATTTTTTTACTATTCACTCCATTGGTGGCTTAATGTGAACATTTTATTACTTTCAGAGATACACCCTTTTGGTTAATGAATTACTGAAACATACACCTGAATCGCATCCAGATTACAAAAATCTATGCGACGCTTCTGAGCTATCTAAACAAGTTAGTTCTCATGTAAATAGTGCCATGAATGTACTTCAAAATCAATTGAAAATGACAGAAATTAATTCTTCGATACTGAAATTGGAGGAAAGTATTGGAAGTACATTCATCAAACCAAGTAGAACATTTGTGTTGGAAGGAGAAGATTTCCTAGTATCAGAATATGCACTAGGAAAGAAAGCTAAAAAAGCCAACAAGTGCACCGTCTATCTCCTAAGTGATTTGATTCTAATTACCAAGAAAGGAAAATATTCCAATCATGTCTATTTGAAAAATGAGCTCAATATGTCAACCTTCAGACATCCTTGGATTTTCTACGATTTGGAGAACAACAAACAAGCATTTGAAATCATTTCAGAGGAAGCGACCTATGTCATTGCCTGCCCTACTGCCATTGCATGCAATGAATGGATTGAAAAAATCAATCAGAATACTTGCTGCAATGCTGCTCCAGGAAAAGAAATGAGAGCCACCGATTAACTCACAGCAAAGTTAGAAAAGTGGTCAATGAGGAAAACATGTACATTATCGATTTTGAAAACAATGATTATTGCATGTGTTACTCTCCCAAGGATAAATGTACCATTAAGATTTTCAAGAAAGATGCAACGATTCGTGACGCAACTGCAGAAGATGAAACCACATTTGGTGTCTCTTTGGATGACGATAGTAATGATGATCGAACCACTGTGTCAAGTGAAACGACTGATTCTCAAATATTTGGTGATAGTAACATTACTCGTTCGACATCTATCAGTGACTTTTCAAACATGTCAGAAGAAGATCGAACTTTGAAATCACCTCGCTCAGCAAGAGGTTTCAATCCATTGCGAGGATTACAAGATCTCAAAGTATTTAGCTCAAAACAAAAGTTGACTTCTCTCAGTGCAGGAAAGACCACTCTGAATGGAGACGATAAGGTTCATGACCTTCATTCCATTATTAGTAGCAGTAGTAGTAGCTCCTCAGTCAATACTCCACACCACGATTCTCAAAGTGATTATCATCGACGATCTCTTCAAAGTGATATTCCATTTCGATCGGGTGGTAGCAATCATCGACAATCCCTAACACCTCTCTCGACAAGGTCACCGATGATGGAACACTCAATCCTCCTCCTCCTCAACATCATTCACATCCACAATTGAGTCCACGAAATTTAACCGAAGAATATGTTCCCACACTTCCCATCATTAAGAAAAATTCAGATTTTCTTCACACCATTGAGGAACGAAAGAAGACACTCGTTCGTAGAGATGCTACTACTGTATCACCTGGTGGTGATAGATCATCAGTAACCATGACATCAACGAGACCACCATGGTTAGCTGAATTGGAAGGTAAAAAATTGAGTAAGGTTATTCCTGGAGAACAAGATTATGTATATACTTCTCCAAAAACACCCGTACAATAAAACAATACATGAATGTTCAATTTGCAGAGTACGGAGAGCTGTTGGGATCAAAACAAATGAAAGAACAGAGGTCCATAAAATGCAAAAGAAACATCCTTTCCCGCCAAAACCATCCGTTTTTCACATTTAAAAAAAAATGCAACGCAACATGGCCGAGCAGAATCTTACCATTCAACCATCACCTTCGGGAGAGGAGACGAACGAGCCATCCTCTTCCACTCCAACAAGAGAGCACGAAAATATATTCGGTACTAGTAATACATATCATCACATTGAAACGAACACATCTCCTTCCACAATAGCTCTTTCTTCCTCTCCTCTGTTGAGCCTTCAATCTCATCATCAGCCTTACCATTCAGAAAGACATGAAGAAGAAGAAGAAATACTGGGCTCTTCTCCTCTCATCATTCCTCAAACCATCATTCCTCTATCTCTGGTAGTAGCAGTAATAGTAGTAGTAACCATACATTACTATCAACGGCTTCATCCACTCTTCCGTTACTAAAGTTTCAACCAATCCTCATCATTCATCAACCACAGACTCGGCAACTCTCAAACAAATTCAAAGGAGGAAAGAATTAGAGAATTGGAGAAAGAACCGACGAACGAAATCCATCATTACGAATAGAGATGGTAGTAGTACTAGTACTCATATGACGGCAACAACCACGAGTAAGGGCAACAACAATCTTCCAACAAAATCATCAGTGCCACTCCGAAAATCATATGCTAGTGGAGGTCCCTTAACAAGTATATCATCGTCTCAATATAATACGAGAAAAGTAGTAGCAACTTCGGCGATGACTCAACAGGTCATTTGGAAACAGCATCGAATAAGAAGAGAAAATTCAGTGAATCGACACAAACCATTGCAAATAAGAAGGTAACCAATCATCGACTGCCAAATCCTTCCAATTCTCAAAATATTATGAGACAACAACAGGAAACATCACCCATCATACAGCAATCATCGATTGCAAAGAGAAATGATAACATTATTTCTTTTAGTAATTTATTGAAGATTGACAAATATCTTCCAGGATCTAACACAGTACATCATCGAGTTAAACAAGCTGATGAAAAAGAAAATACTGATCTCAATCTTTCCTCGATTTTAATAGTTGACGATAAGGAAAATGTGGAAGAGGATCGTCACATGCTTGATAACATTGCAAAAATTGCAGACTCTATCGAAGAGGAAGACATACCTCCCTCAGTTAGTTTGGCCTCAAGTACGGGTCTGTCGTCAGCTTCAGCTACTTTGAATCAAACAAGCTCAGTACTTCTTGATGTATCATGTTTGGACAAGTCGGAGCCAAGAAGTGCTAGAAAGTCATTGAAACAGAAAAGCTTTCTGTCAAGTGGAAATGGCTCAAGCTTCTTTTCGACGAGTACTGGCTTTTCTCCACTTCCATCATTTGTTCCTTCGAAAACTCCTCTGTTCACGTTGAAATCAACGTCGCTTAAACCACTAAAGAATCCAAACCTAAATTCCGGTGAGGAAGACGCCACCAAGTTGAATTATGACCTTGCTTGTAAGGACTCTCTTACAAACAACTCAACCTCACAACTTCGTGATAATAGCAATACATCTAAAGAGGAAATTGAATTTTTGAAAGCTAAAATTCTTGACTTGGAGGAACGTTTAAGGAAAGAGTCCTTAGAAAAAGACTTGTGGAAAGAAAACTACAAAAATTTGCTTTCGTCACGAGGAGATGGTAACAGTCGACCCGTAAGCATGGAGGCTAATAGATTGTTGGGTGATACAAATACTGCGAGTAAACAACAATTAGAGTAATATATTCAACAAAATTGCCTTAGTTGATTTGGGTGTATTTGGACTTGTTGTATTGTGCTCTAGCACAGCACACAATAGCAACGATTAGTGTAATTGCATTTGTAAGAGCTAGCACTGGAGTTGAAATTAAGAAAGCAATGGTTGAGGATTCATTGGATTTCAAGAATTGAGCAGCACAAACGTCACGTCCATAATTATCACAAGCAGAACACCAGTCAAAGACGGTAGATTGTTCTGTGGCTAGTCTTTTGAAAGTGTCAAAAGGACAGAATTCGCTGGTACATCCCAATGACTTGAGAGTGAGTGAGGTGAAATTGGCATCGTTGAATTGGGATCCATGAACCAAACGCACTGCACGTGTTCCATCATTCATTTGATGCAGCTCAAATGCTAGGTGAGCTCCATATTTTGGTTGATAACCTAGATAAGGATAGTCCTTATCATTCAATTTCAATGAGGCTGTAACACTCTGCAATGTTGTGTCATGTGCCGAATAGTGAACATACTTCTTTTTCAGTTCTGTCATTTGGTTCAAAATTGTGGAAATGAGTATACTAGATCCTTCTTTTCCAATGACCGCGTAATTGTAGAGCATGAGCAGAAAATCATTTCTGAGTTGATCGACTTTGTCCCAGTTTTCATTGATCCAATTCAACTTTAACATGTTATGAGCTCGCTGCACAGTCATTAAATCAAATAATGTTCCAATCGTGTCGTCTCCAGTATTCCAACCCGTGACATTATACATCTTATCAATGAGTTCTCTATTTGTTGAAAAGAATGTACTGGCCTGTTTTGAAGTATGCACAGCTTGCATTCTTCTAATCACTGTATTACAAAAACTAAAACCAATCAATAAAGCATCCATATCCTCTTGAACTGTTCTAATTGGGATTGCTTGTGTTCCATTGGGTAAAGCAAATTGCATTCGTCCATGATCTTTTGAATTTTCAAAATTAACAGTCGCCCTTTCCCTGTACCTTGAGGGAATAGACCCATTGAAATGGAGAACATGCTCATCAGGGTACGATAAATTTCAGTAGATCTAAAGTAGAATTGTTCGGAATTGTACGTAGAATCAATGCCCATAATTTTAAATGATGAGCCTTCTTCCAAGTATCTCTTCCGAATAATATCACCCATGGTTTTACATTGTTCTTGACCAAGTCCGGTCAAATCTCCCAATTGTAAATTAGATAGCTTTACCCAATCAACAGGGTCGTTTGGAATTTTCAATGGAGTAATTGGAAGTCGATCACAGTGTCGAGAAATTACATGAACCTGCAATACCCCTTCCGATGTTGGTGTTGCTCCTATGGAATATTCATTACACATGAACATCACCAGAACACAAGCAATGACTTTTAAAATTGTGCTAATCATCCTCAAAGGTGTCAATTATTGCAGATGAATTGTGGCGATATTTTTTTTTTGGAAGAAGAAATACAATGAATGTCACACCAAGGTTTAAAAGAAACAAGAAATGTCACAAACGAAAAAACCAGATTCCACAATTTTTCGAAAAAGAATCCAATCAAAAGACATTTTGAATTATATTCAGTTACTGCCCAAAATATTCTCTAAATTGTTCGAGGAAGGTCCAAGTAAGGATGGTCTGACAATTAATTTCATTAAAAAATTATTTGAGAAATAAGAAAATGCAAGAAAAAATTGATAACAAACCTGAGGTCCAAGTCTTGCAAAATAAGGCCAAAAACCTTTCCACAAACTCATAACTCCTTCAGCTTTGATTGTTTTTGTGAGAACGTCAAAAGCTCCAGAATATACCTGTGACTGACCTTGTTGCATTGATTGCAATCGTGTCTTTGTCAAGTCAATAGGAAGACTCACCACAGTACAAACATAACCAGCAATAAGAGATGCAGAAACGTGCAGTCCTACTCCATCTTTTTTGATAATTCCCATGCTTAACAATGATTGTTTGGCTTGAGCATAAACTCCTAATTGAGCAGCATTCAAAACGATGGCTCTCACTACTGTTGGGCTACAACCTCGCCATAATGTTAACACTCCTTCATTCTTGGAAACTTGAATGAGTGCATCAAAAACGTTTTTGTATCCATACCGACCTGAGGTCATTCTTACAAGTGACAGGTCAGCAGGATTTCCAACCACTGCACCAATGGCTCCACCCACCATACCACATCCAATCTTGATAGCAAAATTTGGTTGGACAGTGGTAACCTTTGTCTTTCCGGACTCGTCCGTGATGGTTTTTGAAGTGGTGAAATAATCGATCAATGTATTAAATACTCCTAGTCTTGTCGTGGTATATGTAATTTGTCGAAAAAGGGCTGCAGTCAATCCTCTATAAAACGTAGGGATGCCTTCCTTCTGAGCAATCTCCATTGCAACCTTCACAAAATTGGGCTGGGATGCTCCTTTCCTTCTCCGAGAAGCTGCATTCTTGTTTTAAGAAAATCTGTTGGTCTGTACAAGTTAATAATATTGATGATGAGTACCAACAAGATCATACATTCGAGAAAATATTTTCATCGGAGTTCTCATGTTGTTGATTTTGCAACACAAAATACATACTGAATCACAACGGTGGCTAAACAGCCCGACAGACCTCCAAAGATGAAATTTTGACTTGTGGATAGTTGCTTTTGAGCTGTAATGGCCAATCAGTAATGTATTGAGTTGATGTGAGTATTTGCAATATTAATATTATCCGAAATCTCATGTAATGTGCCGATTAACTTACCGCTCATTTTTTTGTTCACATCATTGTAAATTGGAGCCCTCAAAAGTAATGGATTAAATTTGGCAGTGATCCATTGTCATGTATTGTTTGATGGAATAATATAATTGAGGTAATTCTCAAAGCAAGTGATGTGTTCATTTTACCCTCACCGTACTACAGTCAACTGCAGTTTTTCAACGTGAAAAAAAATACAGAACCAAGATGGACTTTCTATTCAAAAAGTCAACCGAGAGGTAAGGGAAACCTAGGGATGAATGAGCCTTCATCTTAACAAATCATGTTCAGCAACTCGCAAGAAAAACAGTCTGGAGCTAATGACCAACCAAGCTTCTCATTTAAATTCAGGTTTGTACCTTGAACCAATACTATCATATAAGCCTTATCAACCCACTTCAAGTGAGCCTTCATCTACTGTATTCAGCTTTCTTGATAATGGAAGATCAAGTACTCCAAATCAAACAGAGTCTCCAAGTCATCCGTCATCAAACTCTTTTAGCTTCCTGTTTAAGGAAGCAACAGCTAACAACTCTTCAAGCAACGATCTTCCAATCTTCATGAAGTCCTTTCTAAACAGCTCCCAAAGTGATAAAGCTGATATCAGTGTTCAGGAAGATGCGCCTATCTTCCGCTCCTCTTCTATGCAGGATGAATTGTCTGGTACCAATGTCCAAGGAACCAGCACAGGTAAACGATCCAATCAAGCGGCCAACACCATTGAAGACAGCTCTAACGAATCCAGCAATCCGACTTCTCATCCAATAGTAGTTCAACCTGCAGATGCTATCAACAATCTCTCACCAAACGGTCCACCTAGCAAAAAGCTAAAGACAGCCACTTTGAATGTTGCTTCAGAGAGCACCACGAATAGTGCAAACTCAGCCTCTCAAAAGCAAACTCCCGTTGAAAGAAGAGAAGGATCTGTACTTCCTTTCACCGCTCAGAAATTCTCGCTCAACTCTGCTCAGAAGCCACAAAGCATGCATCCTTCTTCAGAATCAAATCAAGTTTCTACACCGAAAAAAACTAATGCTTCAGTTGAAAAAAGCTCTCCAATTCCATCCTCGGTGAACAACAGTAGAGTGAGTCTTTCTGCCATGTCACCTCCACCAAACAAACCAACGATGGTAAGAGCAGCACTCACTCCCTCTAAGACTGCTGCAGCATCTCCCGATCAATCACCATTTAAGACTCCTCCAATATCTCAACCATCAAAGTCAAGCCAAGCGTCCTCCCCTGCTCAGGATAGTCACAACTTGTCTTTTGAACGAAGCGAGAAGATTGTAGCAAATCATAGATCTGAGTTAGAAGAGTTGAAGCTTGTTGAGAATCAGTTGAACGGAGTGAAGAGAAAAGACTCTGAGATGACTAAAACCATGGAAGATCTCCATGCAAAGATGCTAGAGCACAGCGATACCTTAAGAGCGCTATCCCTTAAGGTGTCCATCCTCACCAACAAGCTGCTCATGGCTGAGAGCCCAGCTTTCAGAGAAAGTATCGACAAGCTTCATCTCAAATATGCTGACCTTCTCAATAACAATCCATAGAGAAGCATTCCATTGTACTAACTAGCATATATGTTTGTGAATAATTTCACAGATAGTTTATATTAATACATACTACGATCAGTGATTAAGTGTACGTCAATTCCACCAAAGCTTTCAGTCCAGCTAATTTGAGCAAAGCAATGAATATTCCCATGATTCCTTCGCCTGCAATTAAACCGCTACTGACTGCAAAGAAATACTTGTTGTTCGTTTCTGGCCAACGTCGTTTCCATATTGTAAATAACATTGCACCAATAAACATGGTAATCGACTGTTTTGGTGGAACAATCATACCAATACCAAATGCAAGAGCGCTAGGGAAATATTGAGCCCAATTTGGTTTCACAATTTGTATAATCTTATAAATTACAGTGAGAACCACACCAAATACAACACCAGCAATGATACCATACACACTATTCGTTGGTAAGCCATTTGTTCCCTTACTCAACACTTCAGCAACAGCTTTCCAAGCATGTGCAGCTGGTGCTGGAAATGAAGAAGATCCAATCGTATAGGCAGTGTCATAGAGTTTGTAAATTGGAATACATGTAATGATACCAACGACGATACCAATAATTTGTGCAAAGAATTGTTTTCGTGGAGCAACTCCAATAATGTAACCAGCTTTCAAGTCATGCATCATATCACCTGCTTGACTGGCACCAGCAGAAATGATACCAGCACTGAGAATATTGGTAGCAGTTTGCTTGGGTGCAACTCCAGCAAACACAAATTGACCCACCTTACCCATACCACCTATCATGGTTCAACCCAAGCGTATAAATTCGTTTGAAAAATTTAAAATTCATGAATGGTATTATTGTTGAACAAGCAAAATAAGTTCAACCCAGTCAGTGAGTGTAAATTATGGAATAGAGTGGTACCAATAGTAAAAATTAAAAGTCATGAATCATTGACTCAAGCATCTATACACGCTCTACTTACCAACTGGATTGATATCAGTTTCACCTGTCGCTCTCGTTGCAACAATGGACAAAATAGCACTCAATGGAATGGCCAGCAACACAAAATACCATTTCAAATCAAACACAAAATGACCAATCAACATCAACAAGGTCGATGAAAAAATCAATCCAATAAAACAATACCACCATGGAATCATGTGAGAATCTAATTCATATTGCTCGTGATCCAAAATGACACGTTCTCCAAAATGTCTTTGAACTGTTCTTCCAGAACCTCGAATGGCCACTCTTCGTACCAATCCTACCAATGCTTGCCAAACAATTCTTGTCAAAAACAATAATGGACAAAGGAATCAGCAGTCATGATGGCCACACCGACCCAGAGAGTCCATCCTCGAGCTCCACTGAAGGAAGAAACTGGTCCTTTGGTCCATCCATTGGCATCGACAATTGGAGCTAAAATTCCCCATCCAACAATGGCTCCCAACAATAAGCTAGCAGTACTACGAGGTCCACTCAACATTCCACCTCCAATCATTAAGGGATCCATATATAAGGTAAATCCATAATCGTGGAGAATTTTAGGCATTGGAGGTTGTGCAATGGGAGGCACGAGAAAAATGATAAACGAATAAAGAGCGGAGAACACTCCCCAAAACACAAGCATTCTTGCTTTTTTCACAGTTTCATAGCCTTGAGCAAACATGGATTTGATGGTGGCTGCAGTGGCTGTACCTGTAGGAAATCTCAACTTTTCAATGACAATTAAATGTTTTCGGAGAGGAACTGCAAAATATCTATATTGGTAAGAACAAGGAAATTTTACATTATGGTTGATTGTACAACCATGGGAGTGAAAATAATAATAGAGAGACGAATGAATCAACGAGTCAATGAATATTTTGTGTCAAATATATAGATATTCATTGCAATGCTGTACTTACACTCCAAAGAAGGCAACGCTCAATGCCCACAAATACAATTCTCCAACGTTGTATTGAAATCCGAGTAATTTAAGAGCTGGTATGGAACTCACTAATCCAGCTGTTGAGGCCATAGTACCAGCACTTGATGCTGCTGTTGTCGTGATTATAGTTTCATATTTTGTAAAAGGACGACTTGGCCTAATTAATTTGAAAACTCCAATGCTCAAAATTGATGCGAAAATGCTTCCTAAATTATTGTTGGAACAGTGACGTATTTCATTATCAAATTCATGCATAATAATCATACAGAAATTCAAATAAAGACATTGTTATTTTAGTAAATGTCAAAAGTCAACAAGGTACCACAGTATGACTTACCTCCTTGTGTCCAACCTGTTCTCAAGCCAAAATTCACGTTCATGGCACCAACTAAAATTCCAATCAGTGCACCAACAGCAATGGCACGAAAAGTAAACTCTCCTCTCTCTTTGAATCTACCAACTTCTGTTGTGTCATTTTCGTCAAATTCTTCTTCATCGTCGTCATTGACTGATTCTTCATTTACATGGTCTTGTTGAGAAGAAGTCTGCTTGAGAGTACTTTCATCGTTCATTCGTCGTTCATGTTCATCGAAATGATCGGTTGCTGCATCATGTTAGCGTAAAATTATTATAATTGAACAAGAATTGTACACCATATTCAATGGTTACGATGAAACAGTGACGACATGGGTTGATTCCGTTCATGATTGAAAATTATTTCGAATATGAAAATTAATAATTAGTTGAATAATTATACCAATGAATGAAATTTCGGTTGGAAGCACGTAGTATTCCATCATGGAATCAACACGTGTTGTTGCATTAAACAATTATCCATCATCAATACAAACTTTTTCTAGAAGCCAAATGATCATCATCATCTCCATCTAGTAACACATAACCTGTTGATACCTTTCCACCATTATGTACAATATGATCCGATGTAGGTTGATCGATAATTTCAGCCTGTTGATGCACTGAATCAACACGATCACCTTCGCTCGACATGAATTTTTCTTCTGATTGATGATTGGAGAGAATTTGAATGAAATGGTTTTCATGACTTTTCAAACTTCAAACCCGATAAAATCTATTCACTGATATCATCTTCCATCAGTTGCCAACTACATGAACGTCTACAATAAATCTCCAATTTCAATATGAAAAAGACTCTGCTAAGTATTTCATCATCCAAGAGAGCAATTTGGTTTCTGGGTCATAACTCCAACGGCTTTCTAGCACCAAAAAATTATCACAACGTTGCTGTGGGGTTTGTGGTTGAGGAGACTCTCTATTTATTGACGCAAATTGGTTCATCAGCTTCCAACCAGATCCAAATAATATATATAAACAGGGCAATCATTGTATTATAGCATGTTGTTAGAAAGAGTGAGAAAACAAACCCGATACCAACTGGCATCGAGCTCGGCTGTACACACCTCATCGCCGTTAATAATGGCCAGCTCATTGTCGTCGTCATCCTCATTGAATGGAACAAACTCTCGGAACAAGAGTTCTTTTATTATTGGTACATCAATGCTCATGTTAATTGTAGTTTTAATTATTGTGAGCCTATTATCATTGAGAACAGAGGCAGCCTCGTCTCCACCAGCATATAAACAACAAAATCTCGAGATGGAATATAACGTAAAATCCAAAGTGAATCCAAATAACGCCCAATACGCATATGCTACATTGGTCAGTTCCGTGAGTTATTTGATGGGAGCTCTGGCCATGTACAAGAGCATTTTGGATTTGGGAGGACAATATGATTTGGTACTCATTGTTACCGGTAAACGCATGAACGACATTGTTAAAAACATTGAAGCATACAGAAAAGATCCATTATTGAGTAGAGTGCATATCTTTATTGCTTCATATATTGACAATCCTAATATGAAGATTCCTGAGCCTAGGTTTATTGACACCTATAACAAGCTACACCTTTGGAAACTTGATCAATATGGTTATAAGAGAATTGTTTTCATTGATGCCGATTGTATCGTATTCAAGAACGTTGACATTCTCTTCAATTGTGTGGGACCTGTTTGTTCCGGAAGTGATATGGGTAATCCGTAAGTGTCTGATTGATGATATTGATGATGGTATTGACATTTGCATTTTCATGTCGTTTTTGTTCAACAGTGAATTTTTCAATGGAGGAATGATTGTTACTGAACCAAGTACAAAAGTCTACGAAGATATGATTTCCAAGATGGGATCACCAGCATACAAGAGCTATGACGGAGGAGAACAAGGATTTTTGAATTTATATTTTGACTTCCCATACAAAGCTAAGGGCTGGGAATTGGAAAAAGAACTTGACGAGGCCAAAACAGAGGAAGAAAAAAAGGCCATCATGACAAAGTATACATCAGATGACGCCAAAGGAGTTTGGAGAATTCCCTACACTTGGAACACTGAAGTACCAATTTATTACTTTTTCAAATATGCTTGGCTCGTTAGATTGAAGAGAAAGATCAGAGTTATCCACTTCAATTTACCCATTAAGCCTTGGGTTTTCCTATCATTCCCAGTTCTCGATGGTAGTTACTTTTGGTACAAGTACGTGGTACAAATTCCACAATTCTCTATTGTTCCTCTACCTCTTGTAGGTCTGCTCCTAGCTGAAGTATTCTTTTTAATTTTCTCATTGACTCTTAGCAAGTCAGTATTCCCACTTCTCCTTTCTGCGGTTCTCCCAGAAAATTCTGGATTGATTGCAACGATTCACTTTAAATTGGTTCGAATATGGTCAAATTTGAAAAATAAGAAAGGAGCAAAGAGACCAATTTCATTTTATGAAAGGGCTAAAAAGCATGTACTGCTGACAATTTGGCCAATTGCTACTGTTGCCGTGACAGCGTTATTCTCCTTTTTAATTTATTTCAATTTAGTTGCCGATGCCTCCTATGACCCACATGCTCAATGGTTCTGTCTCTTTACCACTATCACCATTTTCAGCGTGATATTTTTGTCTTTCTATCAACAGTTCGTGAGGGAGCAAACCAAACAATGCATTCAAACCAATTTTGAACAGAGTCAATTACTAAGCGTTTCTGATGTTGCCACCCTCAACAAGAAAATTATTCCTTTCTTCTTTGCCTATAAGTTGGCAGTAATTATTTTGCCAACAATTGACTTTTTGGCAGTGTGTGCCATTATTTACCTGACCAGAGGTCTCTTCCTTCTCAACGTAGTTTTCATGGTTACTTTTGCTTTTTCTCATCTTGCATTGGTGTGGTTTGTGCTGAAGAATTTTGGAAAACAAACCATCTATTCTACCTTCAGAGAAATGGTGAAAGTCCAATAAACCATTTTAGATTCTCGTTGACATGGTAATCAATTTTTTTTCTCAATATTTACCACAACCATAAATGAGCAAACAGTCAACTAGATGGACAGAGCAAAAGGAATTCAATGTTAACAATGCAAGGACAAGATGATGAAAAAATTGGTGTACTAGCATTCTGAGATTCTGTGAATCTTTGAGGAGTTTACCAATGGCTGCTACTGATTTCGATCCAAAGGAAGATACAATTCGAATTCCGTTTTAAGGAAAATTTCAATCACATTAATTGATGCCAACAATTTTAAACATCATTTTTCAAAAGTACATTTTCAATCATACTCATGATTAAGACAAGGTACATAAGAGTTGTCTTTCAGTATCCTCACCACTGAACTGTCTCTTGTCAAAATCCAAAAACAAAACACTCTTTGACATCCAACAATTTTCAAAAAATAAAAATGGATCATTTGGAATACGCCATTCGTGATTTCGGCTTGCATCAATACGGGATCACTCCCACCTTGATTGTAATTTTATCTGCAAGTACCATCATCACTTCCATTGCATTGATCTTGATCTTTCGAAAACTCTCCAAACTTTCAAATTCCATTTCCAATCATCATCATTCTCACACGAAAATAGCCTCCTCCAATCATAATGAAACACCTCCTCCGATCAAGAAAGAATTAACTTTCCCACAACAACAAGATGAATTGCATTCTTCTTCATTTCAAATTCAAATACGAAAAGATTCTGAATTACCTTCCGAACAAGAATGTATTAAATTGTTAATTGAAAAGGAGAAATTTTCAATGGGAGAAATTTCGAATGGTGGAGTGGAAACATCACAAGAATCAGTCTCTTCTTCGGTACGAGCTTTTTGGTCATTGGGAGCTCATTCCACTCGAATTTCTATTCATAGCCTGTCAGCTGCCAAAAACGAGACTTCTCCTCCTGTGCGAAATGTGAAAGAAAGTGTGAAACACATGAAACAAGTCACTGTGGTTGGTGAAAAGAAATTTAACACAAGTGCTGTATTAACTCCAAGAGAAGGTACTTTAAATAACAAGGGAAATAATCGAAGATTTAGTACCAACAAGCGCTCTTCACTGGGTGGTGCTTTGAACAAGACAAATTCCACAAGTAACTCTCCAGTTGTGGTCGCTTATGGCAATGAATGTGTGGATCATCGAGCTGAATTTATTTTACATTATCCCTTAAAGAAATATTTGGATCAATATGTGAATGTGAATCATTTGGAATATCCATTTCATCCCAAACATGGAACGCCGTATTCTCATGCCGATTCACTACTGCCCTATTGTACCGAATTATTGGAAGAGAAAATTGTGAGAAAATCTGTCCTGGCAACACTCGACTCTGAATGTCAAAAAACACTCTTTTGTGCTCTTCCATTTTATTTATATTGTGATATTCCATTTAAGGGAAGATTGTTGGCAAGTGCGTTTGATGATTGGAATTATGATCGAGTGTACATGTGTTTGGAACATGTTTTACCCATTTTCAGTGTAGGTAAATGCAGTGGATTGAGTGTGGATTGTGGAGAATTATTTTCAGTTTCAGTGCCAGTGTATGAAGGAATTGCTGTGAGACAAGCTCTCGAAGCAATGCCTATTGCAGGATATACCATTGATGAGATTTTTCAAAAGATGTTGGAGAGAAATTTATGTACCAATGACACGACTTTGAAATTTACTTCGAGCACAGAAAAGGAAATTTTGAAGGATATTAAGGAAAAGATGTGTTGTGTGAAAACGTCAGCAACTAGTTGTCGTGTTTCGTCAAGTGATCTCACGTATGAACTTCCTGATAAGAGTGTTATTAGAATTCCAGAACAAGCAGCCAATATTCTCTCTGATTGTACAGAATACTTGTTTAATGCCAGAGTAGATGCAGACTTTTATGGACCATGGTCACAAAATAATTCCATTCAAGAGTGCGTGGTTAAATCTTTAGAAAAATTGTCACGAGTAGATATGGAAGCAAAAAATGCCATGACAAAGAATATTGTCTTGAGTGGTGGCACCTGCTTATTGGATGGGTTTGTGAATCGCTTTGCATCTGAGTTGGAAAACGCCATGAATCAAAATGAAACATTGAGAAAAACATTTATCAAGAAGGGAGAGTCAGAACACAATGTAAACATTATGACACGAACAAGAGACGATTCTGTGACATTGGGAGCTGATATTTTCATGTCATTGAACACTTTTAATGATTTGTGTGTGGTAGAGAGCAATATGACGAAAATGGAGAACATTTTCTAGTCACTACCAATTTTTCCATGTAGATGAAAATAACAATACTTGATTTATTTCTTGTCTATTTCTTGTCTGCATGTTTGTCTAAGGATTGTTTCAAAATGGCCAAAAACAAGAATGCTGGAATAAGCCAAATAAACAAAATCAAGAGCAATGTGTGAGAAGGAAGTTGGAATTTGCTGAGCAAGGCATACACTCCACTGGTTATGGAAATTCCCAAGTACGTAAAGGTAGAGAAAAAGCCCATAAATTCACACTTCTTGTTCACTGGAATCAGTTTGCTCATTAGCCCACGTGCCACACTTGCATTCCAAGCGTATAAAAATCCAACAAGAAGGAATTGAGCAAGAACAGCATATCGATTGACTTTAAGGGAGATGGTAATAAAAACTGTTTCATAATTTCATAGGTGTGAATGAATTTCAGTGATACGGGGTAGCCAATGAGCAATATTTAGTGTGCACATGTAACAACTCTAAATACTTACTGGAAAGTGTCAATGCTCCAAATAACGAATTTTGTGCTGCCAGCACATAAATATCATTAAATTTGAATAACCTTTCAAAAATAACACCTCCAATAACACCTCCTACCATAGCAACTTTAAAGTAAAGGTTCAATAGTACTTCTTGTTCCAAAGAAAAATGGTAAATGTCGATGAACAGAGGTCCTAAATAAATGGTCACAACAGTACCGGCGGTAGAAAAGAATAAATATGAAAGAAGGAAAATCCAGCAGTGATAGTACTGCGTGTTTGTTCTCCAATTTTCAAATGTCTCAGAAAGAGCAATAAACGAGTTCTTGACAACAGTAACAATTTTTCCTAATCCTCTGAGAGCTTTGGGTAATCGATTGAAAATTTGAGGTACTTCTAATTCCTTTTTCATAATGATAGAGGAAGAATTTAGCTCTGTATCTGGATTTAGAGTTACTCTGTCAACACCATTTGGGCTCAAAAACACGAAAAACGAAACTAAAATTGTGAAACATGTGAACACAAGGACCCACCAATTCTCTCGAGTAATTTCCCATATATCTCCAGAAAATACGGTTTTTGGTGTGAATGCTAAAATCAACAATCCCAATAAATTCACTCCAAACCCAATAAAATTACCTGATAAACTCAAAATCATCATATTTTTCTTGTCAAAACTTGGCAATAATGCATTATTGTTCATGACAGAAAATCTCAAAAAGAACATTGCAAGAATATACACAACCTCGCAAATTGCTAAATGTGTCGTCATGTCTTCACTTGTTGCATTCGGTAACTTGTCTGTGAAAAACAGCCCTATCGTTGCAATGATACCCAAATACATGGTGACCATCATGGAGGCCCTAATAATTTTCATGTTATCTACCAAAGATCCGAGAATTGGCAATGAAAGAGCACTTGCCAACGTTGTCACAGTATTTGTAATTGAAAATGCTGTTGAATAGTCAGAACCTCCATTCACTGAAACATTATGCAGAATTTTAGGGTATAAAGCAGAATATACAATTGTATTCAACACATTAAACACAATGCTAAATGCCAGCCATCCTATTGAGCTCTTCACCACATTAAATAAATTCTGAGCCCTACTGGTTCGTTGATTTTTCAATGAACCCTGATGATGATTTGGATCCTCTTCCGATAAATCACTAAAACTATCATGATGATCATAAAAATCCTTTGGATTGGAACCATCATGATGAGAGCCTATAGGAAGAGGAGGTACCAACGTGGTCGTAAATGATGATCTCACTACAGACTGTTGTTGATGATGATTATTTGCCAGTGAAAGGCTTGAGGAGGGTGTTGTTGTTGTTGTGGTAGTTGTTGTTGTGGAGTTAATCAAGAGGGGCGTTGAGGAATTGAGTTTCGGAGTTGTCGGTTGTTGAGCAGCCATTTTTTAACACCGTTGCGACACACCTTGTACTAAAGAATAATGAAAATGAAAATACTTTATGTGAGCAAGTTAAGATGAATGACGTGTTTGTTATTGTTGTTATGATTATTGTTTTGTTTGTAGGATGGAACAATGTTCAATTAATTCTGACAACAACATTGGTTCGGGTTGTAACGACTTCTTTCGAAATACAAATACCTTAAAGTTGGATTCAGATCTGGATCTACTCCAATGATATCTCTTCCAGTGACTGATATAAAGATGTGTCTTTTCATATCAATACATTGTAATGTTTCCAAATATTCAGAAATATCATCTAGTATTGAGAGTTTTTCAAATTGAAAAGGACCAGCCTCAACATTTCGAACTGTATTCCTCAAATGACATCCTTGCCATTTCAATCCATGTATAAATTCAATAAGAACTTGGGGAATTTCCTGCCCGGCATGATAATACTCTTTTCGTTGTCCAAATTCCTCTATTGTTGTAATTCCTTGTTTTTGGAGAACAGAGTAGATGAGAGGAATTAATATTCTCCCGTTCTTACTAGGATTGGAGTGGAAAGAATGTTCCATGAAATGATTGGAAGCAAGTGGTGGAAGAGATCTCACTAAAACTTTACGAATTTCGCTTTGATCAATTTCATAGTCTTGCAGGAGAGAAAGAGTAGAAGATTTGCAAAAAGTAGAATCCAGTCGACTGCAACTATGACTCTTGTACGATTGAGATAACTGTAAACGTCGACGTCGGTGTTTCTTATTCATTTCGTTGTGGTTGCTAATGATCGAATCATCTTGAACGATGGAAGAGGAACGGGTCATTCTCTTTTGTAGTGACTGTTCAAGGTTATCGTGGTTGAGATGGAGTGACATTGTTTTATGTCAATTTTGTAATTCATGAGTTGCAGGTTGAAATAATAAACAATGAAGCCCGCCAAAATTCGTTGATTTACAGTTTTTAGGCCATCAAATTCAAATTTAAAAAAAATGTTTCCATTCACTGACACGGAGCAGAAAGAGAGATTGGCCATTGAGAGACGAAGAATGGCAGAGGAGGAGCGGAAAAAGAGAATATTTGATCCGAAATTAAGAACAATGGGTGTTGATGTTCCGGGAATACAATCTCAAATTGAGGAGAAGGAGCTACTGAAGAAGAGAGAGCAAGAGAGAGACTTGTTCTTTGATAAAGCTGCCCTCACCAATGTCAAAGTTGCAAACATTATTGAAAATCAACACAAGGAAGCAAAAAAGCATTACCTGAAGGATATTAACGAATTTAGACAGACAGAGCAACATTTTGAAACCAGAAGAGAATTTGATTTGAACGATCCCAAATACTTGAAGAAAAGCCAACCCGCTAGAATTGGTGACAACGATCCGACATTAAGCATTTCTGGTGGGCAAATCATGCATGGAGAAGACCTCGGTAAAAAGGATCGAGTTAAATCGCAACAACAACAATTAAGAACTTGGGTTTCAGAGCAACTTGCTGAAAAGCAAGTGATTAAGGAAAAGGAAGACTTGGAAAAGAAGATGTTCGAGCAAAAAGAAATGGAGGTTCAGTTATTGGCATACGAATTGAGACAAAAAGAGCAACAACTCAAGCAAGAAAAGGAAAGGTTACGGAAGGAATTCAATATCGAGCAATGGAATGAAAAAGAGGAGCGTGAGAGGGTCATTAGGGAAAAGGAAGAGCTTGACAAGCTGGAGGAGATACAAAATCAGCTAAATAATCACGTGTTAAATGAAAGCTTCCACACTACCATTCATGCAAATGACCCTTCTAGATTTAGACCTGACCATTTTAAACATCTACGAGAGGATCAATATGAGCAAATAGAGAAAACAAGACAAGCTCAATTGCAGGAAATTCGCGAGAAACGGGATGCAGAAAGTCTTACTCAACAGTACTGGGATAAAAAACGAATCTTAGAGTCCAAAATGGCAGTACTCTCTCAACGAGAACAGGAGCGAGCAAAGAAGCAACAGGCAGCAGAGTTATTGGAATGTCACAAAAGACAAGCAGAGGAGAAAAAGCTGAAAGAAAAGGTTATCAATCAGGTGTATGCTAATCAAGTCACTGAGGACTTTTTTGACCGCTTTAACCAAAGCAGCCGCTAAGTGTAAATAAATTCACCCATGTTGGTGTGCAATAACATCAATTTAGGAGATTTAACGTTTGTATATTTAAATAAATAGCATACAAATACAATATCGAGCAAACATAGTAGCGATTAAAGCTCTCAGTTATAATTATTTCTTACATTCATCAACTTCAACTTTTTCATAATTATCGTCAAGATAGCAAAATTTTGCAATTTTAGACATTTTGTCCTCTAACAATTGTTGATATCTATCGAGATTGTAGTAATATTTATCTTGCAAACATGCTTGCCCTTCTTTTGGTATGTCTTGTAACAGGTTTGGTACTTGTGGTACTATTGGTTTTGCTTTTAGAGGTTGTGTATTCCGCTTCTTCCTTGTTGAAGATGATGATGATTGAGTGTGATGATTTGATGCCTTCTCCGATGACTCGGTTGGATTTTGTTTTCGCTTCCTAGTTGTTGATGATGCTGTATTGTTGTTTTTGGCTGGCTTCGGAAGTGGTTGATCAGTTGCTTCAATGCACTCCAGTCCCTTCTTGGTACACCGCTCACACGGCCGTTTCATATCACACCGAAGATGAGCCTTTCGACACCAATGACAAGCACGACCAACCTTTCCTCGTCGGTTCTCTCCTCGAGTCATTTTTTCGTTTTTGATAAGGTCTTGTTTTTTATTTTCGCAAGAACTCTTAATCCTTCTTCGTCTTTTTGAACGTGTAGGTGGATGGACTAGCCTGGAGTGAATGTGCAGTAGATAAAGGCTTGCTTTGAAGTATTTCTTTCGCAGTCCTGAATTCATTCTTTTTGGGAGTGGTGAGTGGCTTCTGGTTAGCTGATTGTAGTTGATTATGGTCCTCTTGGTTGGATGATTTTCGTTTCAGAAGCCTCACATCTGGAGTCACTGGTGATATGGACGGTGCCAATGAATTAGCATTGTTGTTTGATCCAGAATTTGATTCGTTCCTTACTTGTTTTTTGAACGTAAATTGTCGTCTTGGCTCGAGCTTATTTGAATTGGAGGCAAAGTGTGTCGAGAAGGGGTTAGTGAGATTCACTTGGTTACTATTTGCATCAGAAGATACAACATTTTCTTCGCTGCAAATATTCTTCTCGAGCGGTTTACGAATCTGCTTCATCTCCTGACTCAAGTGTTGCAACTCATCTTGCAAAGCATCTCGTAGTTTTTTCTTTGATTCTACTTGTTGAGTGAGATTATGCTTGCGCTGCCGTAAGTCTCTCAATTCCAAATTGATCAACTTCATTTGTTCGTTGCATTGTTGCTGCTCAGCTAGCAACAATTGATCCATGCGCTCTCTTTGGGTGTCCTTTAATTTCTCTGCATTTGTTCTCATGATAGCACTCAACTGGTCGTCTAGTTCGTACAAAGTATCCTGAATATGAGAAGTGCTTTCTTCCAGATCTTTCAGCTGCTGTTGCATGTTCTTTTTTCTTTCATTCATTTCGGAAAAGGTATTTCTAAGGCTAATAGTTTCTTCTAACATGAGTTGTTTCATCTTATTTGATCGTTGTAATTTGGTGTTGTACTCTTCCGCTTTGAGAGAAAGTTGATCAAGTGATGAATCGCATTTGTTGCATGTTTCTTCTGTTTGTTTCTGCTCTTCTTGCATCAGGGATTGTACATGCAACAGCTCATTGTCCTTCATCTTTAGTTTCCATTCTAGTTCAACCGTTCGTTGCTCGAGGTGAGCTCTGTGCTGAATTTGTTGTTCAATGAAGGCTTTCGTTTGTTGGATATCGTTTTGGTGTTGTTCCAACAAGGACGTGAAGCGAGCCTTATCCTTTGCTGCTTTGGAACATGCTTTCGTTGTGATCTCGTAATCCTTCTTCAACTTGTCCAGATTCAAACAAATCTCTTCAATGGACAGAGTGGATGAGGGAGCGGCCTCAATCAGGGACATTTTTTAAGGTGAGTTGTTCATTTGTAATTGCAGAAATCGACCTAAACATGCAACTTAGTTTTGTAGTGAGAACATCGAACAGGAAGCACATTAGGAAATGTACAAAGTATTGCCCATCAATTTTATTGGATATTTATGTACATGGAGTGCTGTGAATGGAGAGAAATATGGCAGGATTGAACGTGAACAGTTTCTGAACGATCATAACAAGTAAAATGGCGTTAACCATTTCATATCGATGTCTAGGGTACTGTGTCAGATAAAAACCATTAATGATTGTGAAGGGCTCAAAATCAAATCGCAACTTGAACAGGAAATACAACAAGCAGATTTATTCTGTAGAGCTCACGCAGGAGATTACAAATCGTTGACCTTCCGAATTGATTATTTCTTTTGAAAAATTAAAAATTGCGTATTTACAGTTATAAGATCACCCATGTAGAAACGTAAAAGCTTTATTAGCGAGGCCAAAAATTAATGGATGTGCATAGAAAATTAAGATCTAACAAATTGAGAGAGCAAATTCAGTATTTAAAGGATTTACAAGAAAGCGTTATGGAAAGAAATCTTTCTGTTCGGGCTCCTCATCTCAAAATTCTCAAAATGGTTGGCAACCAAATATAGAATGCGGAAGGTTTAGCAGAAGGACCTGTCACTGTGTTGAAACGACATCACACATCCGTCATCATTCCAAACGTTGTCCATCAAAGACAATTAAACTTGACACAAAATCACAACAAAATGCCAAGAAAGCGCACCAGCAACACAAGCACAAAATCCAACATTCTCCCCACACCCTCTCCTGAGACAAGTAAAACCACAAACACCAAACGAAAGAAAGGTGAAGATGAACCATCCACTTCGACCTCACCATCGGCCAGTGGTACCAAAAAGAGAAAAAGTAATTCCAGTGCAAGCAGTAGTGGCAGTGGAGCAAGTGCCAAGCCATCCACATCATTTGTTCCAAAACCTTGGCATTTGGAAGTACAACCAAAAATTGTTGAAAAGCTCTTCCAAGACGTCTATGTCATTCCAGATTATCAGCGTCCCTATGCTTGGGAAGTGAAGAACATTATTGATCTGTTGAAAGATATTCATGATGAGTACAAACAGCAAAAACAAACCTCGAGCTACTTTATTGGATCCATTGTTCTCAAACAACCTTCAGTCGGTGAGAGAAAGCAAGTGATTGATGGTCAACAAAGACTCATTTCCCTCTCGATTATTCTTGCCATGATTCGACATTGTCTCAAAGCATGGAGTCCCATAGACATTCAAGAATGTTCAACCATTTCACACATGTTAGTCGATACGGTCTATCATCATGGAGGTAGAATCCAAGTACTCAATGATAGAGGAGTGGCCAATACTAATGACACGTTCTTTCATAAATATGTACTCCAAGAAGGTGGTTTTGAACAAATGTTGAACAAAGTTGGAAAAAAGTCGATCGACCTCAAGATTTGCAACATGGATGGCCTTATTCAAGATTTGGAGGAGAAGAAAATTGTCTACTCTGCTACTGCCATTAATTGTGCTACGAATTACATTCATGTCTTTCACAAACTCAAAAAGTATTTCCAGGAAAATTGTGACGAATTAATCAACTTTTTCAAATTCTTCACCAAGAATTGTGTTGTGGTAGCTATTGAAGTTCCTGCAGACGCTGATGAAATGAACATCTTTGGAACATTGAACCTTAGAGGAAAAGATTTGTCTCCAATGGACAAGTTGAAATTAGATTTTGGTGTGAAATTTAGTTGCAGTATGGATGGTGGATTTGATGAGACTGAAAATGAATTACCTACCGTGGCACATTGGAATAAGATATCCCAAGAGTTAGGTGAAGAAGATTTTACATTGCTCTTCGAAACGATTTATCAACTCAAACACACTCCAACCAATGTCAAGACGAAAGAGAGAAATTATGTTGGACTTTTTGAAGAGATTGTTGAAGATATTAAGCAACACTATTCTCAAAACTCGGCTCAAGAATTTTTAGGTTCTACTTTCATGAAACATTACATGCAACCTTTATTCGTTGGATCTCAATCACGATTCTCCCACAAAAGACCAGAGTGCTTTAAAGCAAATATGAATATTCAGAAATGTCTAAGCAGAATCAATTTTATAGCAGACAATTATTTACCAAAGGATCAAAAGCAGTCCTCTAATATTGTAGTTTCAATTCTATTGGCAATGATTATCTGTCATAAAACTCACCAGAAATTTATGACATTTGACATTTCAGAGCTGAACCAAGGTTTGATTGAAAAACTTATCACACTATGGCATAACCACGTCATGTTAGTCTGTTTGTGCGACACTGGAAAAGTGAAATTCAAAGACATGATGAAAGAAATTCAAAGTATTTTAAAAGGCCCTAAAAGAAAAACAGTGGATGCAGAAGTTGAAAAGCTTTTACTAAAGGGAAAAAGTAAAGGAGCCGACGATAAGGTGGATTTCACTAAATGGGAGGAAAAGATTCAAAGACAAGTTCATGAAGGGTCAACCAGTGAAAGAGACAAAAAACAAACTTCAAGAATGATGAAAGTTTTTGAAATAATTCTTCCAATCATTAACGACCATCTAGGAAATACCAGTGAAAAGGAAATTTTGTACGATCCATCATGGAAAATAGTCAAGATATTTAGAGAAAGTCAATCCAAAAGGGAAAGCAAAGATAAGAAAATTGGAAACTTTACACTTGTCACAGCCAAACAAAAAGACGAAGCCAAAAAACTCTCCACCACCGACCTCATTAAGAAATTGCAAAAAAAGAATGGCTTGATTATTAACAACTCTAGCAACCTTCCTCAACAATTCAACCTTGACGAATGTGAAGAGAGAACAGAAATGTTTATCGAAACCATTAGGGCTATTCTTGATTTGAGAAAGAATTAAGTTGTTATTCATGGATCCACGTCCATTATTGTACTTTAAAATTTTATATATATAATTTATATTCTCGTATATTTTCAAAGGTTCTCAGTTAATTCATTGTGAAGAGGAATTCTGAATTTCTGCCATTCTTGCTTTAATCTTTTGAAGTGCTTCTAATCCTCCCAATGCAATAGAAATTCCACATTCTTCTGAGAAGTGAGATGGGAAATCAGAATCTGTAGGATTAATCCTAATCAATGTTCCTTTTGCATTTTTCGAAGATGCATGAAATCTTGACACTTTTGATTCAGATTCCATACGAACAGTAGGTACGCCTTTTCCAGCTCCAATTTCAATCACTACAAGATGAGATCCAAACTTGTACATGGCTTTCACAAATTTTGTTAATCCTTCCTCTTGTTCGTCACATCGAGAAGAAATCCAATGCGAATCTCCGAACATTAAAATATTGGGTCTTGCAAGAGCTCCACAGTCTTGACATCGTGGCAAACATTTTGTATCGACCTTAAATGTTTCAGGATCCACATGAAGAGGGTATTGTTGTTCAGGAGGACAAGTTTTGTTATGTTCCTCAACGGTGTAAATTTTTTCATCACATGGTTTCGTACATTGCATGTGTAAAATTGATCCGTGACATTCTACAATCTTGTTGGAAGGAAACACTTGTGGAAAGTGACCATCGACATTGGATGTGAACACATAGTAATCTTGAATGTGCGGTAATTGAGAAAATTCTTTGAGAATGTAATATCCTTCGTGTGGCTTCTTGGTAGTATACAAATCATATCTATGACCGAAAAATCCATGAGCTAGTGTAGGATCCTGTGTGTCAATGATCACAATCGGAAATATTCAAATTGTTCAATAAAATTTCAATAATATTATTGCATTATTTACAATAAAATTACGAATAGAAATCGTGAATATCATCATACCTTATCAAACCAAGTCGGATTACTCATTTGATGAAATTCAAGTCCTAATTTTTGCATTGGAGGATAGGCTTTCCAAAATCCATTCTTTCCTCTGCATGATGCATCGATGTGTGTGAATTGACTGACACCAACTTGTTGAACTTACCTAAAATCAGGTAAACCCGAATCGACTCCCATTCCAGCACCAGCTGTGAAATACAGATGAGAAGCAGAAAGAATTGCCTTGGCTGCCTTGTCGATCGCAGCATCCGAGAGTGAACTACTACAAGATGACTTGGAAATCATTTTTTTTGAATGAATTCCACCACAAACTACGCCTGAGCGTAAAGTGCATAAACTGACTGGTGCAATCTCGATTTTTAAAAGCCCGTACAAGAACTCTAAGTTCTGAACGTTTACAAAAAAATGAAACTGATCACTTACAACATGTGGCTTACTGCTTTGACTGTGAGAGTGCCACCTCATAAAGAAGAGAGAATAGAAGGATTGTTGAACAATCTTGCCTCTCAACCGTTAGCTACTGACGTGGACATTGTTGCTCTACAAGAAATGTTTACGTTCGGAAGCAGTTGGTTATTGCATGGAAATACCGAGTTGAGAGATGGTTTGATACAGAAAGCTTCAAAAATTGGATTCAATCATGTGGCACTGTCGAATGAGCCTAAATTTTTAATGCAAGATTCAGGACTCATGATTCTTTCAAAACACAAAATTGTTGATCAAGAAAATTACATTTTCAAATATGCGAGTTGGACCGAGTATATTGTAGCGAAAGGAATTTTGTATGCATTGATAGAGAAGAATGGATCCTCTTCGAATGAACATGATCGTGAATATGTCATGGTCTTTTGCTTGCATATGGATGCTCATACGGATTCGGCAAGAAGGGAACAAATTAAAGAGCTCAAGCAATATGTCAAGACGAAATTGGAGAAGGTATTCACAGAGAGAAATATTTCATTTCATGGCCAGAATTCCAAAAATCGAGTGGTTATTTGTGGAGACTACAATGTCAATAGTTTAAGGTCCACTGAAGGAAGCACCTATCAGTTATTAGCCAAAGAGATGAGTCAAGTGACAAACGAAGTTTCATTAAGCAATGCATTTGGAGAGGATGTAACCAAGCATCCTGTGACCTTTCCAATTAAGTTGTTTGATGACTGGTGTTTAGATCATGTATTTGTTTCTAAAGGCAGCTCTCAAGTGAATTATAATGTATTACAATGGACAACATCACCAAGTAAGGATGAAGAAACACCAATCTCAATCTCAGATCATTATGGTGTTTGTGCATACTGGGATTGACCTATGTGAACCAATAACAGGTTTGCACATTCAGATAGGTTTATTATTGGTCTTTCCTACATGTAAAGTGTGAAAGTGGAGAGCTCGAAAGTACCAAGTCGGCAAAATCCAAACTCAAGTTGACTGCCATAAATCTGCATGCCTTAATGCAATCCCTTCGTTCAATGTATCTGTCGAAGGACATGAGAACCATACCGAAACAGCTCTCTACTACAACAATGCCGTCGTTGTCTTTGTTACAAAATATCAAAACAGGACCCTTACCATCCATGACACATTCTAACTGTGTAAAATGTTTGCCTGCCATGGTAATCTCGACGCTCTTTCTGAAAACTAACTGAGAGAGAGAGCTGTTATTGGTATCTCGAAGGTTTCTGTACCTTCGAACTTTGCACAAAATATATCTCAAGTGGTGTTGGGAAAATACAAAATCCGCACTCGTGCAACATAGAACTTGACAATTTCGTGGATCTATTTGGTCATCAGGAAGGTCATAACAATCCAAAAAGGTAAAATTAAATGTAAAGGCTGCACAATCCACACACGAGGAACCTGTTGCTGTCAACAGAAACTTCATTTTAGAGTTGTATTCACAGCAGAATGAGCAAAAACAATTTCTGCAATCAAATCCTCGATGTAGCTGATGTTCAGCATCCAATGACCTTAATCCAGCTGTGTTCAAAATAAAGTTCAAGTCACCAACCATGGAATCACTGGATCGTAGAATTTGAGACTTGGGTGTGGAATCCATCTCAACCACCTCTGGACGAGTCAACTTCATTTCCATTCGTAATTGATATGAAGCCATAAAACAACCACGAATATCCACCATACGAATTTGAGGCAAATGATGATCGTGCAAGGCTTTCGCTAGTGGTCTCAACGACAATGAAGTTATGCATGTTCTTCTCAAAATAAGAGTCTCAGTATTTGTAAGGAGATTAGTATTCAAATAGAACAATAGTTGATGATCGGTGAGAGTCCAATCATCGGAAAAGTTTAACATTCTCCAGTGCATAGAGAGGGGATTCAAAAAGAAATCATAGTATGTTGCTTTGGAAATTGGAGCAATGAAACGCTGAATATGTCTCATACTGAGATATGATGCAATCATATGCAAAATCTCGCATGGTATTGTTTTCCCGTGAAAGTCCAAGTATCGATGTGTTTTATCATCATGCTTTGTTGAGGGTTCAGAGGCTTTCCAGCAACAAGCCATGGATACTCTTGGAGTCTGAAAATCATTGATCTCATGATGCCATGATGATGAGATTTTCCAACCCGAGTCAGGACTTGATAACACCTCGCTTGAATAGGCTATTGCATTTCCCATCCTTATAGAAGATGATTGTAGGTTTCTTGTTCGCTACTACTAAGCCTTGAGAGCCTTGCTGATCTGTATCTAAGGTGAGGCACGATAGGTAAGAGCTATAATTTTTTTAAGGGCTTTTCGGTTGACCAAAGGCATTAACCATTGTGGCTTTCATTGTTGTCGATCGCTGTCGGTTCAAAAGCATTATGGCAGGTTGTCAGTGCGTCATCATTGTTGGTAGATACAGTTATCCCAGCTTGACCTCCAACCATTTCATGATCTTCATCGTCATCACTGTAATTGAAAATGTCTTCAGAAATATCTTCGAGTTCAGCCTCAGTACCCAATGCCTTTTCATAATTATAGAACTTTTCCATTTGAATTCGTTTGGCATTGATTGCATCTACCAATAGATCGGAAATACCAACTCTTGTTTTGTTGCTAATTTCACGATAGGAGAAGAGTTTGAAACGAGTCTTGTACTCTTCACCTTGCTCTGTTTTGATGAGTTTGACTTGTTCGGAACCTTCTTCATCACGTAAATCGATTTTCATCCCAACGAGAATGATAGGTTTTGTAGTTTTGCTTTTTGCACGAATTTCCCTAATTAACTATGGAATTTTTGAAATGTTTTTTAGGGAAATCAAAATACGAATGCTATGTACACCTACCTTCTTGGTTTTGCTAAATGATCTCTTGTCAAAAATTGAAAAACACACGAAAAACATGTCTTCCTTAATTGCATGACTTTTCAACAGGGATTTGTTTTCCTTGTTAATTTCTCTAAAATAAATATAATATGGTTCTTCGTCGTGTATATAGACAGAGTCATAGAGTCTTCTTGGTCCCACCACAAAGCTTTCCAATAATAAAGCAGGATTATTGCTGCACCTTTTGATTAATAAACTCTTTCCAACTTCCTCAGTTCCAACGACAGTAACAAATACTGAAAATGCCCATTCATTCTGCAATTTGAAATATGGACCAAAACATACCTTGATTTTCAATATAGAGTTGTTTCAAATGCTTGTACGAAACCATTGAGAAATCGAGAGAGTGCTCTGTGCACAGCGGTTCCCAAATTGTGTTATCATCTGCAATATCTTTGAATTCTTTGCAAACTAATCGTATGGAAAGAATAAATTTAAATTCTAAAAATTGAAATATATAGTTCTTAATTTCTTGTGGAAGAGCTGTAAGAAAAATACTTTTCTGAATGATGACTTGTTGAGCTTGCTTTTCTGCTGAGGCAATATGAGGTGGGCTAGAGGCAGGGTGTTTTCGTGCTAAAAGAACCAGATTTTTAAAGCTCCTGCTAAATCTCCCCTTGTCATGTTGTTCATTTTCGTTTTCGTTGATGATAAGAGCTCCTCCTGTTGCTGATGTGTCGTCTGATGTTTGAAATACATCAATAATATTATTGGACGACTTGGGAGAGAGTGTTTTCACTTTGCTCTTTGTACTAGATCCGGTATGCACAAAAGGTTCACTCATTGCTGTGACAAACTTGGACAAGCTTTTAGCTCTTGACTTTTTCCTTACAGTTGCATTCAAATCCACTGTACCATTTCCTTCATTGTCAGCTCCAATCTCAAATTTTTTGAACCAATCTTCAAATTCAAGCATGACAGGATCGAGTTCTTCCACTCGTTGCTGTTGTTCATCTGTTGTCGTTGAAGATGTAGGAAGTATGTGATGATTATAAGCATTCGATAACATTTGTGCCTCATGCAGAATATCATCTGTTGCAGGTGGAGAAAAACACAAAACATCGGAATGGTCCGAATCAGAGATAATGTCATCCACAAATCCATGATAAAACTCATCTGGAGACAATACTTTTTCAGCACCTGTTGGTGACGAGACCACAAGCCGTGGTGAAGTAATACCATTGTCTTCCGATGATAAGTTTTTTAGTGACAAGTTTTTCTCTTCTAGGGATGTTGATGCTGATTTGAAAGCATTGCTCTCATGATGGCTGCCTGGCAGTTTGAGATGATGATTCCTCTTTTTCAATAAACTATGAAGTTGATGATATTGTTGAGGATTTTGATGTTGATCCACAATGTAGTGAGCTTGCGAGGTGTCTGTAATGGATAAAAGTAAACCATGAACTCCTTCTTGTTGTTGTGTTGCTGAATGAAAATGGTCATGATGATGATTCGTGGTGATATCGGTGGCGTGTTCATTGCCGTCCATCGTCGGGTGTAGCAGTGTTGATGATGATCCCGCATTCATGTGGTTGTTGTTTTCATCATCATCATCATGATACAACAATCCATGATTACTTTCCAAATTAATACTACAATTTGAAACATTGATGGATTGAGCCGAGGAAGACAATGAAGAGGATGTTGAGGAGGAAGGAGAGCTGTTTCCGGTTTTCCTCTTCATATGATAACCGAGCCATGAAAGAAACGAAGAAGCCTTACCACTACCACCACTTCCGCTCGAAGAAGAACGTCCATGACGACCCAAAGGATGTTGAAAGCTTCCCGAAGCAGAGGTTGAAGATGGAGAACTCAATAACGTGGAAGATGAAGACACGGGTAGGAGAGCAGTGTTGGAACGAGAAAATTGTGGTCGAGCGGCCGCCGTTATTGGTTTTGTTTTGGGAGAGGTTTCCTCATGAAGCGGAATGATGAGAGGATGATGATTTGCGGCATGCTGCTGCTGTTTGTGTTTATCGTTAGGGCTGGAATCGTCTTCTTCGTTATTGTTGTCGTGGTGGCTAGTTTCATCTTTTCTTCTTCTTCGGAAAGAGAAGGGCATTATAGAAATGTATGAACGGTCTTGTTGGATTGGTTGATTGGATTCAATTATTATTGAAATAATGAAATAATTCCGAATATAGTGATGGTGTTGTTACTGGAGAAGAACGAAGTTAGAGGATGTTGTTGGACATGATTCCTTTTCGTAGAAAAAAGAACACTTTCACGAACAAGAGATGAAATATGTGATTGCGTTGAATGTGAATTACAGATCAAGAGATGTTGTTATAGAGAGGCCAATGGCTGAATTTTTAAATTGTTGGCAAACCTTATGTTGACAAGTGACGTGCTCAAAACAAGTTATGGATCTGTGATTCTTATTTCACCTTATCATTTTGTAGCAATCAATGTTGTTTCATGGAACTAAGGTTAAAACTTTTCAATTCTCCTCAACATTGTTAAAGATTGTAAATCTCAGAAAAACTAAAACGATTTATTTGAAATAATTCTCATCCGCTTCCAACTTATTTCTCATCAAAAAATTGATCCTTCATTGTTGTTGGTACCAAAAATCTATCTCACTCCCTGATCGGAACCATCTTCATCGTCATCATCATTACATTCATCCAATACAAACAAAATAGAAGATGGATACGAATGAAACAACACCCATTCTCTCTTCCGATGATCCAACAGGTGTGAGTTCTACGTATCAAACCAACGACCACAACAATAACAACGAGGCTGTCCAGAGTGAGTATGATGAGGCTAAACCACTTCTCGTCAAGACTCCGAAGGTTTATAAAAGGCGATGGTTTATTCTTCTCATTCAGTCCATGCAATGTATGTTGATTGATTATTGTCAGAATTGAACGTATCATTATTTGAAATATTATTGATCATGGGTTTTTCACAAAAATCATTGTTGTAGCGTTATTGTCTGCTTTTTATCAAACCATGTTCACCTCCATTACATCGAGCGTTTTGAGATATTACAGAATGAAAGCGACCGATGGTTGGAAAGTTTCATTAACTGCTTCTGTATATTTAATGTTGAGTTTTCCAGTGGGTTTACTTGCTGCTTATACGATGAAGAAAAAAGGTTTAAGATTTTCATTATTTATTGGATCAATTTTAGCGTATGTAAATGTCATTGATTTTGCTAAGTGAACTTACCTAATTTCGTTTCGTTTGTGAATGTGTGACAATTATGATTGTTTACAGGTTTATTTCAGCTTGGATTAGGTTTGCAGGATTTAAATCTGGAGAAGAATTATTCTTTTGGATTGCATTTGCTGGATATGTGGTGGGAGCACTGTCTTCGCCGTTTGTCGTAAGTGTGTTATGAATTATTGGAAAGCCATTTCATTTACTGAGCTACTTGAATTTGTAAATAATATCAAAAATATTGATGTTTCTGTTTCTAATGAAAATATTAATTTTTTGAACATTAGGTCAATACTGGTACTTTGCTTTCCAAAACTTGGTTTCCTGCCAAGCAACGTACTATTGCAACAACCATTACATCGTTTTTAAACATTGTTGGTACAGGTGTTGCATTTGGTGCTGCAGCTGGTCTAGCAGGTAAGATCATGAAATTTTATTCACTCCTCTTAAATGTTTATTCTATGAATTTTGGATTTGGAATTGCATACAAACAAAATTAGGAGATGCTAATTACAACAACGACCTTGGAATGATCGAGTTATTGGCGCTACAGGCCATTCTTGCGAGTGTCTTCTTAATAATTGTCGTGATATTCTTCCAAGATAAACCACCCTCTCCACCTTACATGGTAAATGAAGAAAGCCCAGAAGAAGAATTATCATTTCTCCATGAAGTCAAGAAAATGTTCACAAATATTCCATTTATATTTATTTGGCTAGCGTTTGGATTTGGAGTGGGCTCTGTTAATTGTTTCCTGACAGAGTTGAATTCCATCGCGACACCTCAAGGATACAGTGTCAATGAAGTTGCATTTATGGGAATTTCATTTGTGGCTACCGGTCTACTTGGAGCTGCCTTGTAAGTGAAATTATTATGACAGTTTACTAATATTATTATTTAATATTGAACTTTTTCTCATAACTCTACTTTGTTGAACTAATCTTATCATTTCGTAAAATTAATATAAATGGAATGGTGGAATTTCTGATAATTGTAGATTTGGAGTTGCAGCAGACATTACTAAACGATACAAATTAATTTTACTCATTGCAGGAATTCCTGCCGCTGGTTGCTATGTTTGGTTCTCAGTGAACAACCTTGCAATACGCACAGACACTCATTTCATCTTAGCAATGGTCTCCATTTGCCTTATTGGATTCTTTGGAATTCCTCTTGTTCCAATCATGCTTGAAATGGCCTGTGAATTGACATATCCCGTCCCTGAATCATTCAGTGCATCTCTCATGTTTGGAATTGGTAATTTGATGAGTGTTATTTTTATATTTATTTCAGAAGCTCTCAAACAAACACAAATAGATCCAAGAAGTGGCAGAGAAGTCGTTCTTTCCATGCAAAATTCCATGTGGTTCTGCATGTCCATGTTATTATGTAGTGTGGCTTTGGCGTGCTTGGTAAAACCTGTGTATAAGCGAATGGAACATGAAAAGAAGCTCCACGAACAAAGTTTGCGAAATTTACGTGCCATCAATAATTGAGGCCTTACTGAGTGGATTTGTGTAGATCCAAAAGAATCTTGAGAATCAAATTCTGTCAAAATTCATAAAGTGTTTTCTTCAAGAACTTAATTCTATTTTTAAAGAGAAAAAAAAATGTCCCAAGCAGCCAATAGACCCTTGAAGGAATTCAACAAAATAAAGACCAAGCCAGTAGAAGGATGCTCCTTTGATCTTGTCAATGATAATATGAGACATTGGAAGATTGTTATTGCTGGACCTACAAATACACCTTATGAAGGAGGAAAGTTTGAATTTGATGCTCAACTTCCTGACAAGTAAGTGTTGATCGTGCGAATAATTTGAATCTCTAATATTAATGAATATTGTTAATTTGTTTCCCTCATCAATATTGAATATAAATTTCTCAATATGATCCGACGGGATGACTCACTGGGAATATTCTTGATGATCAAATTGGAAAATCTACAATTGCCATACAACAAATGATAATAATATTATTGTAAATTCAATTTTAATTCATGATTTTAATTTCCATCATCAACCATTTTAGCTACCCATTCAATCCTCCTAAATTCATCTGTAAGACAAAGACCTACCATCCAAACTTTGATAACAATGACGGAAGTATTTGTCTCGGTATTTTGAAAAACGATGAATGGAAACCAACTTGTAACATAGAAGCAGTCGTATTGGCCATTCAAGAATTAATGAGAAATCCAAATACAGCCTCGCCACTTGATGCCGATGCTGCTGAAGTTTATGTCAATGACAGGACCAAGTTTGACAAGACTGCTCGTGAATTCACCAAGAAGTATGCCAAGTAAAGCTCCTAATGATTTGTAGCAATTAATGAACTTAATGAATTTTTCAATTATTTCTTTAGTTGTTCATCCTACACACATACCAATCCATTCATTTATTTCGATCCCCATTTACACAGATATGAACTTGCAGAAACTGTCGTGCTGCAGACGCAACAGATCGTTCCTTACTAACATGGCAATCTTTTCAGGGTCTTGTGTCAATCGTTCTGGCGAGAATGTTTTGTTTGTGATTTGTTCCAGTACTTCAGGTTTGTTGGTTAATTGCAAAGCAGCCTGTTTCACAACGTCTCTAGCTTGTGGAGAGCTTGGATCTAATTTAAGATTGTGCAAAAAGTTGGCCAATTCCATGCCTTGTTCTGGATGATTCACACTAAAGTGATAGACATAAGGGAAATGAATGAACCACAAATCACCACGCCACAACTTCTTTTCAGAGTCTGTTTGTACAGGATGAGAGCTCACAACCACAACCATATCTATACCACTCTTTGTTGCAATACGTTTATAAGGAAGATCTGCTGGCATTGGATCAAGAGGAGGTGGTAAGTTTCTTGAAGCAGAGGCCTTGGGAAATTTTGGATTAGGAATGTGAATATATTCGGTTCTTTGAATGGTGACTCCCTCCGTTCGTTCCAGTAATGACTCCACATACTTGTAAGCACATGCTTTCAAAACCTCTTCAGTTGGCGTCATGGTGGATTGTAGATTTGTTCTTAGAACAGTGTTAATTCTGTTCCATTCAAGAATAAGGTCATTTCCTGTAATGTCAGTCAATCGGAATTTACCAGAATCTCTGAACGCAGATGATTCATTTGCGAGTAAGCCTGGTTGAACAAAATTATCTGGAATAATCAAGTGAATATGTCCTTCTTCTGAAATGTAAACTAGTTTCTTTGTGCCCTCACCCACGTCATTGGCGTCAGCAACCGTAGCGTTATTATCGACAGACAATTCCAAAATTACTCCATTCTTTGTATTAAAATAATTTCTATAAGGATTTCCATAGATTAATTTTCTGATATAGTCCCCAGTTGAAAATTCTGGACTGCTTCTATAATTTAATTCAAGCCATCCTGCTGTGCTCAATAAACCTATGGCAGTCCATATGGCATACTTTTTAAATTTGGATCCCGATGTGGATTGTCCAGCTGAAAAACTCTTCTTTTGTTGTTCTTGCTGATCAGAATCTGATGAAGACTTGGATTTTTGTTGCTGAGTTTGTGTTCTATTCAAATCGGAAAGAATTGATTTTTGTCTAAAGACAGGACTTGATGACCCTAGTTGTTTCATTCGAGAATCTACTATGGATGATGGAAAATTATTGATGCTAGAAGAAGGTAACTGATGACTCGCATTTGGAAGAGAGAGCTCCCACACACTCTTCTTCCTAAATACAGCAGAGGATGAAATCACCAATTTCTTCATTTTTTTTAATCTGTAAATGGAAACTCTTGTGCTGCCTGATTGTTTCAATGAAACTATCGTGTATGGAGGAAAAAGGACTTTCTCTTTGGACAGCTGAAAGTGTTCATGTTTATTCCATTACTTTCTCACTTTTTTCTTTGGATTCAAATTAATATTAGCTTTGTAGGTGGCAGCATGTCTTGAAAGCCATTCCAAAGCTTGTTCTTTCTCAAACTTTTCTGGATACTTTTTAAATCGTTCGTTTGTTAGATCCTCAATCACTTCTGCTACCACTGGGCCTGGTGTTGTTTCTAAAAGTCGAGCAATTTCGTCACCTCGTAGTGGTGAAGAATCTTGACTGATTTCAACTAATCTTCTGTGCTTTTCGTTCAATGCTTTGAGGAATTTGACAGCACGGAAGCAACGCTTCTCTGTAAATTCGGTTCCTTGTGTGTCAATGACGTTACATAGCATGAGAGATTTGTCGTAAAGCTCTTTAACAAAGTTTCTCAACCATTTACCAACAAACTCCCGATCTTGTAGAATAATGTCACTAAAGAAGTCTTCATCAAGAGTCTCTTTCTTGTCTTCACAAACCAATACCTTGCTCTTAATTTTTTGAGCTCCGTAAATAATGGTAGATACATTGGCCGCCAATTTAAGTGGTAACCGGAATGATGACACAATAAGATTATAACAAATTTCCTCAATGCTTGCTTTTTGCATGCTGGCGTCAGTATGTGGCGATATGAAGGCAGCCAGCAATAACTCGGCACGCTCATCCAGATCCAATTTGTATCGTTTTGAAAGCTTAATCATGATACGCATTCTATAGAGAGCGTTTTCCCAATGCATATTATCTTTAAATTCCATTGGTATAGGGCGTAAATATTCCCTTGGAAACGCATCTTTCTTTTTCTTTGGGCCAGTCGAGTATGTGAAAATGATGTGCTTAATTTGCATTTCTCCAATTAAAGCAAAGGCTCCCACAGGATCGTGACCCTTTAACATTTTCAAAATTTCTGTGCCTACACGTTCTCTGCTTACTTTTTCAGCAAGTGCAACATCAACGTCATGATTGTGAGCGGCATCCATAATTTCATCAGCAATTAAAAAGTCAAAGAAGCAAGCAAATCTAATTGCTCTCAAAATACGCAAAGGATCGTCTAAAAATGTTTGAACAGGAGGAAGTGGTGTTCGAATAATTTTTCTCTTCAAGTCATGAATACCTTTTCCTGTGAAATCTTCAACAATCTTTTCATTGATGTTGTAAAAGAGAGCGTTAATTGTCAAGTCTCTACGAAATGCATCTTGTTGTGGAGTTCCAGAGAAATGTTTGAAGGTATTCTTGACTCTTCAGCATATTCCTCGCTACGGAGGTTCACAAGATCAATAGATTGACCAAAAATATGCGTTGTAGCAGTTTCTAAATGTTTGCTTTGTTCAGGATTTGCAGAAATGATACCAATTGATTTAGTTGGTAGTCCTTTCAGTTTTTCGTATTTTTCCACATATTGTGCAAATTCTGCTCCCATCATATTATCGAGAGCAATGTCAATATCATCACCATCCAATCCCAACAACTTGTTTCTTACCCATCCTCCTGCCACTCTCAATGTTGTTCCTAATTTGTAATAATCATTTACTTGAAGTAAGAAATCAAATATCTTTTGCTCTTGTTCTGTGATATGAATAGGTGGTTGATTTTCTTTCGTTAATGGCCCCGAGGGTAATTTTTCCAAATATTCCTTATATTTATCATGAGTGGCTTTATGGAATCGATGTTCTTTTAAATAAATATGTTTTTCTTGTTGATACAAATGATCTTCGTGATCATCATGAACATGATAAACAGGATTATGAATACTCTCAAGCTTCCAAAAATTGTGAGATGAGTGAGGAACTGGTGAAAGAGGAGTTTGGTGAGTCAGAGAATCGTCGCCATGTTGTGATGGTACCGAGGACGTAACTTTTAATGACGATAATTCATCTTCGGAAGATGATGACTGTTCTGGAGTGGTTGAAGACATTTTTTTAGAGTGATGATGAGAAGGCTCTAAAGAGGATTGAACGATGATATTACGGAATGGAAATGAAACGTTTTAAAATTAGACAAATTAGACGGATACTGATGGTTGTTGTCATGATTCAAGAATGGAATTGCATTCAAGTGAAACCTAGTGCTAGAATGTTGTAATATTGAATTGTGGAAATAACAATTATTATAACAATATCGGAGGGGAACTTTCATAATAATATTTTTTTGGGATCTTGTGGTCATCTCACGCTAATCGTTAATTACTTTTACCCATTTGCTGTTCAACAATCCGTAACTATTTAAGCACTCTGGAATGGGCTGTTCTTGAGAAGATGTTGAGGGTTGTTCAATAACTCGTCACAGCTCAAACGGATTTGCTTCATTGTATCTCTATCTCGGATCGTGACAGTATTATCCTTTAAGGTTTGGTGGTCAACAGTGATACAATAAGGTGTTCCAATTTCGTCATGTCTTCTATACAAAACTCCAATACTTGGAGAAACATCATAATCAGTAGCTACTACTGTTGAGAGCTTATTGTAAATATCTTCAGCTTTTTGCATCAACTCAGCTGGCTTCTTTTGGAGTGGAAAGACTGCAAACTTATAAGGAGCAAGATCTGGATGAATCTTTAAGACCACTCGCTTCTCTTCCTCGCCTGGAACGTCCTCTACATTATAAGCATCATAGAGAAGAGAGAATAATACACGGTCTACTCCAGCAGATGGCTCAACAACATGTGGAACATATCTTTCGTTGGTTTGAGGATCAACATATTCAAAGGTGTGTCTATCTTTCTTTTCTGTTGAAGAGAAGAAGAGTTAAATGTTGAAAAACACTGCAACTCAATATTAAAAACTTACTGGATGGTTGAGCATGAGCTTGAAGATCATAATCAGTTCGGTTTGCAATTCCCCAAATTTCAGACCAACCAAATGGGAATAAATATTCAATGTCTGATGTTTCTTTGGAGTAGTGAGCCAAATCTTGAGTCTTTGTATAAATTCTCACATTTTCTTTCCTCAACCCTATTTTCAACAGCCATTCATAACAAAAGTTCACCCAATATTTGAAATAATCCGACGAGGTAGATGGGTGACAGAAATACTCTAGCTCCATCTGCTCAAATTCACGAGTTCTGAAAATAAAATCTCTTGGAGAAATTTCATTTCTAAAAGCTTTACCAATTTGTCCAATACCCAATGGTAACCTTTTTCTAGATGTAGTAATGACGTTATTAAAATTAATAAAAATTCCTTGTGCTGTTTCTGGTCTCAAATAAGCAGTATTTTCTTCTTTTTCAACTGGTCCATACATTGTCTTGAAAAGCATGTCAAAATTTCGAATTTTATCCCAAGAGTTGCTCTTCTTGTCACATGGACAAGTCACTTGCGAAGAATTAGAATTCATCCATTCATTTTTTCTTTAGCAGTTTCCATTTTGTTAACAACATCTTTGGAGGATGGATTTTGTTGCCTCTTAAGCAAGTTCTCAACTCTGATTGTACGTCAATATCTGAGAAAGTATTCTCATTACTTACTCGAATCTTGAGTGGCATGTTAAGCATGTCACTAAAGGATCTGTAAAGTTTCCAATGTGGCCAGACTTTTCCCATACTTTGGGATGGAGAATAATTGGTGTATCAATTCCAACACAGTCTCTACGAAGTTCTACAAAGTCTTTCCACCATAAATCTTTGAGATTCTTTTTAAGCTGTGAACCAATAGGGCCATAATCAAAAGATCCAGACAATCCACCATAGAGTGATGAGCCTTGATAAGCAAATCCTCTTCTTTTACAGAAAGCAACAAAATCATTTACTAATGAAAATAACCAAAATTTTCATAACCAAATTCCGTATGGATGTTCCATAATAATAGATGACTGATCATCTTTGAAAATACACTCCTCTCACAACTTACAACTTGGATGATATTCGTTTGAAGCACTAATTGTTTCTTCGGGCGCCTCGGAATTCGCAGTTTCCTTTTGTTTTTTCAACTGTTGGATCTGTTGTGAAAAGTTTCTTGATTCTATCATTCCTCCCTTCTTGGATGGTACCATCACCAACAAGGAATTCTTGGCATGATGATGAAGCGAGGCTTTACTTAAAAACACTTGTTTGGTTGTTTTCAACATTTTTTTCTTTCTATTAATTCTTCTTTTTTGCCATCAAACCAACTGCCCGATGAAATGATGAAAACGCAATTCAGCACTTTCTTACTCAATTTCTAATTAAAACCATGAAAATATTAATTTAATTCAAAGAGGAATGGATTCATGAACCTTCGTCACCCAATTTCATTCAAATACAAAAAATAGAAAAAAAGCCTTTAATCTCTCTACAAAGGTACAACACCAATTTTTCCGACATTGTTCAACGTTCCGTTCAAACTCTACTTGATTGTATTTTCAACAACAAGGCATCAACGTTTCATTACTTGTTCTTCAGAGTCCTTTTTCAACGGAAACCATTACTGAGATAGCAAGTCAATATATTATAATCATCCGGAGAGTGTTGATAGAAAATGAAATCTAGAGCATCATTGTATTTATTATTTATAACGGCAACAATGATGACCATAACGTTGTGGTTGTCATCGGGAATGGAAGCTAAAGGATTTGATGTTATTGGACATAGAGGAGCTCCTAATCTAAGACCCGAACATTCCTATGAATCCTATTTATTAGCTCAACAGAATGGAGCTGATTATATTGAATTTGATGTGATGCCATCCAAGGATGGTATTTTGATGTGTACACATAGCTTTGAATTGGATGGTATGTATGGATTTACAAATTTCATGTGGATCGATTTTGGAAAATTGTTGATATGTTTGGTGGATGGGTGTTTACACTTTATCAAATTGACATCTATATTTCACCATTATTATTCATTTCAATATACAATTATTGAAATTAATCAATGATAACAGAAGTGACAAATGTGGCATCGGTAGCAAAATTTGCAGATAGAAAAAAGACAAAAACTGTGGAATTTAAAACTTACACTGGCTGGTTCATTGAGGATTTTACAGCTGCTGAATTGCAAGAATTACGATTGAAAGAAAGATACCCATTCCAAGAGGAACAAAGTTTGACACTCTCTTTGTGATGCCAACGCTTGAAGAAGCAATTCGTTTTGTGAATGCAATCACTCCTGGTTCAATGTCATCTTCAAATCAAAAAATCAAATTATACATTGAAACAAAGCATCCTAAATACTTTGCTGATGTTTTGAATGTTGACATTAATCGATTATTAGTGAATGAACTATCAAAATTTGAGTACTTGGAATGGACCATGTTCCAAAGCTTTGAATCCACCAGTTTAATTGCCATTAGAAAAATACTGCAAGATCGCAGTATTACACCGCTCGGATATGTCATGTTGGTTGATGTTAATAGAACACAATTCGACACCAATCAACCATACTCTGAGTATTTAACTCTGGAAGGACTTCAAAAGGCTGCCAAATTTGGTGCTACTGGAATTGGTCCACACTTTAGCCTTGTCACGAAAGAATGGGTGGAAAAGGTGCATGCTAATAACCTAATTACTCACCCCTACACGTTCAGATCTGAACCATTTTTTATGAACAAGACTCCTTTTTCTAGTTTTAAGGAAATGGTTACGACATTTATTGAAATTGGGGTTGATGGTATTTTCACTGAAGACCTTGTCCAAACGAGAGAAATTCTTTCCGAGTATCAAAACAATGGAATTAGAAATGTCATTATGGCTTTGACTATCGTTGCCATTGTGATCATTGCAATTGTGACCGTTGCTTCTGTTGTGACAGCTTGCGTTTTCAAGAGAAGAAAGCAAGGGGCTTCAACGGAACACCTCACGAAGGGCAGCAATGGCAAATTCTACGGTGTTGATGGAGATGGAGAATCCGATCAAGCTCGCTTAGTGTCAAACAAGCAATAAATACTTTCCAGCTTTTGTTAAAAACAGGTCCTGTTCATGGTTAGAGTTGCAGAAGTTTAGAGACTGGGCTGGTTTTGCTTGGATCAAGCACAATCATGTATTCCAACAAATCTATCACAAACAAAATAGTATCAATGAAATAAATTAATGAGATGTTATTAAGATATTATTGTTTGTACAAATGTGTCATGAGAAGCGCTTTCAAAAACTAGAAAAAGTCGTTAGGGTCTTCCCATTTGGTATTGTTCACCGAAGGATACAAATTAGATGACGATTTCTTATTTTTCTGTTCATTGTCAAATTGAGCAAAAGGATCCTGTTCATCATTGGTGCTATTGAAAGGTACGTCTACAAAGCCACCATCATCTTGCAAATGGCCTCCGAAACTGACACTAGTGCTGTGAACTGGTGGCGTTGATGTTGGCTTTGGTGTTGGTTTCGGTGGTTGTGGTGGCAAACGTTGAGGTCTTGATGGCAATGGCATTGTTTTGGTACTTGGTGACGATGAAGCTGACACAGATTGAGGTTGTGTTCCAGTGGTTGGTGAAGTGACCATGGAAGCTGTTCTTGATGGAGGTGGAAGGAAACCCTTCTTTTTGGATTCTTCCTCAAATGCATTGAATGGTTCGTTAATCGTAGGATCATAGTAGGTCTCTTCAGTTTGAGCAGAAATCGTTTGGAATTTTTGAATTCTCTGTTGTCGGAATTGCTCAATTTGATCCTTTACATGAATTCCAATATAATCCTCATAGAGACCAATCAGCAATTCACATGTCTTGTTAATGGCTTGACTGTCTTTGGCCATTCTCATTGGATTGTTATCAGCTGACTTCAAAATATTCACACCGAACACAATCGACAAATTGGACATGGTCATCTTATTCACGTCAGAACGATCGGCAACTTTTTTCAAAAATCTCATCAACTTGTCCAACATGGCAATATGTTCAATAGGTAACTGTTTCACTAAATTGAGCATTCCATAACCAATCTCGCTCTCGTCTTTCAATTGCAATAATTTCAAGAAGGAGTCATACCGTTCGTAGGTAAGTAAAGGCTCAGGCATTTCTCTCAAATACATTTTCAAAAGACTCGAAACGACGTGAATGTCTTTAAATTCCTTAGTAGCAATCATTCCACCCAAATCCAAATGTTTCTTTCCATTGTCATACATTTTTTTCACATAACTCACTCCTACAACTTCTCCAGCCAATCTGAAAATTCCTTCCACGTCCAATCCTTTCAACTCTAAAAATTCGAATAAATCGACACACATATTTGGAACCACGTCGCGGTTCAATTCTCGTTCTCTCTTCATGACTGTTGTGAGTGGAACACCAAAGACTTGTTTGTCTTCTTTTGGTTTTTTAGGTTTTGATTGTTGAGCTTGCTGTGCTTGTTGAGCTTGTTGATTCTGAATTTCCTTGTAATTGATGATATCATTCACGTCATAGGAACGCATGGCTGATCTGGATTTGCCTGTAATGAGATGGCTCTCTAATTCGTCCAATACTTGTGAACCCTGAATGAAATAAGTTCTATAGACTGAAATAAATTGTCGAATAGCATTCAAATATTCATAATCTCGAAGTTCTTCTTGGTATTGCAACTCTTTCATGATATTCTCATGAACTTGATTTGCTAATTTTTGTTTCTCTTCAGCATCCTTTTCAGCATTCTTAATCTTTACCAAATCATTGGATTTCTGTTTGAGAGTATTGTATCGTGTCACATCCACATTGTGTTCCACCACAGCCTCTCTATAGTATTCTTTGAGATTCTTACAAGCATCTCCTTCTTCCATGGCTTCATGAACCTTACTCAACAAAATGCTCGAAACATCATTGTTCATATTACTACGTAATTCGGAAAGTTGTTCCAAACAGCAACCCAACTGATCAAACATGTTAAACATTTTGTTAACTTCCAAATTGGTATACAAGGTACGAGGAGGAGCAAACGACTCTCCCGAAACATAGTCCAATTTGAGTGTTGCTGCGTATTCTTTGAATTGAGTTCCTAGAGTCAATTCATCTTCGGAATGGCTCTGAGAGGATTTGGTAAACTTTCTCAATAATTTATCCATTTCCTTGTAGTGTGTTTGAGAGTCTTTGAAGGCTTGGTTGGCACGAATGAAATCATCAGGAAATTCAATTTCTTCTGCTTTTCCGATGGTTTTCATGATTTTGTGTTTTCCTGTTTTGATGTTATAATGAGGAAGGTGAGGGAGTGAGGTCAGTATATATTTCCATGATATGATGATGATGATGATTTTGATTATCATACGAGTGTTTTCGTTCGTTATGGAAAGAAGATGAAAAGATCAAAAATCATCATATTGCATCCCAAATGGAGAAAATAGAAATACATGAAGAGAACCAATATGTTGTTGTTGTTGTTGTTGTCGTTTGTGGAACAATTATCCATTGATCAATTCATAGGTACAGAGAGATGTCATCATGAATTTTTAAATAATAATAATAACAATAAATTTGATAACGACGAACGTTTACAAAAAACTCAATAATATCAATACAAACACATACCCACAGTTGTTGCTCTCTTCCAAAAAGTACCCATCACAGAAGCTGGTTGCTTTTGTGCATTTGTTGTTGATGCAGAAGAAGAAGCATCGGTCGTGTTGCTACTGGCCGAAGATGATGCAGTACTGTATGGCGATTGACGAGGTGAGGAAGGTGAATCATCACTTAGATCATCGGCATTGTTGTTATTGGCAGTAGAAGTGTTAGTCGTATTGGTGGACTTTTTACCAAATATTCCTCTCATGATGTTGTTGTTTGTTGGGAATTATTAATGATGATGATGGAATGGTTTATTACAAAAGGAAGATCAAAAAGGGTATTGTTGATTGTTCAAGAAGTGAACGATCGAACGAGAGTGATGAGGATGATGATGATCGAACAGCACTTGGCAGCTGATGATGAGTGAGAGAAATTTTTGTTTGATGTTCTGCCTTTGTGACAGGAGATTGTAGTTTGGGTTTGCCTTCTCGAGAGGATCCACTAAAAGTTGTTGGCTGTGTTGATTGATGACGGACATGTGTAGAAATATTGGGTCAACTACAAAGTCGACAAAGTTTCAAAATCAGGCATTGTCAATTCGTGTGAATGACAAAGCAGGAAGAGAATGAAGTTCTCTCGTATTCAATCCCTCTCCATGTTTATTCTGTTGAGGGTGTTCTGCTTTTACTGGTTCATGATTTGCTTCTCAGTGTAAGGATATTGGAAAGCAGGTCTGTCTTTTCTTCTGTACAACACCTTGGTGGTTTTGTTTTTAACATTTTCACACAACACAGCAACGACATTGTGCTTTTTCCATTCTCGTACAAAGTTTGGATCCCACAGTTCTGAGCCTATTTTTGTTGTTTAAATATTAATGGATATAATGGGTCAGTGTGTTGTGACCATGTTTTCAAGAACTTACCAATTCCAAGATCTTTGCAACATCTCATCAGAGCATTTGATTTACAACCTTCAAGTGCTGTTCCAAGTGTTTTAAAGCTTTGTTCAGATGGATCAAAGGTTTGCTCTCCGTACACTTGTGACACAAACTTGCCATGACAAATTAAGGCATATTCTTGAACAATGCACTTGTCCTTAATTTCATGGGCTCCCATAGGAATTAGCGACTATATTGGTGTGGTATTTACAAGATTCATCGTCAATGTGAAGTGATCCACCATATTTATGGAAATAATTTCACTTACCCATCCTCCAGGCAAGAAGGCTTTGTTTAAAATTCTTCGATACTAAGCAACGGATGATTATCGATTTGAAAATTCAAATATAGATTTCATACCTTAATTTCAGGTAAAAACAGGCTTCCTTCTGGCAACACTTCAATATCCTTGTTGTCAAGAGGAGCCAACAAAATATCAGCAATTTCCTTCTTGAATGGTGTGTTTGAAATCAATGATAAAACATCAATTTCAGGTTTGTTTGCTTGTAAATTCATCATTCCGATAGAGAATGATCGGATCATGCTTTGGTTGATATTAGTGAAGCTTGATGAAATCAATGCTCGCGACCTATTGGCCATAAGAGCAGAGAGGGAAAGTACTCGTTTGTGCATTTTTTTGATTGGATGTCCTTCATCGTATGAATTGGACAGCGTCATCATAACGTTGAGTTTGCTGCAAAATTAGATTTTAAAAAACAAAAAATGGCTCCTCTCTCAACACAACTGTCGGAATGTGGCAAACCTCATTATTCGTATTTTTATGGAGGTAGGTACAACATGATCTTGTTGGTTGTATGGAGGAATGGAGAGATGCTCAACTGTAGATTATTACCGGCTCAATACAAAAGTATTATAAAATATATTATCCATTTACTGACCGGAAAATGTGAACTAGAACGAATTTGTGAAGAACAAAAAGGAGTAGATACGAATTATGTGGTAACGAAACGGTTTGGTATGTAATGATGTTGTGTCAATGGAAATTCTGACGACGGAGAATTTTAGAGCAAAGTTTAGGAACATCCAAACAGTTGGCATCCTTGTTGGAGGAAAATTCAAATAAGGAGACAAATATAACATTTTACTATTTGAGTAGAAAATTCACAGATGTCGATGAGGGTACGTGTGTGCATGTTTGGGAGAATTCATCTTTACCGAATGAACAATTTTTTAACAGTTTACGGAAAAATTAGAAATATCAAGGGGAAAAATAGTTTTACATCTGAACATTCCAAGAAGGTTTGCAAAACTTGTCTTAGACACATGATCAATCTCAATCAAAGTATCAATTATTTGGATAATTTGGCACGAACATCCTTTGAATTGAGTGACACAACACATAAGAATTTATTATTGAGCTTGTGGACAACGCTAAAACCAAATCACACGCTCACATTTATGGACGATAGAGAAGAATTGACATCTCCAGATTGGAAGGAAATTGGTTTTCAAGGGCTTCACCCAAAGTAGGTTTTGAAATCAAAAATAGAATTAGATTAACATGTTTGTGGACTTGATGATTTCAATATTCAATAGAACTGATTTTAGAGGAATGGGAATGCTAGGATTAGTTAATTTACAGTAGGTATTAATTTTGTGCAAAATTATACAAATTTCATTGAAATAGCCGATTTGTGGTGTTATACACAAGAGAAGCTCGTGAAATGTTGGAAGACGTATCAGATCCAACCATGTGGTATCCATTTGCCATTTCAGGAATCAACATTACTGGAATTCTTATCAACATGATTAGATCTCATGAAATTGTTGAAGTGTTTTATGGTTTAAATTTTGAACAGGACGAACAAACTCATCAAACAACCACAGAGAATATCTTCCAAGGCCTCTACAATTATGTTTTCATCAATTTTCATGAATACTATGTGAAGAACAATGGTACTGTGATGAAATTCAACATACTTTTACAAGAGTATTTAAGGCAACCTTCGGTGCAACATGCTTTAAAGACTCACACCATATCGCCCTACTCGTTGCTCTAATGATTTGTATTCAGTTCAGCAAACACTTTTGACAACCACATTAAATCTCAATATATTGAAGTGTTTTTTTCAAAGTAGAGTCAGGACGAGCCAGAGGGCAACGAATTGAATGTTTTAAAAGGCCTTTAAAAATGGAAGCAAGCAAGAGCACACTCACACAGGACCACACTACCAAGATGGAAAAGAGATGTTCCGATGAAGTACTCGTTCCAGTATATTATAAAGCTCAAGAGGTACCCATCATGATGCTTAAACAACAGTTGTTTTGTTGTGCTTTGATTTTAGGAATGATTTGCAATGTGATCCTTTTCTTCCAACTGGTATGCTTGATCTATTCGATTTTTCTTCTCGTCTGAAATCGCTGTAGCACCTCAGCTCAACATTCCCCTGTTTTTAAGCAAGTAGTGGTAAATGATCGACTTGTGATTTATGAGATTATTAAGGAACCTGAATATCAACTAACCAACGTTAGGGTAAGGTTATCAACCCCAAGACTAGCCTCTCGCTGATTGATCAGAGATTTCTCATAACAGTGGCCGTAATCTTTCGTTTGGAAGATGTGATTGATACTCAAGTGTTGGCAGAATAGAAATCATAAGTTTTAATAATAGACTCGGTATTGGTCTTGTTGATTTTCCGAGAAAACGTGTTTTGTAAATATTGAAGTTCATATTCCAGCATGCATTCCAAAGCTTTTTAATCCAGAGTTCCAACGTCTTTGTTAATTTTAGAACACGAACAAAAAAACAAAATAGAATTGAACAAGTCCCAAAACGACCCCGATCATCACACTAAACACCCACCAACACAATGACCTCCACTCTTGAATCCTCGTCATGTAACATGAGCAACATGACTAGTAGCACATGCCCGAACAGCCTCCAACTCCTCGAAGCATCAGAAGAACACTCTGCTCAAGGCTTCGATGATGCCAGAAGCATTGATGACAGCTGCTGCTGTTTCTCTACATGCCCGAACCTCCTCACTTGTAAGGGAGGATTCTAATCAAGAAGAATCTTGTTCTTCTTGTGGTACAACTGCTCATTCGCAGCAAACCTTATCTTCATCATCCTTGTCATCCAATCTTCAATGTATCATCTCTTCGCAAGATTCTGAACTCGTCACACATGAATTATCCACTGCTACTGCTAGTTCGAGTTGTTGTATCGTTACAGAATGTAGTTTGAATTCTACAACAACCTCTGCCAACTCTTCCATGGATAATGCCACTCAATTCTTGGCATTGACTTCAGGAAGTACACTTTCTGAGGACTCTCAACGAATTTTGTGTGTGCCAAACGCTGGAGGAAATTCTGTATTTTCTGAAGTCCTCTCGTTTGAATTCATCAAAATGTTGATTGAGAGTTTGTGTGCTTCCATTCGAGTTTCTCTTCATAAAACAGAAATGGAATTGGTGTATAAAGAGGGAAGCAAGATCACAGACATGTGTATCGCCCTTAATAATACCATGACCAATGAAACAACGTTAATGGGATGTTCTGTCACACGATGTTTCAATTTCATGAATTTAGAAGAAGTTGTGAGCGATGTCTCGATCAAGCTATTATTGAAGAAGAAATTAAGTGGAATTATTGACTCTACAAACGGAGTCATTGGTGATCAATGGACGAGACAAATTTTGCATATTTGGACTTCAAACATGCAAACTGCTCAATCCATTAAGAGAATTTATGAAACTGAAATTTCTGATGAGCTCAAATCTAATACCATCGTTATTATCACTTGTACTTGTGGTGGAATGGAATGTATTTTTAAAGAAAAAGGCGATGATGCCAAAATGGTGATGAAATTATTGGGTTTCAATGTTTCTGAAGATGTTGTGGATGAAGAGGTTTCAGCAGCTACTGAAGATGTTGACGATGATATTGATAATTTTGATGTATTTTTGGGATCTATCACTATGTGAAGCTTTCCAATAAATTCGTAGTGTCATTCCAAAACCAGTTTCATTTTCTTGTTGAGAGGATAAGTATTGGCCAAAGCAAGTGTGACTTGTTTGAGGACAGAAATTCCTTATTAATAACGAAAGGATGAAAAAGATCAACAAGAAAAAGTGGCCCACCCACCAACCATGCTTGGAATAAATAGTTTCTTCAATTTGAGTTTAATCATAATAATAAAATTAACTAAAAGCAGCCAAAATGCACATGACTGCAAATCCAAGGACCACTAAAAACATTTTGAAAAATCTTCCCGCAATCGTCGAACTTTCCTCCAAGCTACTTGGAATAATTTCAAAACATGCAATAAATAAAAAGGATCCACAAGCAATACTCTGAATAATACCAGCAATCATAAAGTACGATAGGGATAAATCACTGCTTATAGCCATTCCAATTCCCATACCAACAGGTGTACTTATAGCATAAATTGCTACTTGCAGTAAAATCCAAATCTGAAAGGATCCTCGACACAGTGTATATCTCAATACAATAAATCCTTTTTCGTCATGATTATACCAATGAATTGAATTCATCGAATTACGAAAAAACCTACCTGTGGTCAGAGATTCAAATCCTTTGTGTGCCACAATTGGAATAAATAAAGAAATAAATGAATTCATATCACTTTCTAAACCCAAGGCAAAAGCCTCAAACACTGAATGCACACAAATTGCAAACGTGAACAATAACGATTTGACCAGAAAGGCATATTTACGTTTCGCTTTCTGTTCTTCCAACAATAATTCCGAATATTCATTCTTCAGTTCTGAGGATGAGGACGGATGGATGAGAGCAGCAGTTTCATCCATTCCACTGGATCCAGCCTGAACTGAAGCATAGTTATTCATTCCCATATCATGATGTTCATGTCCGTGATGATGAGAATGTGTTTCACCTTCGTAGGATTGAGAAGAGCCATGAGAATGTTCCGAAAAGACTCGATCCAATCCCACTAGAAATAAACATATCGTTCCTGCAATCATCATGGCCCATGGATATTCCGTAACGGTATCTGGAATGGGAGTAAAAGTAGAATTGTTGGAATCTTCACCAGCCATGAAAGCCTTAATACTATAATAATGGTTCAAGGTATTGAAAGATGATGATGATGCTTCATCCGTATTACTACTTTGATTGTTATAAATTTCAAAATAATTATTAAAAGACTCTACACTATCGGGTAACAAGTGCGTTAAACCACTTCCGAGGATGGCTCCAGCAGCAACACAATTGCAATACATGAAGATTAATTGAATGATTTTCAATGCCTTTTTCAATTTCCGAAGTTTCTCAATTTTAGATAAATGATGAACAATGTACGGCAGCAATCCAAGAACAACACTCAATATGAAAAGACCGATGAGTGTACCTATTTTACCTCCTAATAATGAACGATCATCGGAGGGAGTGTCAGGATCGGAAGAGGCCAATGCATATGATGAGGCTTGGATGACAGAATTTACCAACGAATTTGAAATTGGAATACCACGTTGATGATGATGAAGAGGAATCATTTTCACACAAGTGGTATGACTCGAATATTTACAACTCTCGGAATGTGTTGATTGGAATAAATTGGAATTAATACTCTGGGTTTCTGACCTCAAGTAATTATGTGCTAATTTTTTTGTTTTGTTCAAAGATTTTTTGTTGTGTGAAAAATTCAAAATCGCGAATAACTAATCGATTGGTTTCACTTCTTGCTGAGAAATCTCTCTAAATTTCCTCCTTTTGATTTTGTCTTTTGTCTTGAGGCCATTTCTGCAGAGCGATAGCCACTGCTTGAATTGCTGCTTGTCACTAAACTACTCGCTTTTACAAAACCTGAATTCATTGCAGACGAAGAAGTTAAAGAACTACCTCCAGCACTTCTGGATGGCAATAAAGTGCTGTGTCTTGGTGCAGAGGAGGGCTTGGAAAATTTTCGTTCTCGACTTTCCTCTCTTTCGAGAGCATCAAGAACATCCTCAATTGAATCCTCCATACGTTTTCTTTTTTCTTGTTGAATATCAGCTGCCGACTTGAATATTCCACCTCCACTGGTTGGTTTTGTTTTGGATGATGAATTTTTGGTAATGAGAGAATTGTTGGTAATTCCCTTTTGTTGACGGTAGCGATCTCTGTCTTGTCGAGCTGCTTCCATTTCGGAGCCATCGAATTCATCCAAATCGTCAGAATTATATTCCTCAATAAAATCGTCACATACAGATGAGGCTGACATGATAAAATCATCTGCCATTCGTGTTCCAAGTCCGCTTCGCGAGCCAGAAGAAGAATAGGTGTAGGTTGCATTTGTAATTTCTTCCAACTTCTTTTTTGGGTTTGCACAATAATCACAACACTTGTCGCAATATTCTACACCTTTGATTTGTTGTACCTCGACTTGATTTGCGCTCGTTGTTGACGAGGATGATGCAGCGCCACCTCGAGGAGGTGTTGATGGAGTTCTGGAATCGTTCGATGAGCTTGTAAACTTTAAAGGCTGTTTAACAGTATTGCCTGAAGTCTTTTGCTGTTTTACAGGTGATTGAACAGTTGTTAGGGCACGAGGTTTTAGAGGATCGTAACTCTCACCAAAATACTCCAAAATGAACTTTCTTCTACAGCAACCAGTCTCACAAAATTCACAAACCTTAGTAAATGCTTGTTCAACTTCTTGCATTCGATCTGCACCTAATTTGGTGTCTCTTGAAATCAAGAATGATATTGAGCTCTTTTCACGGCTGCAATGATAAAGCAAGCTGACAGACTTTTTACCATCTCTTCCAGCACGTCCACTCTCTATACAGTCGTTGTACAAAGATAATTGTTAGTTCTCTACACTTCACTTTAATTCACTACACTTCACTTACCTTGATAAAAACCTTCTAGTGATTTTGGAAGTGCAAAATGCACAACAAATCTCACATCTTTCTTGTCAATACCCATACCAAAAGCTATGGTTGCCACAATAATTTTGGTAGTGCCTTTCAACCAGTCGTTTAGAACTGTTTTTCTTTCGGAAAGTTTGACTCCAGCATGATATGGTTTCACGGTGAAAAGAGCTTGATCGTCATCGTCCTTCTCATTACTGAGCTGAGAAACCAATTCTTCAACCTGATTTTTAGTTCTACAGTAAATAATTCCACATTCTCCAATTCGAGATTTGAGAAAGTTGCACAAATCACCATATGGGTCCTTAATGATATCCTTGTATCTAATTTCGTACGAAATGTTTGGTCTATTAAAACTGGTGATGAAACATTTGGGATTTCGTAGCTGAAGACATTGTACAATGTCTGTTCTGACCTTATCGGTTGCAGTAGCAGTTAAAGCAATTGTTGGTACTTGAGGGAAGGAGCTTTTCAGAGAGCCTAATTGACGGAACGATTTTCTAAAGTCGCTCCACGAATTGATGGTATGACATTCGTCAATGGCAATGAGTGATAATTGATCTCTGGATGCAAGTAATCTCATGAGGGCTTGAAAGTTCTGGTTGGCAGTCAATAGTTCTGGTGTGACGTAAATAATCTTATATTTGGGATTTCCACCTTCCATGTCGTGTTGAATCTTGGTAATTTCACTCTTCTTTTGGCTTGAATTCCAAAAATTGGCCTTAATATTCAAGTTTTCCAAAGCTTGAACCTGGTTATGCATCAGAGCGATCAATGGACTCACAACTAATGTGACTCCAGGTAAAATCACAGCTGGTAGTTGATAGGTAAGAGACTTGCCAGCACCTGTTGGCAAAACAGCCAGCGTGTCTTGTCGATTTTTCAAAAGGTTGAATATTATTTCAAATTGATTCGGACGAAATTCTTCGAGTTTGAATTTTGTTTTCAACGCCAAATGCATAGCTGTTGTTATAGATTCGTCATTGCTCCAATCCACACTTTCAACATCCTCTTCACTCTTTTTACTTGCAGTGGATGAGACTTGTGAAAATTTGAGTGGAGGTTTGAACGATGGTTGTGATGTCGAGGAGGAAGATGAAGATTGCGATAATGTATTACCTGCATTGTTGCCACTGCTACTACCATTTGCTCTATTTTTGATGGAATACTCGTCCAATCCGAAACTGAAAATATCATCATCAGAGCTGTCTACAATAATATCATCAACATCATCGGAAATTGTAATTGTGTTTTTCTGCTGCTCCGAGTTACTTGTAGTTGTTTTTTCATTGTTAGCATTAGAAGTACCCTTTTTCTTGAACGTGAGTTTAGTTTGTTGTAGTGATGATGAGCCACTCGTCGACGACGCCTTTTTCGAAGATGAGGTTTTTTTCATTTTTTTTATTCGAGCAAGTATTGGAACTGCTTTTTGGAGGGAATATATCAAAGTTTATTAAAGACCCTCAATAGAATCATCAGCAGGGAAGAAAATTGAACACATCTTTTCTACAATTAACACAGCTGCAATATTAGCAAATAATAAAGCGAGAAGGAAAGTTCTGAAAGAAAATGTATGGAAAATAGAAATACCTTCTGGGATGTCAACAAGTTCCATTGCTGCATTGAGTTCTGGTGCTAAGCCGCTGGCGCAAAGCAAACACAAAGCCCAATACCTGACAAAATGATGAATAGTGGCTTATTTTCAGTTAGGCCTTGCATGAAAGGTCTTCCCTTGTAGTTGGTTGCGAATGTGACAATAGTTTGAAGAGATGTCACAATAAATACGATAGTGTTCAATAGATTGGGCTTAAAGTCTGCTTCCTTTGGCTCAAATAACACATGAGGAGCAGCTAATTTTGCAGCTTGTACGCTCAATGCAAGCGTTGTCAAATGGATAACAAATTGTCCCATAACTGTTGCCAACATGTAAGGTGAGAAGATAGTAATATGAGGTCTCTCCTTGGAAAGAGTGTCGAGTGGTTTGGATCTCGAAATGAAGAGGAAGCACAAGGCTACACCAAATCCTGTAATCATCATTTGTGAATCTCCAAATTTAACTCCATCCAAATAAAGTGCGCTCAGGGAATATGCTGAAATGAGACAATTTAGGGCCAATATCTTGTACATTTGCATGGTTGTTACAAGTGTACAACGTCCTTGCATAATAATGTGACCACATGACTCAATAGTGGATTTTCGTGAGGTGAATGGACTTGCAATAGAGGCATCACCAAGTTTGACAAGATTAGCCTCCTCTTGTTGGGCAAGTTGCTCTTGTTTTTCTTTCATCTCTTTCAAAAGTTCCATAAACGATTTCTTTTGTTGAGCTTGTGGATTGGCAGTAGGATTGACTTTGGCAAGTTCCTTAATAATGTCACTCTTTTTGTGAAGAGGAGCATTGGGGTGTTGTTGAGATTGTTGCTGTTCATTTTCTTTCTTTGGTTTGTTTTCCAATAAGGCCACACCGACATGAGCTTGCTTTAAAGCTCCAACATCATTTGTACCATCTCCACACATGAGAGTTTGATAGTTTTGAGATTTGAGTGAGGTTAAAATGGATTCTTTTTGCTCTGGACTAACACGAGCAAAGATAGCCACATTTGAAGAAAGTGCGTCCAGAATTGATTTTCCATTCTCTTGTGAGGTCAGGTTGGCCATTTGTTCACCACTCACACAAAAGTCGTACTTCTTGGCAAGTTGACCAAGCTCTCCTTGTTCGAAATCTTCTTCAACGTTTCCTTCACATCCAGAGCTCTGAGAACCAGACCAGAAATATCTGTGACCATCTTGTTTCAAAGTAAGGAGAGGCTTGCTTATCATTTCTAACTCCTTGGCAACATGAGATGCTGTCAGTGGATTGTCACCGGTAATCATTATTACTCTATGAGAACTGTTTTTGAGATTAAGAATTGTTTCCTTTGTGTTTGGTTTGATGTCGCTTTGGAAAGCAGCAAATCCTGCAAAAACGAGATCTTTTTCAACTTCATCACGCGTGAGCTTATCCAAAATGTTTGGATCCGTGTATCCAAATCCTTATAACCTAACGCAATAACTCTCATTCCAATTTGAGTCAAGTGTTGGAATCTAGAATCATATGAATCCAAAGCTCCGTTCACATCGCTCTTCACAAAAAATGGTTTTAGCAATTCAGGAGCTCCCTTGACGAGAACACGAGCAAATTTACCCTCATTTCTGTCGTTGATAAATACGATGGTAGACATTCTCTTTAGAACAGAATTGAATTGGAATCTTTTGTGAATTTTCAAATTTTTCACAGACTTGCAATTCTTTCCCACAATTAAATCTTTAGACAATTCGAAGTCGACACCTGTCAAGCCTGAAACCTCCATGGGATCTCCAAGGACTTTTCCATTAAGATCAATCAAAGATTGACAACCTGCTAAAACTACTCTACTATTTTCGCTTGGTTTTTGGGAGAGCTCATCAGAGTCTTGTTCTGAAAGACTTATACCTTTCAATGTCATCTTGTCACTGACTAGTGTACCAGTCTTGTCAAAACAGCAAACATTTACCTTTCCTGCATATGGAATTCTGAAGGGCTCCGTACAGAAAATGCCTAGCATTGACAATGAAAGGAGTGAGTTGTTGACAGCCAATGATAATTCCATAGGTAGTTCAGGTGGAACTACAGATGTAATGATGAGAATGCAATTTAGAGCTAATTTGTATCTACTTTTTTCTGGATTCTTCAAACCTTCGTAGAGAACATAAGCGCTAGCAATTATCGCAAAAATAAGCAGGAACAAAATGAACAGTAAGGCCTCAACATTGTTCGCGCTTACTCGTTCTGTGGCGTAGAGAATTGTTCTAATTAACTTGCCCTGTGACGTCTCAAAACCTGTTCGCAATACAATTCCAATAGCACCGTTGTCTGGTGGAACTTTACCACTCGTAGAGCCAGGTGTATGCTGCAACACCACTGTACCTCCAAAGATAACATGTCCCTTGTCAATATTCTTGATATCCAGTTTTTTTCTTTCTTTAAGCTCGTCTATGGGTATACATTCTTTCATTTGCGGAGTAGATTCTCCTGTGAGAAGTGCTTCATTAGTCACGCATTTGCCACTGATAAGTAAAATATCACATGGTGTTACTTGATCTTCTTCAGCGTGGCTTGTCACAGATATCACATCATTCGGTAACAAATCCACACTAGATTTTTGTACCCATTTTCCATCTCTAAAAACTTGTAAAAATTGAGGTTTTGTTGCCATCTGACGGATTTGGTTCAAGTTTCTCAGTCTGGAACTAACTACTGTGCTTTCAAACATAAAAAGCATTACCAAAGTGAAGAGCGAATAATACCAATACTCATCAAGACACCACAATAAGACGCAAAATACTTGAAAGACAAAGAATGGTGCCAAGGCATGCTCTACGAATAACTCCAAAAACTTGGGAATTGGGATTTCAAATTGATTTTTTCCATAAATTCTTTGCTTTGAATATGACTCCTTTTCTGCAATCCCATGCTTCTCAATCTTATTAATCCATTCTTTGAGAGTTTGCGATTGTTTTTCCAAGCTTTGATATGGAAAGTGATTTCGTACGAAGGAAGAAGTTGTCTCATCCCAAATAAACATCCGTTTCTGATACTCAAAACAATACACTTGTTTGTCATTCTCATCTCTAATTAACTTGAGAGGGCACAATTCAACAAAACCCTTGTGTTTGTTTGGTACTACTTTCACTACAATTCCTTCTCCTATTTCCTTGCTTGTGACGGCACGATATTGGAAAAAAGCTTTAATATTCACATTCCAATACGCAGATAAAAACGAAATAATTTGCAATAACGCAAGAGGACCCAATCCAACTAAATGATAAAAGAATAAATTATCGGAATATGATTCATGATGATGGTGGTGATGGTGATGATGATGCGAATTCGAGTCATTGTGCTGTTGATGCAACAAGGAAGGCAAAAAATAGGCATTAATTGCAAAGGATACCAATGGATACAAAAAGACAAACAACAAGACATTCCAATGGAGCAAGAATGGCTTTTTCCGAAGCAGCACCACATGGTGGATGGTTTTTTGAGGTGCAATCATTTTTTTCGCTGTCCTCCAATTTTTCAAAGTGGCTTACGTCATCTGGATGATAAGTGTTCGGAACACTGGCAATGAGTGGTGTTGTTGACGAGCTAATGAAGTGGTGAAACCAAACCTCTTTTCTTAGTAGAGGCTTAATAGTGAGCCCAATCCTCCAGGATTTGTACATGCATAAGACCTGTTTAGCAATTGGACCAATCGGTTTTGTTGGTTGTTGTGAGATTTTGATTTTTTGAATCAAAAAATATTCATGCTTGGAACGCAACGTTCGCCATCGACGTCTCAGCATCAAGATTCCTCTCCTCTTCTCGGAGCTACTTCTGGTCAAAACAAAGAAATGAATGAATATAATAGCAATATTCAATACGAATATCAAAAACAAGAAAGAGAGGAAATCCCAGCCCATGAGGAAACATCATTACAACAAGCCATTCAAGGCTATGGAAGTCATCAAAACAGTCCTCCAACGTTGAGATTGGTCGGAGAGGAAGGATCATCACTTTCACGACACCTCTCTTCCTATGATCATGTGGAAGAAGGTGGAAATGAAGAGGAGAAACCGAAAAAAGAAAAGAAAAAGAGAGAACCAGCAAAGACAAGAGATTTAGTTGCATTTTTCATTTGTGGATTATTAAATAATTATAGCTATGTCATTATGCTTTCAGCTGCAGGTATGGAATTTATTGTTTCATCATGATAATTTTTGTGAAATGAATTATGGAAAATTGTATGTGAAAAATTCGATGGGAATGGCAATCATGCAATTTCAATTGAAACGTTACACTTGAAAAATGTGACATTGGAATGTCGACTTTTTCACACAACAGAGGACTTGATTCATGGACAAAGTTCAATAGTTTTACTTGCAGATATTCTCCCGACACTAGTTTTAAAAGCTATAGCTCCATTTTTCATGCATGCCATTCCTTATAATATTAGAGTTGGCCTTGCAGTGATACTAGCTCTTGCAAGCTTCCAAATGGTTGCTTGGTTTGATAACATTGGTCTTAAATTAGTTGGTGTTGTGATGGCTTCTCTTAGCTCAGGAGGAGGAGAGATTACTTTTTTAGCCATGTCAAGGTAAGTTAAAAACATCGAGTTGGCAATGGATCATTATTGAAATATGGTATTATTAGTTACTATCACAAAAATACCGTTTCTGCATGGTCGTCAGGTAGGTTGATTTTTCTCTTACCATAGTCCGCGTAACTCTTTCCATAATCATTTCAATTCAACCATTTCATTGTGTTAAAATATTTTGAACCTAATTCAATGAACAGGGACTGGAGGCGCGGGTATATTTGGAGCCTTGTCGTATTTGGCCCTTAAAGGATGGTTTCAATTGTCACCAAGTATTTCACTATCAATCATTACTCCTTTACCACTGTTGATGCTGTTAGCGACATTTGTCATTATGAGTGGAGCTCACTATGCCAATGGCTTCTGTGCAAGAGGAAAAGGAGTCCAAAAAGACAAAAAAACATCATTCGAACCGCTCACCATGAATGAGAAATTGAAACTAGTTTTGGTACGTAATTTATGAATATTGACAAAATGATTATTGACTGAAATATCTTTCGTATAACATCATGTTTAGCCACTTGCTCTAAGTACATGCTTCCACTGACAACCGTTTATTTTGCTGAGTATCTCATTAATCAAGGAGTTGCTCCAACGATTACCTTCCGAAAAGAACTAATTCCAGCAAAAGACGACTACATGTATTATCAATTTTTATACCAAAGTAAGTGTGAAAGAAATTGTTTCATTTCGCAACAACCTCAATATTTAACACAATTAATTCATCATGTACAACGAATTATAGTTGGAGTGTTTATTTCAAGATCATCTGTGAGTACGTATTTTTATTATTGATAAGCATATTCGATCGAAACTGTTCTTTAACAATCATTCTTCTCAAAAACAGACATTTTCCCAATCAAGCGTTTGTGGGTTCCTGCTGTCCTTCAATGCTCACTCTTTGTGTTCCTCTTATTAGATGCATATTTTAGGTATGTCTTTTATCACACACATTTTCAGCATTTTTTACACTTTGCAATACGCCAACTAGATTTGTACCTGCCATTTTCTTCACATTTGCTTAATTCTCTTTGAAGGATTTTTGGGTGGTGCCACCTATGTCAATACTTATTATTGCATTTCAACGGATGTTCCAATAAGACAACGAGAATTTTCAATGAGTGTTGTTTCCGTGTCAGATGCCATAGGTATCAGTTTGGCAGGATTATTCGGTGTTTTCCTTCAACCATGGTTAAATAAGAACCAAAGTAAGAGACTCTAATTTTGAATTTTCGTCAAGCCTCTTTTGCCAGAGTTTTGTGATTTTCCAAATTACAGCCATTGCTGTTAAAGTAAAACAAAATCCAACCAAATAATAATTATCATACCAATAACAATTCAAAAACAAACGTCATTGAAAATATTATACAAATCCTACAGGCCCCTCAAACCTCATGCCACTCTAGAATTATGGGTGTCTTCTTCATTAATAGATGGAATGTTCTGAATACTACAACGAATTGATCCAACGTTAAAGTTCTCATCCTCAAAAAATGTTCTCGTTTTTCACGGGCTCGTCCAAACAACAACAACAACCGACCAATTCCAACAACAATACTTCGTCGGCAACTTCTCGTGTACAACCACAGCCCAACATTTCTACTACGAAACCTCTTCCGGTTCCGCAAAACAATACATCCTCTCAACAAGAACAAGCTTTATCCTCCCAACGAAATTCATATCAATCTGCTCTTATTTATTTAACTGCCGAACAACATGATATTTTGAGGAGATTGCTCATGTATTCAACTCTGGCTTCGATGATGACCGAGAAAGATGAAAATACGATCGCTGAGCTTGTAAAACAATTCGGTAGCGATTCCAAATCAATGAAATTATTAATGGATTGTTTACTAGATACTGTATGTAGTTTGTTTGATTCATCTACAAATGATGATTAAATAATCAACTGTGTGGTTGGGTCCAATACCTAACAAAAATTCATCAATATCCGAAAATATCTACTGTCGTGATTGTTAATAATGACGTAAATATGACACACTGATAACAACATCTTGACATTATGCGTATCATCAACACTAGCTGGTGGGATCTCGTGGACGTTTCGATCCTCAAACCAACTTCATATTCCAATCTCCCAAAACTATAACGGTCATTTTCACATTATTGCCCTTCCTCTCAGAAGATATTCAAATCGAAATTCTGGATATATTTATTGTTCTTCTCGAAGAATGCAGCATTGATAATAGTATGGCTGCTTCTGTTGGATTAGTTCAAACAATTAATAATCTTTTAGCCAAACACCAAAAATTTAGTTTGAACGTAATTCAGAAACTCATTTACTTGATTGGTATTGTCGGAAGCTTTAGCGTTTCTGCAAGAGAGTTGAAAACTCTGATTCGATTGATGAGAACAAAAACTCCCGAAAATGAAAGAAAGCTTGATGATGATGACGATGAAGGTCTTTCACTAGACAAGGACTTGTCTCCACTGATTTTGGAAGTCATTAGAAAAATGTCAAGATATGATTCTCCGTCGTCGTTTTTCAGTTTCGATGGAATTGATTGTGGTATTGTTTCTGACAATATTTTATTCCCTTCAAATGGGTACACATTCAGTTGTTGGCTCAGAATTGAGAGAACAACAAAATCTCAATGTTATAGATTTTTCAGCTATTTCGATAAGAAAATGAATGGACTCGAGCTGTTATTCAAAGGAAATCACATGTGTGTACAGGTCGTTTCTGGAGGAAAAAAGCAACAAAATGTCACATTTGATTATTTCTTCCATACCAACAGATGGTATTTCATTTCACTCACTCAGAATAAGAGATTTATGCTGAGAAGTGACATTATTTTATTTGTTGATGGAGAGCAAAAACAAACATTTGAGCTCAAATATCCATCTTTGGGTGGACAAGTCAATTTTGCACACTTTTGTACAAACATTCCAGCAGACAACAAGCAAACCAAAGTACAAGCATTCTGTGGACAAGTAGGACCGATTGCTATTTTCGACAAAGTTTTCAGTTTGAATGAGGTGCAGAAACTACACAGTTGTGGCCCTGACTTTCAATATACTTTCAAAAAGGGTGACTCGCAACCTAGATATTTTGATTGGCCAAATGCAGAGTCGTTTTCCCAAAAATTGGTCACTCTCTACAATCCTCGATCAAGTACAAAAGATTTCAAATGTCCTGACAACTCAGGAACAAAGAAAAATTTCTCCACAGATGCCAGACTCCTGCAGGGTACCTCTATCTTTGTCACACATCCTGTCAAGGATACCTTGAATTGCATTGGTGGTGTGGAGGTATTATTCCCATTGTTCAGTCTATTGAAAAAAGATTGGACAGTTGATTACTCAATGTGTGCTAGAACGATTTCTCTCATCACTGAAATGCTTCGAAATAACAAGAAAAATCAAGAGGACATGATTCAAAAGAATAGTTTGTGCACTCTTGGTCACATTCTTGGCCAAATACCCCCAGAACATATTAATCATGATACTCTAAAAGCATTGCAAGGATTGATCGAATGCTCTAGCGATCCTAAAGACCCAATCATTAGAGAAATATTTAAAGAAATATTTTTGAACTTTGAATTATGGATCACTGTAGATTTTGATATTCACAGCAATATGTTGCACTTCCTGCATGATGAAGTTTCTAAAAATCCAGAATATTTCCACGAAACTGTTGGCGTTCAGTATTTGCTCGATGTGATGCGATATTTCTTTTGGTACAAACCAGATAAAGAACCTGAAAGAATTTATCAGCCAACAGTACGACCAAAAGAGGAAGAAGTTTATGCTCTTAGATTACAATTGACTGAAATAATCAAAGCCATGATACGTTCTGGTATTAGCAAGAGTGAAGCGGAATCAATCATGTCTTACATTGTTGACTCGACAGACGAAAAGCAGGTTGTTGAAATTTTAAAGTGGATCTTGGTACTCATCGATGAAGAAGTACCCAATATTATTGAAGCTCTGTCAGAAGAAAAAATCATGTCTCCTCTTCTCAACATGCTGACCAATAGCAAGAAGAAAATTAGAATATTTTCACTCAAGCTGATAGGAAAGATTTTGGAAAGATCTAACTCTGAAAGAAGACAAAAGTTTAAGAATTTGGGATATTATTTACTCATTGAACAATTCTTATTGAGCGAAAACTACTTTGACGAGGAAACTTACATTGCTCTTCTTGAAATTATTCTTTGCAAGATTAGCTTTAGTATTAACAGCACAATCTCAACAGATCTTTCAAAAGGAGGAGCCAAAATACTATTGCCAGACCTGTTGACTGCCTTTTTCAACTTGGTTACCACGAAATCTATTGAGACCAAGGAAAAAGCCATCCAAGATATGAGTGTAATTCTCAAATCTAATCCTCATAACAGAACAGTATTTGGACAACAATTTGGATGGCAAAATTGGATTCTTTCATTGGCCATTCCTGATGCTGACGAATCTGTTGAAAAAGCTTTTAATCTTTTCGAATCGGCTGTAGACGTCGTCTCTGTTGTGCTTTCCGAATTTCTCCAGGCGCCAAATGGTTACAAGCAAGTCAAAGACACACTTTATCAAATTGACATCATTTGTGATAGAAAGGAAATTCATAGAGCCTCAGCGTTTTTAATTTTCTTTAAGAGATTCCTTCCTTTTGTTGTGAATCAGATCAACAATACCCAATTCAACAAGGAACAAGATTTTTGGAGAAATCTTTTCCGAATCACTCTACTTGTAGAGAACTTTATTTTAACATCGGATGATACAAAGTTCGAATCTCCCCAAATTGAAGGCACCATTATCAAGTTAGAGAACACTCACAACGAAAAGCTCTATATTGTCAAGTATATCATGCAAGGTTTTGATTACATTATCAAAATGTCAATCAAAGATCCAAAAGCAATGGACTTGCTGCATTATGACGGATTTAAAAAGAACAACAATCCTTTCATTATTCAAACCATCATGAACATTGCTGCTGATTTGACTACAACCAAGAGCAACATTCCAACTCCATCCTTGTTTTTCGTATTGTTTAGATTGCAACTATTCCTTTGTGTGAATTAGATGAAAAGGAAATACAAGAAGCAAAGCACAGTATCAGAATGTTGGCTCTTCTCAGTAATGACATTAAGCATACTCGTGTACCCAAGCCAACATTCAAAACAGAAAATGATGAAAATGAGATTAGTCAAGCACGTGTCTTTTATGCATTAGCCAAGCTGTTTGTGAAGATTGAGCAAAAACAGTACAGTTTAATACCTATTATTACTGCTATTCTCAGAAAGAATCAAAAATCTCTTGCAGCTATTCTTACCAATCCAGTTGCTAAAGAATACTTACAATCGGAATTGGCATGTATAGAACAAGATGCTGCGCAAGAAGAATTTATATTGAGTCTTGAGTCTGAAGAAGGATGGCTGGGTGTACGTCAATCTCCTCCATTCAGTGCTGTCTATACGGAAGTTAAAAGTGAAGAGCAAAATCAAAAAGAGAAAATTCTTAAAAAGAGAGAACAAAAAGTGAATGATATTCTTAAATTTATTGAACGAAATGCCTCCAATGACATACCCAAACTAAAGAAGGCATCTCAAGAAGCATCCAATGCCAAGACCCACGTTTGTTTCACTGAATTACAGAGAATGAACAATTGGAGAGATGCTCTCAGAAGAAAATCCAAAATTACACTTACAGAATGGAGAAAACACGAATCTGAATTCTTCTCAGGTACCGGTGTTTGGATTAAGGATGAGATAAAGAAGATTTGTTAATGTTCTTGGATCCTACTGAAAACTCCAAGAGAATGAGAATGAGGGTGGTTATGAAGACTGCCTCCAAAACCGAACGAACCATTTCACAGAAAACTGAAGCAGTTCAAGAGGATGACGATTGGAGTTGTAGAAGTGAACTCGTGTCATCCTTTGTGCATACATCGAGAAGTGAGCCACAAAAAACTCAAGGTGAAGATCAAGCTACAGCAACACCAGGCCACGAAGACGAGCATTCGTTAGGAGTGAGCGACGATGAAGATGTCGTCTCTGAGGAAGATGGTGAAGCAACCATACCCAATGAAAATGAAGAATCCGACTGGGAGACTGTTAATAAGGCTCCAAAAGAAGGACTTCATTTGGAGAGAGAAGAAGAAGAAACCGTCTTGATTGTTCCATGTGAACTTGTTGTTTCATTGGACACCATTAAGGGAACCTTTGAAATTACCAACAAACACATTTACTTTATTGTGAACCCTGACGTTGACACGAAAGAGAAGGAAAATGTTGCTATTGAAACGCTCAAAGAGGCATTTGATCAGAAATGGCCTATCGAAGAGATTTATGAACTTTACAAGAGAAGATATTTGCTGAGATATACCAGTATTGAAATATTCTTCTTGAATCGAACCGCATTCTTCTTCAATTTTGATAAGGCCATGTCGATGCAGTAATCAAAACCATTGTGAGTCAAAAACCTCCAAATCTCAAATTCCATGCTTATAGTCTCACGCCAAGTGCACTTTTGAAAAAGTCTAGATTAACACAAAAGTGGCAACGAAGAGAAATTTCCAACTTTGAGTACTTGATGGGACTGAATACATTTGCAAACCGAACGTACAATGATTTAACACAATATCCAGTATTCCCTTGGGTGATCAAAGATTACACCTCAGATACGATCGATCTCAATGACCCTGCCACATACAGAGACCTCTCAAAGCCTGTCGGTGCTCTCAATGAGAAACGTTTAAAGAATATTCTGGAGCGATATGAAGCCTTCCAGGACCAATCCATTCCTAAATTTCACTATGGATCTCACTACAGTAGTGTCGGTGTGGTCTTATTCTTTTTGTTGAGATTGGAACCATTCACAAGTTACAATATCAAACTACAAGGAGGCCAATTCGATTTGCCAGACCGATTGTTCCACTCCCTACCTGTGTCTTGGGAAAATTGTATGACTTCCAACTCTGACGTGAAAGAACTCATTCCAGAATTCTTCTACATGCCTGAATTTTTGAGAAATAACAATGGTCTAAATCTTGGTGTGAAACAAAATAAGGAAGTTGTCAATGATGCTATTTTACCACCATGGGCTAAGACTCCAGAAGAATTTATTCGAATCAACAGAGAAGCTCTTGAAAGTGAATATGTCTCAAATCATTTACATGAATGGATTGACCTTATTTTCGGATACAAACAAACGGGTGTGGAAGCAGAAAAAGCTCACAATCTATTTTACTATCTCACCTATGAAGGTTCTGTGGATTTGGATGCTGTCGATGATCCTTTGCAACGAAAGGCCATTGAAACACAAATTAGCAACTTTGGTCAAACTCCATCTCAACTCTTCAAGAAACCTCATCCACAACGCTTGGCTAAGCCAACCATTCCCAAACCAGAATGGAAGCCCAACGCCTTTGTTCCAATCTTCTCATCGAGTATTGCAAGTGTGACAACAGGAGGAAGTAGTAACGATCTATTGTTTGTACAACACATCAAGTCCGAAGATAAGGTGGTGGTTGTGGACTGTAATCGACAACTCTTCCAACTCTCCAAGCTCAAACCAAAACCAACCTTAATTGCCACAGTTGGATCTCCCTTCGCCAAAGATGAAAATGCAAACTTCTCCAACTTTGTGTGCAGTAAGGATGGAAAATGGATTTTCAGTTGTGGACATTTCGATAAGAGTATCAAATGCTCTGCCATGTTTGATAAGCTCATTGTAAAACAAAGTATTTTCCACCACACTGATATTGTGACATGTCTTGCCATGACCTCTGATGGTAAATTCCTTGTCAGTGGATCAGCAGATGCCACTGTCAATGTTTATGGCATTAATTACATGAAATTGAAACGTAACGCGCTTCGAAATCAAGTGAAAGATTTGATGGCGAATGTGAATTTGGGAACTGCTGCAAGCGTAGTGGATGACTTGCAATTCTCTTCCATTGCCAACAAATTACCCATCCAATCATGGTCACCAATAAGGATCCACTCACCGATCAACCTCTCTGTATTCTGTATGGACACGAAGCATCTGTACTTTGTGTCGATGTCAGTGCTGATTTGGACATTGTCGCCAGTGGTGATTCGGATGGATGTGTTTTGATTCATACTCTCTCAGAAGGAACCTATATTCGAACGATTGAACATCCTCTCCGTAACACTCTTCATATTGTGAAAATATCTTCAGACGGCCACTTGTTAATGCACTCTGAAACCGATTGCAGTCTTCACCTCTTCACCATTAACGGAAAGCACATTAAGAGTTTAGATGTCAATGATCGATTGAAATCCATAGAAATTACTCCAGATGCCAAATATGCCATTTGTGGAGGCATCAAAAAACAAGTCACGATTCGAAGATTGTATGATCTTGCCGAATTACACACCTTTGAAACATGTACGAGTGAAATTAAGGCCATTACATTGGCTCACCCTACTGAAGAGTATTATCGTGAAGTTGTGGTTGCTCTTGCCGATGGTACTGTACATTTCTATCCCATTGATCCTGATCTTCTCGATGCACCACGAGAGGAATATGATAGTGATACTGAAAATGCTCTGAATCATTCCTATCAATTAGTTTAATTGACAATTCCATTAAATAATATATTTAATCTTTATTTCAACTTTTCTGAATTGTTGTTGACTCATGTTTTTCACAGAATTTAAATATCAAGGAAAAATTTGAAGCAAAAGTTCAAAAAAAATGCCCAAAGCAAAACGAGATAAAATTATTTCACTCACGAAAACAAAGAAGAGAAGTACCAAGGAACAAAAAACCAAACTCATTGAAGAAATCCGACATGCGATTGAAGACCACGATCATGTCTATGTATTGGATTTTTCAAATTGTAGAACGAATCATGTGAAAGAAATTAGAAGAGATTTTATGGACTCCAAGTAAGTAATAGTTCTTCATCGTGATGAAATTGAGAGAGTTTATCATCCAACAACCAATAATATTGAATTGTTCATCATGAAAATTTCAATACCATGAATTTTCTTCTCCGAATTGTTTCATCATCTCCAAATTCTATAATCATGAATATGACCTCTCGGAATGAAATTTTCTTCAACAACTTGTTTGAATATTTTCATCAAATGTTCTTTCTCCCAACAATAACAACAACAACAACTGCACTCATAGACTTTTCATGACCAAGAATAAAGTCATGAGAGTTGCATTAGGAACGAGTGAAGAAAACGAAACTGAACCAAATCTTCATCATGCCTCTAAATTCCTCACAGCAACAAGAGCATTGCTCATTACCAATCGTGCTCCAGAACAAGTGAAAGAATACTTTTCTAATTTTGTGAGAAGCGATTTTGCACAGGCTGGATTTGTGGCCACTAAAACAATTTCGTTGGAGGCTGGTCCAGTGGAGTGGATGCCATTTAGTTTGGAAGAACGATTTCAACAATTGGGATTGCCTATCGAAGTGAAGAATAAGGTGATTTGCATTACGAGAGATTTTGATTTGTGTACTTTTGGAGAGCCAATAACAGTTCAACAAGCAAAACTTTTGAAACATTTTGGTCATGAATTGGCTGAATTTAAAGCAAGTGTTGTTTGTCACTACGACAAAAAGAAGAAGGAATTTGAGAGATTTATGGAAGAGCCTGAACAAGATGGTGAGGAAGATAATGAAGATGACGATGAGATGGAAGACCAATAATCCAATCTAATTAAACGTATTCAATGCTTAATTTAAAATTTGTCTATTTTTGAAATCATCTCGTTTGCATGAAAAATTAAGGTTTGTTTGGAGGTTTATTTGCTTCCTCCAATAAATAGGTGACGAACAATTCTGAAAAGGTCTTCTTTCTAGTCAGTAATTGCTTGAATCGTTCTTGTTGTAAATAGACAAGGGCGTTCTGCAGCAGCTGTTCTTCTTCGAATGAGGTTATATTGAGAGTTTTGAGAAGGAATTTGAATACCGCCTGTTGCTGTGCCATGTCACCAATATTGGAGACCAAAGTGAGAAGCATGCGTGACACGACACGTCTATCCACAAGATTTTCATCATTTAACCTGCTCATGCAATCTTCGAGCATTCGTGTCACAATTTCGCCTGTTGAAATTATGGTAAGGGTAAAACACATATGCAAAATCCAACTTACTTTGCGAGTTATTTAACTCTTCCATGTTTGTGGTCGTTTCCTCCTGTTCACTAAGCTTTGTTTTCAATTCTTCAATTTCTTTCTTCAGCTCCTCGACTTGATCTGCCTCTTGTTTAAGAGTTGTGTTTAAATTTTTTAGTTTTGCAATTTCTTCATCCTTCTTTTGAATGGTTTGTTTCAATTTAGAGCTTTCCTTTTCAGAAGCCATTTGTAATTGTTCCAAAGCAGTTTCCAAATTTGCTAATTCATTCTCTCTTTCCTCAAGTAAACCATTGTATCCGCTATACTGAGTTTCTAATTGTTTTTGTGAAGATTTCAATCGTTCAATCTCATTAAAATATTGTTTGTTTAACTGTTGCTCCCTTGTCAAGTCGGAATATATTTGTTGAACTCTTTGATTTTGTTCATTAATGTTATGAACGAGCTGTTTCTTTTGATTGTTCAATTCGTTAATGGTTGTCTCTAATTTGGAAATTTGATTGTTAGCAGTTACATTGGCTTGTTGTAAATCATACTCCAATCTCCGATTTTTTTCCAAATATTCATTCATTTTCCTGAAAGTGACAATTTTAACAAATGATTGTTTCACGTTTTGAATTAATAAATTGTCAAGCACAAATTCCCACTTACAAATTCTGTTCTCTGTATGCTTGTTGCACATTTTCCATAAGATGTTTCAACTCTTGTTTTTCTTTTTCGTATCTATCTGCTTGATTTACAATTTCTCCTTGTAAAAACGTATATGACTCTGTAAATATTCTACATATTTCTCATGATTCAATACCTCATCTCCAACAAATAATTTAACATGAATATATTTCTTGTTATCAGTTCTTGTTGTTTCATTGTATGGTTTTGTCATTCCATCCACAAGTAAGCCAGGTGGCATTTCCGGTAGCTGATTCGTAACTAGAGCACCACTTGGATGAGTCAATAACGTCGGAGTTGTTGATCTACTGCTGCTGGATTTGACACTCATTCCCTGCTGTTGTTGGGGTTGTATCTGATTCATTGTAATGAGTGTCGGAGTGATGGATCTGCCACTATCCAAACTTGAAGAGGATGAAACTCTTTTCAAATCAGTACTTGATCCAATGGAATAATGTTGCTGATGATAATTTGGTGTTTGAAAGAAAGAAGATGGAAGTGAGGATGAAGAAACCGATGATACTGGAGATAATCTGCTTGAAGTGGTAGTTGTATTGGTGGTGTATGAATGTACAGAAGAAGAGGCAGTTGTTGTAGCAGTTGGCTTGTATGGAGTGTTATTCATCATCGTGGGCTGATTCGGAAACACTTTTGAAGGTAATTGTGGTGATTGTTGATAATTGGTGCCATGGGGTTGATAATGTTGTTGTTGTTGTTGCGGATGGCTGGAAAGAAATGGCTGAGCAAAGAAGGAATCCTCTTTGGGTTGTGGTGTGTTTGTTGAGTTGGATCCTGTCGTGTGGGGTTTATGAGAAACAGCTAGTACTGGTTGTTGTTGTTGATGATGATGATGATCATTTTCCTCTTCCTCTTCTTCCTCTTCAATCGGAGCTATTAACTCGTTTGCAAATTGATGAAGTTTACCCCACATTCTCATCGTTCGGAAATCACAGCGATGAAGTTTTGATTTTTTTCTTTACTGCTACGCAAGCAAGAATCAAAGTTTATTTCATCGTTGTTGTCATGGATAAACAGACTTCATTGATGGGTTGAAGAATGAGAGAAACTAAATTCAATGTCGTACAAGAGTGAAGAAGTTCTTCCAGTAAGGGAGTTCACAAAATGAGTCTCCAATTCATTGTGACCTTCCTCAATGACAATAATGGAGAAATTGGGGGTCATGTTAATCACAGTTCTAATGTCAAGAGTGGCACAATTTTCCCAAAGGTTATGTGAAGGTTCAACTTCTTCTGGAATCTCATTCTTCTTTTGTCTTTGATTGGATGGTGCTGTTGTATTTGAGAGCTTGATTTGTTTCGCTCGCTTGTTACCAGGTGCTTGATGCTTCAATTCACGAGGAAGCTCAATGGGTTTCAAGGTTGGGAACGTTGCAGCGCTGTAAAGGGAATATAAACAGTTATTCTTGGAAATGATGAAAAATTCATCAGTGGAGCAAATGATCTTCTTCACGTTCGCAATTTCCAAATCAATTAATTGAGATCGTTTCAACAAGAATAGTTGGGAATCCTCCTTTCGTTTCAGCAACAAGGCGTTGTCCACTGCAATAACGTCAGACACGGTAAAAGGTAAATCAATCTTGAAACACTCTCTCGTAATTGACGATTTCACAACATCTCCAGCCTTCTCTGAGTCTTGTGACAGTTGCGTAACCATTAAGCAGGTAGGAGAGGTTGCATCGTTGATCAATTCAGTGAAAATATTAAGCCTATCTCTGATTGTTGAGTAAATCTTTCCGCTCTTTGTGAGAATTATTGTACCTGCAAATAATTGCTCCATCTTTAGGATGCATTCACCATCAATACTAATGTCCAGAATGTAAGGAGGGTCATGAGGATCAGCAGTCAATGAATCCCACGCGACGCTGTCCACATTAACAACTCGATTATATACCAAATAGGCATCCCTTCCGCATAGTATCCACTTTCCATTCTGTGTTCCAAACACAGAGTTGTGAGTGTTTGTTTTGATGCTTGTGATATAATCTCCATGGTAACAAAGATGCAAACTAGTCCAATGCTCAACAAAATCGTTTCGATCCATTAATCCAAGTTCGTTAAACGGATTGGCTCCTCGAACTAGTACTTTTCCGTTTCTGAGATGAAAGAAGTACACTCGCTTTCCATAGTCACAATGAAAGTTAAAGTAAATAATATCGTCCTTTGTAAGATCTCTTCCCTTTTCAATCATTTCATGTCCTTGCTCATGACAAGTATCATTGGCTTTATGAAACGTAGAAATTTTAGGGAGAGCAATTTTGTTAATTATGGAGGTTCTCTCATTAATCGAGCGAACATTAGAGAAACCATGAATATGGTACAAAAGAAGTGAAGGTTTGTGATCTTTTCTCTCGCTAACTGCTTCCCAATCTTCAAATAAAACCACCAACTCACCAATCACACATTGCATGGCGACTATTTGACTCAAACTTTTCAATTCCTTAATTGCAAACAAACAATTCGTTTGGTTGGATGCAACTGCAGATCCTTGATGTTGACTGGAGGAGTGTTGAGCTCTTGCTTGTGCTTCTTGTGCATCTTGAACGTCAAGAGCTGTCGACATGAATGTTTTTGCTGGGATGGCTTCCTCTGATGTTTGATAACGTCCTTGACTTGGAGAGAAGGAAAGTAAATGCCGATGATTGGAGAGAGTTTCGGAACATGACAGTTTCTTGTTTGAAGACGAGGCAAACAATGGAAACTGGACGTTCACGGCAAATTCATTTTCCTTGATTTGCAAATCAGATGGCTCCTCTTCTTCAATGATTGGTTCCATATTCCCATCACTCAAATGATTCCACTCAAATTCATCTCTTGCTCTCTTTTGTAGCGAGGTTGTATGATTCATCATTTTCTGATGTGGTATTCCCAAAAGTTCCGAGAGTGGTTATATAACGTTTTTCTCTCTTTGTTACAAGTACTACTTGACGGACACTTCTAGTAGAGGAAATACAACAGAGAGATCTGAGTGAGCCTTAGTTTCTTTTTGTTGTTTTTTTTCTCGTTTTCTGCACCCCATGATGGAAATGAGAACTTGGATGCTTCTCTCTTTGATAGAGTTTCAATTCAGAGAGTATTATAGAAAGGGCAACAGTGTAACAGAAAGAACCTTCAACACGGCTACTACGTGAAAGAATATCAAAAAGGACAAGAAACGCATTTTACCATTGCTACAAGAAATTTATAACCATCATGACACATCATTATTCATGTGTAGTGAAAATCAAAATATCTGAAAATAGAGTGTTTCTGCATGGTACAAATTCTTGCATTTGCTGTTCAGTCTCGGTGCTGGTGGGCGTGGTGAGGGGTGAATTCACAATCACAAAATTCTTGCCATTCGACAAGTTTTTCGCAAAATATTTCAATCGATGGATGGAATTTGGGAGATATCTTCGATCAGGACAATAAATACTAAATGAAATATTGTTGGGCGAAGTGGCATTATCATCACCATTATGAGAATCTGCTGCTGATGTTGATGATGTCTCTGAATCATTGTAGAGTGATGATGATCTGAAGCGTCTGATGAAGAAACTTGTTGAGAACCAGATTGAGAGGAAGAATGAACACTTGCATTGTTGTTGGATTGTGGAGGAGGTGGTGCTGACAAGATGTATTTCAAATTTTGTCGAATGGTGGTCAATACTTTCTTCATTTCATCCTCTGGACTCGAATTGAAGAACATGATTTTAGCCAAATTCAAAAAATCTCCAATTTTGATGCGGAGAGGTGGATCTACTTTGTGTGAAACATCCGAGTCTGTGGGTATTCCATAATGTTTTTCCAAAAATGTTTGTTGAAGACCCTTATTTTGTTTGGTAATGTTGATTTGTAAAATCCAATTCAAAATTGTTTTCTTAATTTGACTTGCTTTTTCAGCAACTCCCTTATACTCTTTGGTTTGTAGGCACGAGTCGTGACCTGACATGATATCCAAAAATTGACAAATATGACTTTCTTTGGATCTCACATTATTGTTAATGAGTACTTGTTGTAATTTCTTTCGAATTTTGTTAATTCTCAAATATGAGCTCACAATATAGGCATTGGCAAGTTCGATGGAGCTGATCTTGCTTGAATTGTTTTGACCTCCTCCATTACCTTTTGAGGCATAATCGAAAATTTGTGTTAAAAAGAAGTGAATGTATGCCAACTTGTACTGATGTTCAAAAGGTGCCTCATTCAAATGTACCACCAACTTGTCATGTATTCGATCGAGAATTCCTTCCCAAATGTGAATCTTTTTTTCGAGTGTATATTCCCTACTTCGCATTGGAAGATCTAAATTTGGTTGAGTTTTCTTGCCATTTGTTGGAGAATTGACAATGACAAGACCACCCGTGGAATTGGCACTTGCTTGACACATTTCTTCAAAATTTTTAAGATCTTGTTGCATTTTGGCTTTTTGTTTCATTTTGTTAATCGATTCCGAAAAGGTCTTTTTCAAACCAGTCGAAATTCCCAATGAAGGCATGAGTGAAGATTCAGGAGTGGCAGGATAATCACGTCCTTCATCAAAACTTGAAGCACTATTCGAATTGGTATTATTCAGAGTTGTGGAAGTCGTTGGTGTCAAGGGTGACGGCGAAGGAGTTTGATTGGTAGGTGTAGCGGCAGTCGCAGAAGAAGAAAATAATAATCCTCCAACACCTCCTCCAACACCATTCTTATAATTCTTGGTGGTAACAATGGTTGGAGAGGAACCATCAAGACTTGTAGCAGAATTGGACATGAAACTCAACGAAGAGGAAGTAGATGCAGAGGATCCTGCTGCAGAATCATACAGGAAACTATTCGTGTGAATGGGTTGGTGAATGTCATCAGCAGAGGAACTGCTTAATCGATTCAAATGATTGACCATGTGGTTATTATCCATGGAATTGGTTCTAGAAAATCCATGAGAGCCCACTGGTGAAGACATCATGGTGGTGTGAACTCTCAATTCTAATCGATCATCATTCATTGGAGAGGAAGCATACGGAGAAGATCCCAAATAGGAATAAGGTCGAGGGGATGGAGAAGAGGCCAACATTTGTTTTCCTAATTCATGAATGGTTGGAGAAGAAGATAATGGTGTCATTACAGTGGAGGTACCGCCTGAATACGTTGGAGGTGTGCCCACAGAAGTCGATCCAGAACGAGTCCTTCCAGAAGAGTTGTTCATAATGACGGTGTGGCTTGAGGGACGAGTTTGAATGGCAATGGCTGTGGTAATTTGTTGAAGGGAAGATGAGGAATCTGAGAGACGAGAAGGTGGAGGTGAAATTTCATCGTGTTCTTCTTCGTCATTGAAATCTTTTGGTTCTTGATGGTCATTGGGAAAGGATTGAGGATCTAATGATGAATCTTGTGGTGGGTGGTTCACATCTGTTGATTGTTGTTCTTGTTGTTGCATCAACAAGGCATGGGTCGTTATTGCAAGTTCTTGTTGTGAAGTGAATGGTTCAGAACTTGAAGAAGATATATTTGGTGGTGTGGTAGAATTTTGAGATGGTGGTGAATTAGGTAAGGTCGTTCCTCGAATTGGTCCTTGTCCATAATTACCAAATTCTTGTTGTTCTTGATGATATTGTGAAACTTTTCCATAATACACCACTGTGGCACTTCTTCGTTTCATTTTATCTAAATTCACAATCGATAAATCCACACCATGATAATGTGACAATACCGTTTCTACAACCTTATCCAAATAATTATTTCGTTGTGTGACAGGATCCTCCACTGTTAAAATACTTAATAAGTTATCCAATGATTTGTTTCCTTTCAATCGAATCATGTACAATAATTGAATAATCGATCTTAAATACATGTATTTCAATCGATTGCTTTTCATATGATTAAAAATCATATAAGTCAATTTGATATATTCCAATTCATCTCCGTCATTATACGATCCATCTTCACCATTCATTTTGTCCAAAGCATGTTTCACAAGCATGGATAAATAATGAGGTTGAGTTTGTAACATGTAAAACACAAATCCAATGTGTTGCAGTAAACGTTCTCGTTTTTCACGTTTCAAATTTTTCACATTATCATCTTGGAGTGAGTTGGCAGAATTGGAGGCAGAGACAACCACATCGAGAACACCATTTTGATCACTCTCAGATTGAGCAATACTTTCAAAGAGAGGATACGAATTGTTTTGACCCATATGTATGTTGAATTAATTACTTTTTCTATCTCGTGGTCTTTGTCGTCCTTGTCGTGATGGGAATGTTGTTGTTGTTGTTGGGAGATTGTGTTTGTGAATTGAAACGAAAGGACTTGTTGTTACTACTAATAATAACGAACGAATGAAATTAATAACTCCAATGTTTCAGACTCTGATGATGATTGGATGCATTCCAAATTTGAAAAAGTTGTATGTTGCAGCATGTGGTTCATCACGTTCCCATCGATGGATATATTTCGGGATTCAGATGTGGTACGAAGATCGCAAATAAATCATGATTGGAATAAACACGTTACAACCAAATGGATAACAATCATCATCACACTTACTCGGAGTTGTAGAAATGATTTTGTGTGGTCGTGTGGTGTTGCTGCTGATTCTTCTATCGTAATGTGGTTGTTGTAGATAAATGGTTGGTAAAAGAACGATTGATGTTGTTATTGTTGTTGATACTACAAAACTCAGCGCGCAGATGGTCTGCTGCAGTAATGATTGTGCAACTACTACTACTCTCACACACGCAATGGTTGAGTGATGTGGTCTTCTTCAGGACTTGTTTTGGGGTTTATTTTTCTAAATTTCAAAACACAATGAAGAGTCACAACTTTTGACAAGCGACGGGGCGTGATCTTTGCCGTAAGCATCTTAACAAGAGACCTTAATCAGCCATCCATGAAACCACAAGATATTTATTCAACCAAACAAGCACAAACACATTACGAAAACGTTTGCCTTACCTCCAAAGTTGTGTTGACACACTGTCCAGCAAGAAGTGTGTGTTTAAATAAACCAATCTAATTCCGTTCGTTCATAATGATTCTTATCGTCGTTCATAATTTTTGGATAAAAAGGAACCATGGCATCTTGGTGGCCAATGTAAACATTGTTATAAATTTTCCAAAAAACATTTCGGACTTTCCTTGCAGGGTTAAATAGACCTTGTAATAAATATTGTAAAATAACACATGGCCCAAGAGTGACGCGAAGCGCTTCAATAGCTTCCATGACTGCATTGATAACGTGTGCAGAGGTTTCGAAAATGTTTGGCCATACATAGTTCAAAAGGTGAAGCAGAATGTCTTCTTTTCCACGACCATGTACTCCCAGAGCAATATGTTTAACAGCTGAGCATGCTGTTTGTCTGTGCACTAAATCTCGGTCCATTAAGGCGTCTTCAATCAAAGGAGTGACGGCATAAATATAATCAGTAGAAAGGTCTCCAATGTATTCGAATAGGAAGGCAAGAGATTTGAGGACACCAGTTCTAACATTGAGTTCTGGCACTCTATATTCGTTCATGAGAGCTGGAAGAACGGTGAATGGACCACATATTTCTGCCACAATGGCAATTGCGATTGTAGTGCATACTCTGTTCTGTCGTTCCTGTACCTTTAAATTGTTTAAAAGTGTGACAAGCACGTCAGAAGGTCCAATTTCCTTCGCAATATAACCAAATGTCTTGATTGCTGCTCTTCTAATTGATTTCTTGTGAGCTCTTAGCACTTCTAGTAAATCGAAACAAATTCTTAGCCACTCCTTGCTTGAAATTCTATTAGCTGCAATTTGTGCAATGGTACCAATTAAATTAATGAGGCTTTCTTCAACCTTTTCATTTCTGTTCTTTAGAATTGGAGTGCACCGTGTCAAGATTTCATCTAGTGAAGGCTTTGTCTCATCTCCCTCTCCTAATGCTTGAATGAGAGCATTCATGGATGCCAAAACAGAACCTAAAACTTCAGGATACTCCTCATCTCGCAAGAATTCATAAAGAATCATCTTAAAGTGAGTGAGACGTGTTTCTTCGTTACACTGCTTCACAATTGGAATAATTTCTGTGAGTAGATCTGCCGATTGTTGCCGAACCTTCTCAGATTTGTTGGTCAATCGATGCAATATAGTACCTGTTAGCTTTGGAAGATATTTCTTTGCTCTAATACCAAATGCTTTAAGAATCGAAGAAACAGCATTAATGATCAAATAATAATTCTTCTTATCTGTTGCTGGGTTGCTTTGATCTTGCACTATACAGAACAAGAGACATTCTTCTAAAAGTTCTAATTCCAATCGTTCACCAATATCTGTTGTGCCTAGCGCTTCTGTGATTTTCATAATAGTTTCAAGAGTCATATGTCGGAATGGTTCGTTTTCGTCCTTAAGATGGGTGATTAACTCGCCGACAACAAGAGCGCACCCAACGTTATGTGCCAATGCTACCGTAGTCTCTACGAGTTGGTTGTAATTTCTTCGATCATTCACCATGCTTCTATCCCAAAAGCTTGAGAAAAATTTAGGTATGATATTTTGTTTCACAAATGCAGCGTCGATTCCTTCCGTAGCCACACATTGAGCAATAGCTTTAAGGACAATTCTTTTCATTTCCTCTTCTTGCGTGTCATACTGTCGTACTATGTGTTCAATAACTGCATTGGTATATTTCTTAGCTTGTACAGGGTCCATTAATGGAATAATGTATCCAACTGCTTTGATGTAGGCAGCCAACATTTTTCCCTTGCTTGTACTTAGACCTTTCCAGAGAGGCTTCAAAACGCAATCGAACGATTCAATACCAAAAGGAGCAGATGATTGTGCCAAGGCAGCAACTGCTAACCCTGTAATTGTCCTCACCTTAAACTCGCTGTCATTAAAACCGTCCTTAATAATTTCAACAAGATCTGTCAAATAGGGTAGAACTCCACATCCCAATAAAACGGCAATTTGTTGAACAATTCTAATTCCTGTATGTCTAGCTTCCCATGTCTTTTTGTATCTACAAACAGCCTTCAAAAAGGGTAAGAGATTTTGCACACCAAGAGCGCTTGCTACTACGGCAAAAGCCCTACTTGTTGTGTTTCTAACGTATTCTTCAGCATGGTCAATATCTGGTCTCATGGCAGCAATCATTGCAGCCAAACCAGCTGCCTTTGCCAAATTCGCAATAATTTCTCGTCCTTCAATTCTTGTAAAATAGTCTTCGTCGATTAACATGGGCTGTGTGACTAGTAAAATTTTGTGGACATAAGGTCGCACCAAGTCATCTAATTTGTACAAAATTCTGTCAATTAATTTAACGAGTAAATGTCGCTCTTGCTCTTCCAAAGTTGTTGACATCATGAGAGGTAAAATTTGGTCAAACAAAGGACCGGCGCCAAGCTCTCGAGCATGTTCGGTTATAAATTTCATGGCTTGCTTTCTCATTTGAGGCGTTCCGTTTTTGATTTTAAGCAATAGTCTGAGAATTTTTCGTTCAATTTTTTCTTCGTCACTCATTTCGTTTTCGTCTTTCTCTTCCAGTAATTTTGCAAAATATTGATAATCATCAGCTTTCATTTCTGGCATGTCTGCCCCAAGTGTCCCTATTGGTAATCCATAAGTAGAAGCAGTAATTTCGTCAGGAATGCTATAGTAGGGAGTGGCTGATCCACTCAAAGGTGTGACCATTTCAGTGCCCCCTGCTGTAAAGGAGGTTGTTCGATTTCTTCGCTTTGGTACATAATCTGAAGGTGGTTTTAAAATTTCAAATCCCTCCGAAGGAAGCATGGCATCCAATTCCTCGTCACTTAAAGGTTTGTTCCTTGCATCAATCTCTTGTTCAATTTTGAGTTGTGAATATTCTTGGGGTGTCATATTTCCGAGTGGTGTAGAAACTACAGCAGCTGATCCTCTGAATGAGGAATTTCTTGGAGTTAATAATGGTGTTGCTGCAATGGTGGATGAGCTTGCTGCACCATAAACAGGCGTCTTCATTGCATTTTGATCCCATTTGCTTGTACCATAGACAGGTGTAGCATCTACCGCTGATGATGAAGCTTGAGCCGAAATTGGAAGGCTTGATGAAGAATTTTCCCAACGTTCTCCTCTTTTGTTGCTTGGTGGAAGTCTTCGTGATGATGTAGTTGAAGAAGGCACACCCGAAAACTCTTCATCCGAAGACATGTCGGTGCTAGCATAGGCCGGTGAAGTACCATAGCCACTTTTCCTCACAAAAGAGTCTACATCTTCGACCTCATCGTCATCGGCTTCCCATGCTGATTTTGTCATTTTCTTGGGTGGTTCTTCGGGTATGTTGATGATTTGTTTACTACCAGATTCCGTTGTTATTTCTTCATTGTATAGTTTATGTTTCTTTGTAAATTCTTCCTGATCATCCACAGACGATGATGATGATGCTGTGGTTTGACCAGATACTTTTACTTTAGAGTCCCATCGGGACACTCGTTTTTTTGGCTGTTCGTTTGAAATCATTTTTTATTTTAAAATTTCTTCACCTTCAATTTCCACAGTTGCGTTGGAAGAGGTGAATGCTTTTTTGTTGGATTGATGGAGAAGAATTAAAAACATTAGATTTTAATAATACTAGATCAATGTCTATGTGTTGAATGCTACATCGGTGTTGGATATTCCCAACAAACACACTACTGCAAGTATTATTCATCTTCCTTGTACGAGGTAATGATTTCATCGTCAAGGTAATCCTCAATTTCTTCTTCCTTATTCTTCTTTTTCTTAGAGCTTGATGATGCAGAAGATGTCAATTTGGATTTCATTTCCTTCTTCATTTGACGTTTTGAAGGACTTGCAGTGACCTCTTCCTCAACCAATTCAGGCCGTTTCACATCAAGTTCATCCAACGTGTGTAACTCAATTAAGCCAACTCTATTCGCTGGTGAATAAATTTCCTCAATAAGATCCTTTTCATTTTCACGTTGAGAGAAGGCATAACCTGTACCGAATTGTGTACTTGTGAGAGTCTTCTTTCGTTCAAGAGCACGAGGTTCATACTTCTCAATTTCTTCAATAGGAGCTCCTGGAGTAATATAAATACCAATACGATTGAACTTGTCGTATGGTTTTCTATGTGGTGGTTGCAACTTGCTGAAATCAAATTCATGTTCCACTTCCTCTCTAGGAGCCATTTGTCCAACTTTGCTGAATGGTTGCAAGATGTGATAGAGTTGCTTTGTCCAAGGAAGAATTCTCACAGCGCTCTTCCAAGCAACGTCTCTTCCTAGAGCAACAACCATGACTAACAGTAAAGTAGCCCAAAACAAAGGATTTCCTGCAGCTGTGTAAAAGTTGAAATAATATTTCACTCCAAGATTTTTGAGGGTTGAGAATGGGAAAAAGTTTGCTGGAGGTACAATCCAATAGAAGAAGGAGTAAACAATTGTCCATAAAAACCAAACAGCAACACTTCCCCACAACACAATGCTGTTGAACACATTCCAAGTACTGATGGAGGGAATATCATGAAAGAACATTTTGTGGTTAATAAATGACTTAAAAAATAAAACATTTAACACTTACGAAGTCTCTAAAGCTAGTTTGGAGTTGACCAACAAGATGATACAAGTGTAAATTAAAATACCAATTTCCTCAAGAGAGGCCATTCGGCCATCATGAGTTGCTCCGGTCATGAAAGCAAAAGCTCCCATTGGAATGAAGAAGCAACAAATTGAGTGCCAGATCGCATTCAAAATCCACATAAGTAATCTAGGAATATTAAACTATTACCAAAAATAATTGCATAATATGATGAGCAAATAACATCAACAAACCATTCAACTTACATAGTAATCTTTTTGGCCATAAGTATACAATTCAGGGAAGCTAATAGCGTGATCATCATTCACATCACGGTCAAACATTGCAAAGAAAATGATTGGTAGAGATGTGAAAATCAAGTTGAAAGTGGAGAGAGAGAAGTTTTCATAGAGAGAAGTTCCTGTAAATGCATTGTAAAAGATAAAGTAGAATTGTGTCAACTGAAGTGTCAAGTTCTTATAGAAAGAGTAGACAATAGTTTTTCCAATTCTTCTGTAATTCAATCGACCGTGAATCAACAAGAGTCTCTTCAAATATTTGAATTGAGCAATGGCATAGTCAGCAGCTCTTGCAGCTTGTAAGCCCTCCTTTCCGCTAATACCCACACCAATATGTGCAGCTTGAATCATGGAAACTATGATGTGTTGGTGATTCACAAAAAATATGGTTTAGAATTCATTGTAAAATACTTACCATCGTTTGCACCATCTCCAATTGCAAGAGTAACAGCTCCTGGTAAATTGTCTTTAACAAGTTTCACAATTAAGGATTTTTGGAGAGGTGACACTCTGCAGCAAATCACAGACTTGCACATCATGCACAATCTCAAAAATGTATATCTCAATGGTTCTTCATTTGGATCGTCTGCATCATCTTGTAGATGAGAAATATCCTTTTCAGCTGCATGATTAGTTTGGCCATCATCAGATTCATCATCATGATTTTCAAGATCGTCCAAAATCTTAATTTCTTTCTTTTCATTTTGGCTATGCTTTTTTTTCTTTTGCTTCTTTTTCTTTTTTCTTTCTAGAATGATATCCAAAGCAGATCCATCCACAACCAGCCCAAGAATGGACCCCTCTTTTCCTTCCATGGCATTCTTTAGTTTCATTCTGATTTGGGTTTTTAGTGAAGATCTATTCTCAGCGTTAATAATCATAATACTCATGTTATTGTCCAAGAGAGCGCATGCGTAACCAATGTTGATGGCTGTTTCTTGTTTATCACCAGTGAGGACCCAAATCTTGATGTTGGCCTTGGCCAATGTTGCGATAGTGTCTGGAACTTCATCTTGCAACTTGTCCTCAATTGCTGTAGTACCGACCACTTCCAAATTCTTTTCAATAACTTCAGCAGCATCTGCCAGTTTTTGCTTTTTGTCTTTTAGATCAAGCTCTGCTGGTTCGAAAACCTCAGTATTCCATCGTTCATATTCAACAGGGTCAAGCTCCGCTTTGGCACACACCAATGTTCTCAAACCTTCAGCAGCATGTTTTTCAAGTATTTTTCTTGTTTCCTCGAGGAAAGGTTGTCTGGGCTTCAATCTTTCATAAATGACATTATCGGCACCTTTGGTGTAGAGAACAATCTTATTGTCAGGTGTACGAACAATGACTGACATTCTCTTTCTTGTAGAGTTAAATTCCAAAATATTGAGCACGTCAAATGTTTGACGAACTCCTGAAACCTCAATAGATGCTTGTTTTGGTGTTCTTTCCTTAAATACAAAGCCTAGATGCATAGCAGCTTTTACGAGAGCAGCTTCGTCAGGAGATGAAGCCTGATACTCAATTGAGTTTGGTTTTGATTTGTCAACTTCAGGGATGACAGTGTGACAAACAGCAAGCAGTGTTAATAATTCTTGGATGTTGGTAGCATTCTGCTCCTTTCTCCAATTGTTGTTCATAATTCTCTCGTCAACAAATTGAAAGCCGTCCTCTGATGGAACTGGTAGGTCCTCTTCTACATGCTCCCCTCTTCTCTTTGCGGCTGCTCTTCCAATTTCTGTTGATCCTCTTCCATACTCAACACCTGACACAGAGAATTTTAAAAACTCCATAACGTTCTGAGTCAGAGTACCCGTTTTGTCAGAAAATATATATTCCACTTGACCCAATTCCTCATTCAAGCTTGACGTCTTTGCTAGGGCAGGAATGTGCATGTCATTTTGCTTGTCATAGTAGCACATTTTAATGTCGTTATCAAGGAACAATCGAGCCTGCAAAACCTTCACTGTTTCCAATGTCACATAAAGAGAGATAGGAATACAATTGTTATAGAGAATGAAAAATGTAAGTAAAGCTCCGAAGAATTGTGAAGCAGCTGAGGTTAAATCTCTAAAGTACCAATGTTGGTTACTTGGGTTTTGTTTGGTTTGCCAAATTGAAAGCGCAACAGCAGAAAAGAGAGCCAGCAATAATTGAGCCACGAACAAGAGTAAAATCATTCTGTTGGTAATCTTTTCAACCTTGGATCGTTTAGAAGGTGGATTTCTAGAATTCATCATTAACTTTGAGTGCTTTCCTGTAAATACAACCAATCCATAAATATGCTTGGTATTTTTCAAAATGGCTCCTCGTAGTAGAATATTTTCCACATCTAAGGCAATAGGTTTTGGATCAGGATCTATCTTAATGTTTCCAGTGAAGTTGTAAAGCTTGTTGTTAGGTTGCTCGCAATTTACCACTCCACGAAGTTTAAGAAGTGCGTTAGGATCGGTGAGCGCGGATGTTGGATGAACACATCTCTTAATTTTTAAGTTAGTTTCACCATCAAGTTGTGACGTTTCTATGTAACAAATTCCCTGATGTTCACTGCTCGATATGCCAATTAAATCCGCAGGAAATGATTCATCTTGATTCACTTTTACAATGTCTCCAACTCGTACTTGTTTCCATGCAACTTCCATCACTTGTCCATTTCTCAAAATTGAGATATTTCTGTTGTTAACTTCATTGTCGGAAAGGTGACGCTTGATATCTTCATAGCCGTCTTTTATCATTTGAATGATAATAACAATTACAAGCGGAATGGCTGTACTATATCTTCCACTGTTTTATGATTTTGATAATCAAAATATACCAATAACAAATGATTAGAGAATTTACATTATTTGGACAATAGAGTTCATCATCGGTTTAGGTATCATTGTTGATGATAATAGGTATATTCGTCATGTAAATTATTCATCAAAACAAGTAACACATACGTTGGAGAAAAAGGTGTAGCTAATTGCAGCAAGGCAATCAGTAAAAAGTAAATGTTGGCCACTCTTTTGAACTGTTCCAAAAGGTTTTTTGGAACAAATGTAACAAGATTATATTTGGCAGTCGAAACTGTGTGTTAGAATGTTCCAAACATATTCACATTAGAAAATTTAATATTCAATCGGATCATAAATGTTAGCCATCATTCCGCGTCGTGCGAATATAATTAAAACAACTGATTCAGAACATGAACATACCTGAATTATCGCAAAATTTGTTTTCCTTTCTTTGATTTGTTTCTTCATCATTGAGATGAATGACTCTAGGTGCTGGAGGTAATCGATTCCATGGCAACCAATCGTTGAATTGACGCCATTTCTCTCCGTAATTTACACTCTGTAAAAGACGTATGTAACTTATCAGGGATCTCATGAGTGATGATAAAGGGGTAATAAATTATGATTGGTGTGATGATGAAAAAAAATGTTTTCACGCTCGTCGTGATGAAATATTGGTCTATTCCAATGGATATTTGTAATAATGATTTCTTGTGTATGTGATGAAAACTTTGCACTCGCTATCTCAAAATTGTGTCCGTCGCCAAAATTTCAACACGAGAAAGCCTGTTATTGTAACGGCTATTTTTTTTGGATCTGTTTCTGAAATGGGAAGGACAGGTTGATCGACTTGTCGAGTTGGTTTCCAATCACTCTCTTTGCTACTTCCATGTTCAATGAGAGTGAATGCTCATGGTCCATTACTATGTACGAGCATCGCATTGTTTTTAATGCAGCTTGATATTGGAAGACATACATTCCCGCCCAACATGAAAAAAAATGACTACAATCGTATCAGGTCAACCTCTCGATGACGACATGGAGAGCGAGCAAGTAGTGGATGAAAATTTGGATTGGAATGATACAAAGCAAGAGGAGTCTCGTCCGGCAACGGTTTCTTCGGTGCATTCGAACGGAGCTGCTGCAAAGAAGGAACGAGACACTGTTGCTGAGATTTTGGCAGAGAAGGTGCAGCAAATTCGTCCCTTAACAAAGATGAGATTCACCCGAAAATTCAAACACTTTGGAAGAGAAATACAAAATATTGAGGATGATACAAATGATGCGTATAGGTTTTTTCCACCGGTCAAAGATCCAAGATATCAACCTTCGGATCAACGATTAGAACGTGATTATGGAATTCAATGTGGCGAATCTCTTGTGGAAAAAGCAATTCAAACGGATTGGTTCAGAAAAGTCAATCACTTCTCTCAAGTGAATATTGCAGAGTCGATATCCAACCACGATACATCAATGAAAGATGATTCGACAGCTGTTATCCAATTCCTGAAAAATATATCACCTTTGCTCTTTGAAGCACTAGATCAAAATACGACACTCGACATATTTAAGGATGATTTTGCAGAGTTGAAAATTGGAGACGACTCCTTCATAGGAACCAAATCAGAGTCTCAATTTATTGAAATACAGTCATTTCCTCATGCAGTTTCAAAAATTAGAAAGATATCATCGCTTGATTGGCAGCCAAATAACAAGGCAGTGTTAGCCATCAGCACTATTGATATCAGAGATTTTAGTACAAGAGTTCTTGAAGGAGGAAAGCCATCAATTTCTAATGTATACATTTGGTCATTTCAAGATCCAACCTATCCTAGTTACATTCTCAACGCTCCTATGGACGTAAATTGCCTTCAATTCAATCCATCAAATCCAAACATTCTTGTGGGTGGCATGATCAATGGACAGGTAATACTATGGGATATTGAACATGGAGAGAAAGAGTTTGAAAAAATTGAAATAGATATGAAAGGAGATGAAATTTCGAAACCTCAAATACCAACTTTAGACTGGTCACAGCTTTCTCTACCAGAGATGAGTCATGCGAATTGTGTGACTGGCATTCAATGGCTACCAAAAGGAAAAATTGTTAAAAGTAATGGAAGCATGGTGTCAGCAGGTGCAGATGAGTGCTTCCAATTTCTTACTCTTGGTATGGATTCAAAGTTTATTCTGTGGGATATGAGAAAGGATAAGAGAAGACTTACTTTGAAAAAGAATGATAGATTCAAAGATGCATGGATTCCATACGCAGTGATGCCCATAATGCAACTTGACCTCACTTCAGAATTACCGACATTTGCTCTTTCTGTGAGCACAAAAAATCCTCATTCCCTTTGCTGCACGACCAACGAAGGAGAATTTATAGTAGCAGATTGGTCTCCGGTCGATTCAAACTCAGAGGAAAGCAACAACACCGACACAACATTCAACACTGTAAATATTGCAACAGGAATTTATGGGAAAACGAATGGCCATCAAGGAATTGCACATACCATTTCTCGAAGTCCATTCTTTGATGACATTCTGCTTACCATTGGAAAAGCAACTTGTAAAATATGGAAAATTGGATGTCCAGATCCTATTTGGTCCAGTGGATTCAAATTTAACACATCATATTCATGCGGAAGTTGGAGCCCTACAAGACCAGGTGTCATTCTTCTCGGAAGAACTGACGGATTTATCGAAGTTTGGGATTTTCTTGACAAGTCACATGATTGTAGCATGATTTCTCACTTTTCAATCTCTCAACAAAACGTACCCTTAACAGAAATGAAGTTTCGGGTGGGATCTGGTAAAACGTCGTATCAATTTATTGCCATTGGTACTCAGAACGCCTCACTCTCAGTCGTTGAGGTACCAAAGAATCTCATTCGGCCATTACCCGATGAAGAAAAACAAATTCGCAACTTCTTTAACAGAGAATACGAAAAAGTTCTCTACTTTAAGGAGCGATGGAAAATTAGAGACAAAGAATGGGAAGAGAAAAAACTACAACAACTTGACAGAGGATCTGCAGATCCTGAAACGAGATCAGAAACAGGTACCGCTCACACCTCTCAGAGTCATCCTTCCATTCAGAATCAAGAAGCTTCAGCGAATAGCAACAATATGAATCAAGAAAAGAAGCCCAGTATTGACAAGGCAGAAATTAAAAAGAAATTCCTCACCATTATTCAGCAATAAACTACTTTGGAATGAGTGAAGACCATCAGTATTTGCAAAACAAGAAATTCCCATTTTTAGATCAAAGTAAAAAAACAAATGCTGTGTCTCAATTGTTGTTGCCAATTCTTCGTCGAGAAATCGTCGCTTATTGTGATAGTACTAACGATCTTGTTTCTTTCTTCACTCAGTTCTGTATTTGCCCTTTCTCCTCCCATAGTTTCACCACCTCCATCATCCATATTCAACACCCCCATACAAATAAACATCACATGCCAAGATCCCAATACATTTATCATCATTCAAACCGAAGAAGAAGGATTAAATATCACTAACTATACTCAAAATACCACTTCCTTCATTAACTTGGGATTTGTCATGTCCAATATTTCATTTTCATGTTCCTGTTCAGACCCTTTCAATCACACCAGTGAAATGCTACAAGTCCGATATCATATCCATCTAAGGTAAGCACTCAATTCTAAATGCCTCGAAATTTCATTTTGGTTCTTTAGATCTCCACAACCTCCAAGATTTGATCCGAAAGGTCATGACTCTCAATCCTACCAAGGTCCTCTTTCCCTGTCAATGTCTAATCCGGAGGTAATTCCACCAGATCAAAGGTATGTGATGAATCTTATGATTCTTATTCTAATATTTTGCATCATTCTCGTACATGAAGTATTTCACAAGAAATTTGGTACACCTTTTCAACCTCTCAAGTCAATCCTCAATTTTTAAAATATGATCCTTCCACACCCATCATGCTGACAAGTGGCACGACATATATAGTACGAGCTAAAACGAAATGGAGCTATTTCGACGCTTCTTTAAACTTGTTGTTTAGTGATCAAGAATATGGACGGGAACCATTGATCGTTTTGGAAAGTTCAATAGTTTCAGAGAAGTATATCGTCATGCCACAGTGTTCGTATCCAGTGCCTTCCATTGCACCTGGAGTGTATTGGGAGGAGGTTTTGAACGTAAATTTTTCAAGAATGCATTGGAGTGGAATGAATAATTTGTCCTTGCATGTCAAGTTGGATCAACAGGACTTCCAAAATTGGCAATTTTCGAATTCCATACAGTTGTGGAATGATGGAAAAAATCATACAATTCAAGCGTTTGTAAATGGAAGTGCATGTTCTCAAAGTGAATTATTCCACGGAATTTGTAAGTATTTGTCACGCCCGTTCTTAATTTTTTTGACACGACATTCAAAATTTTTGAATTCTCAAAGATGTCTTTAAAAAACCTCTTCCTCAACCAATTTTCATTCCACCAAATTCTCCTGATGGATTCCTTCAAGGAACAATTCTCTCCATTTCATGTCCTTCCAATTTCACATTAACTCTCAATGTCTCCAGGAGTAATTCCCAACATTTAACCACTCAATCTCAATCGTTTCAACGAGTTTCATCACCTTTTCTATTACGTCTCAATGAATCCATGAATATTGGTGCATTGTGTGAAGAAGACGAATTGGACAACCTGTCGTCAGCATTTCCTACAACAAGCGTTCTCTCATACTTTTATCAAGTCTATTCAATTGCAAGACCTGTCCTTTCTCAGTCGTCGAAAACAAATGTAGGACCCATGAACCTTTCCATTTCATGCTCAGCATTAGATTCTGCTCCGTGTGGAATTTTATATACCTTGGACGAAAGCATTTCCTTATTAAGCAATTCCATGAAGAAAGGAGTGATATTTTCGAATCAAAGTATAGTGAATGTCACTCTCTCCAATTATGGTTTGAATACCTTGAAAGTGGTTGCCATGGATTTAAATTCGGGAATTATATCTCCTCAAGTGGAAGAAAAGTGTAAGTACAAAATTCTCGAGTGTGTGAAATTGTTCCAAGTTCACATTTGAAAAGATTTCATTATTGGAATTCTGCCAGAACCTAGTTTGATGTTTTCGCCACCGTTGCAAGACGGAGAGACTCCGAGAATAAGATGTTCATTAATTCGGTCTTGGTCATGGTGAATTTTCCCATCGATGCAGTGGCAGCTGACATTCGCATTGAATCTCTTTCGAGTGATGGAATTTTGACCAGTATTTTAACAAGTTCCAAAATCTCACCCTTCACACTTACTCTCGAAACCAACACTTCTGTCTTTATGAATTTCTCCAAACTTCATCATGTTCCAAGTAAGGAATTTTCATTTCGAATTCATGTCTTGAGACTTCCAAAAAAAAACATTCAACTCTTCCCAAGTTTGCAAATTCCAATTAGTTCAAGTCTACAACAGACCTTGTATACGGTAGAAATTGTCTTGTTGGTATTGTCTCTCACGGGACTATCATTACTGATTGCCATAATTATTGTGTGTATTATTGTGAGAAAGAGAAAGGAAAAACTTCATCAGCAAATGGTGGCGAAATATGATTTGCAATTTGAGAGAATGGATCGACAACAATTTCAGTTCTCGTCCTTTGAGGGAGTGGATGATGTGTTCAGTGATGACGAAGAGGCAAATCATGGAGGAATGGAAATGTTCACCCCAAATCAACAGCAACAATAAACGCTTAATGAAATTGGCTCGCACACACGTGCAATCTCAAGGTTTATTGCTCGTCGGAGGTGGCCTTTGGCTGAATATTGTCATCCTTCTTAAAGTCCTTCAATACAGGATAAATATTGTTAAATGCTTGATAAATGATTTCTCTGTGCTTGGCTCCTGTAAGTACAATTTTACCAGACACGAAAATTAAAAGAACAACCTTTGGATCAACCATTCTGTAAATGAGGCCAGGGAAAATTTCTGGTTCGTAGCTGGCATAGTTGTGGTGTTGACAATTCAGACCCTCAAGGCGAATTGGAAAACCAACATCACAACTTCCAACAATGTTTTGAATTTTGAATTCTGTGAATTTTGCGTTGAAGCCTAACTTTTGAATAATACGAGCGTACTTTCTGGCTGCTAATCTGGACTCATCCTCTGATTTTGCACCCTGTCCATCAATGATTGAAAGTTGATCAATGGCAAATATATGAAGATCAAATTTTCACATGGTTGCATTGCCAAAAAATCAATTTGTTGCCACAATCAAAAATAACAAAGTGTCAAGATCATGACTCAATTCCCAATTACTTACAGTAACGACCATCTTACCGCTCGCGAAAATGAGAGCAGTAGTCTTTGGATCTCTGATACGCATAATAACTGCAGCAAAACGCTTTGGGTTGTATTCTGCATTTCTTGCGTGAAGAGCGATTTGCTTTAATTTCAATTCACAACCAAGATTTACAGTTGACACAACATTTCTGTTTCACGAAAGGATGTGAGATAGTTTTTTGTGATATCATTATCATAATTGTTTGTGAATTGGAATTGGCGCGATATTTCATCATTGTCATCAATATATTAATCCGAACAAAAAGTAACAGGGTTGAATGATCACAAAGAAGTAATTCATCGCGCTAGATACACTCTTTCAAAATAATCATCTAAAACTTACTGTATGATTGGAACAATTCCATGTTCATACTCGTTAGCTGTTGTGGGAGTTGTTGTTGGAACAACAACGCCAGAAGGCAATGGTGTAGAAGCCACTGTAGGTAAATTAGCAGTATAAGGTGTTGTTGGTGGAGGATTCATTCCCATCGTAAAAGGAGGAACAAACGAACTGGTAGGAAGAGGTGTATGCAGAGGTGTATGTACAGGAGTATGAATCATTGGAGTTGAAACCATTGGTGTTTGTGGAGTTGGAGTAAAAGGCATGGGTGTACTTGCAGAAGAAGAGGTTGGAAGACCCATTCCGAAGTTTCCTCCCTGCATAAAATTCATGGGATTGGATAAATTATTGAGAAGGTCATCATATTCATTGTCGCCTGCAGACATTTTTTTTTGAACGTTTTTTTTAGAATGAAGAAGACTTGCGCTTTTAAAATCCTTTCAGAAAAGAAGAACAATTATTGGATCATCCTCTTGATATTACATGATCATTCTGGGTGTGAGGAGATGTTGCATCGGATATGGATTTGTTCATCATCTCTTAAATTATTTTATTTTAAAAAATGTTTACCAAGAGTCTTTCAATCTCCAAAGCCTCGTCCAGCTTCAATCATCATGTTCCAATCAATACAGTATTCTTTCAGTTCGGAACAAGGCCTGGAGATAGTACTTTAATTCTACGTTCTCTTCATACGACTATTTCTAATAACGGAGCAAATCAAAATACCACTTCTGGCACTAGTAGTACCACAAACACGAATAACAACATCAACACCTCATCTTCGTTAAATATCATTTACAAGGAATTAGAAAGTCAAAGACAATACTATCTTCAATATGCAGAGACAAGACAAGAAGCCGATGTATTGGAGCAGTATAATCCATTGGTTAGACCTTTTTTGAGAGCCTACACGAATGAAATTCGCTTTCTTGTGGATCGGTATGAACCTCTCCGACTTCAAAAACAATTAGAAGAAGATGTCAAGCAAGGAAAAGTTCCACAGAAACACAATGTGAGTTGGGTGTTGCCTAGTAAGGTCGCTCAACAAGAGAATGCAAGTACGAGTAGACCTTTGGCGTTACGACTTTTCGGGTTCTTTGGTCAAGAATCAATCATAAATAGAGCCTGTGATTTTGTGTGGAATATGTTGATTAATCATGTCAATGCCATCAGAAAGAGTGGTGCCTATGAAAAAACAAACTTGGCTGGAGTATCTTGGACTGGTGCTGATTTTTATGTATGGACAATTCATTTGTGGGTGCTCTTCAGAAGGTTACGTTTTGAGGGAAGTGATGGTGATTTGATGTCAAAGAAACTTTGCGATCGCTTTTGGAATTATGTGGAGCATTATATCAATGACAATTATAAGGTCAATGCATACACTCTGTCCAAAAATTTGAAGCGACTTCAACAAATTCACTATGGTATCATTATTCAGTTGGATAAAATTTTAGACTTGTCCAATACAAGTAACATGAATGACAGTGTTCCAACCTCATGGGAGCCAAAAACTCTGAACAATATGATTGTCTCGTCCTCTGACCAAGACGCTCTCATTGCAGAAATTGTGTGGAGAAACTTTTATTGTGGAGGTGTTGAATTTACAAATCTGGACGTGGATGACACCATTAAGGGAGAAGTGGAAGTCACAGCCGAGGATTTGGCATTCTGGACACGTTATATTCGATATGTACTGAGCTGGACAGACCACATTGATTCTGTGATCTTTATTCGTGGTCTCTTCCACTATCACTTACCCACGGACGATTTTGTGGTAAAGTTTAAGCCCAACGATAAGCCAGTGAAACCTGCACACGAAAATAAATAAAAAACTGCTTAATAAATTAGAATTTACATTAGGAGAATTCTCTCAATCAATTATTGAAAATTTGCTACAATCTTGTCTTGAGGATATATAATGATCTCTGGTGTCACCATCAATTGCTGAGAGTTTGTTGTTGTAATCAAGATGCTTTTGTAATCAACGGGGCAAAAAGTGGAAAATTATTCTTGCTTGCTTTCACTGGCCTTCTTTTGTTTCTCATCATACTTTTGCAGCCATCTATAGGCCACCAAACTTGCATTATGCTCTGCCAGTTTACGACTAGGGAAAACCTTTGACAAAATAAATTCCTTTTTCACAGGTTTCTCTATGATGACAGAAATTCTCTCACCTTGCTCTTGTGGTGACTGCTTTGGCAATTTTTCGAATTTTGCGTCTGGGTACTTTTTAATTTGCGTGTAGGCCAATAACAATTCTTTTGGAGTTTGCTTTTCCTTCCAAGTAGAAGGGTCGTACTCTTCATCAATTTCTTCAGGAATTTCATCCTCAGCATCCTCTTCGTCACCCTCCAAGAACAAATCTTCGTCGATGGCATCTTCTGGAATTTGGTAAACTGTATCGTCAGCCTCTTCATCGTCCACGAAAAGAGATTGATTGAGCTTAAACAATTCACGACCAGAGAGACCATGTCCAGATTTTTCATAGAGTGCCATTTGCAGCTTGTGCTCACGCTCCTTTTCTTTTCTTTGTTGTTCAACTTTGAATTGCTTCCATTTTGTAAAGGACTCCAATGTAACCGGTGTACCGTTAATGATTTTAGCTCTCTCCTTCTCAACAATTTCCTCGATAGTGAGTTCGGCTTCATCCTTGATTTCTTGCTCGATTGAATCGTAGGTAATTTCTTCTCCATCAGTTGGTTGTTCTTCGGAGGATGAGGCTTGAACAACTTCGTCTTCCTTCTTATCATCAGCGGTTCTAAACAAGTCCTTCAATTCTTGTTCTCTCTTCTTTTGGGCCAACTTTTCAAGACGTTTTTGTTCCTTCTCTTCAAGTTCTTTCTTCACCTTCTTGTCATGAACTTGCATCACTGTGTTGTGGATGCTTTTAATTTGTTGTTGGACTTTCTTTGATTTGTTCTTGTTTTTCAAACCAAAGGTCTTGTCCTCGATAATCTTCTTTTTCTCTTTCTATTTGATGATAAAATCAATTCCGCAATGATGATGATGAATACGTTTTCAAGTAAGCAACATTCCGTAACAAAAACAATGACCATCAAATTTTCAATCAACGCAATACGAGCACAAGACAATCATACAACAACAATTACCATAATTTCATATTAATAATAATCGCAACACCCGAGTCAATAACAACAATGGAAGAGACATTTCATACTTACCTGCTCAGTCTTCTTACTCTTTTGCGTGCCAGTCATTTTTTTTATTCTCAAAAAAAAAATTTCAATCTCAAAATTCTGCTTTTCATCATCTTACTTCCCCAATTCAATTTAAAAATCGTTATCCTTTGCTTTGGTCAAGGGTTCAATTGATTTAATGTTGGTTCAATCCATAAAGCTTATGTAAACATGGTGTTACTCCGTTATCAACCATATAATGTTAACGATATTACATTTTTAACCTATGTCCCGTTTTTATCCTTTTGAATCTGGATTTAAGAGAGGACAGTTAATTTCTATTTTCAGTTGAAACGATTGATTGTTTGAACAACATCATTGATTGATTGTTTGTTAACAAAACATGAGAACATGCCTAGGACATTTGTAAACAAGCCAAAACAAGTCCGCAAGCCGAGACCGCCTTATAAAATAACAAGCAACGATGATCGAATGCAAATCATTGCTGCCTATGAAGATGGGGAAGATAGTGCAGAATGGCAAAGAACAGCCATCAATTTAAATATCAACATTGAAACTGCTCGGTCTATAATCAACAAGTGGAAGAAGACTGGGCAAACGAAAGCTGAAACGAGAAAAGGTAGAACCCACGTCATCACAGGTCGAAAAGCAGATTTGGTGCTTGCATTATGTGCTGAAAAACCAACAGCAACGTTGGAGTATTATCAGGATGCTTTGGAGCGTGAATTTCCTGATGACGATCCTCCTTCGTTATCAACAATCAACAACTTCTTAGACGGAAAATATGTTACACTAATGAAACAAGTTACACCTCTACCAGCTATGACAAATAGTGAAGAAGTAATTGAGGAGCGCAAGGAATTTGCTCTTTGGTTTGAAGAAGCCAACTTGCAGAAAAACCTTGTGTCCTTCGATGAATTTTCATTTCACTCGTTAAGCAAGAGATCAAGAGGAAGTAACTTTCAAGGTGAGAGAGATGTTTTAAGACTGCCATGTGCAAGGACTCAAACTCTCAACATTGTTATTGCTATGAGTAGACAATTCGGAGTGATGAATTGGAGATTCAAAAAAGGAATCAAAACTGCACAATGGATCATTGATTTTATTAAGGAGACATCGGAGTTATACAAGGATCAACCACTTTGCTATGTGGGAAACAATTCTAATGTTCATGATTTTGAAAAGATTGAAAAAGCAATTGAATGCTACGGACACACTGTTCATGCTTTACCAAGATATTCTCCTCAACTGAACCCAGTAGAAAATGCAATCAATGTCTTGAAGTGTGAAATTAAGAAGGAGCTCGAACAAGAGCAAGAAGAGATAGAAGCTACGAAAGATGCGCCACAGGGAACGAAGCAAAGCAAACGAATGGAGATTTTACAACAAGCTGCAGAGCATGCATTAGAAAGTTTAACAGAGGATCATGTGCAAAGATTCCATGATAACTCCGCTTCCTATATTCAAATGGCGAAGAGGGGACAAGAGTTCGAGTAAAATAGAAATGAAGTCCAGAATTTAAAAGGGTTTACTGATTTCAAATTCAAACATCAGAATTATGAACAAAAGATTTCAATCCAAAGCTACCAATTTTAATTTGTGCTTCACAATTTTCGCAAGGCACTGTTACAAAAAGTAGAGAACTAAGGCAGATTAATTGCGTTTTCTGTTTGAAAAATACATTCTATTGGTCAAGTTAACGAAAAATGTCATATCTTCTATCCTATTGCATCCTCTCACGTTCAGCGCTAGACACGCGTACCTTGTGAGCAATATACAATCACGTAAGGTTCATTAAAACTACTCCGAATATCAATGAGTCAAATGGGAGTCTGTGAATTGTCTGTAAATACGCTCCAATATAATCAGTGACAACAGTTGATCGTAATATCAGAGCAAGCTTGTGCATGATGTGATGTGGCACACTTTTTCAAGTTACCCATAAATAAGCCGAGGCTTTTACCAGTTAAGGAACGGCAATGAATAAAGCCAACAAAACCATAATCGTATGAGGTCAGAACTGCAATTCGAATATTCTCATTGGGATTCATTCCAAAGTCTCCAATCATTTCAGAATTTTCTAATTTGAATAGAGCATGGTGAGGACCTGTCTTTATGCCTTGTCCAAGTTCAAAGTGATCGGTTTTTCCACAGCAAATAAGATCGTTGGTTTCTTTAAATGTTCCATGTTACCAATTTGATTTAAGGATGACATCAAATTATTATACTACACCTATAAAAGATCAAAATGACTTACCAGTCAAAATAAAGGTTCCATATCCAGAGCAACAAACGCTTTTAAAACGAGTAATGTTACCAATAGTATATTGAACCAAGTTGACACAATCTGAGTTTCCATGCTCATCATTAAATTCTTTACTTCCAAGTTGTCCATCTGATTTCAAGCCACAAATCCATAACTCATTGTCAAATGTAATGTATGCAGTGTGAAATGATCCACATGCATGCTGTTTGACGCGTCCTTTCAACTTTTCAACCAGTTTGAACGTATCTGCCTCCACAGTTCTGTCACCATCTATAATTTCAGTATATCAATAGCACAAAGAGGTTTTACATGATGAGAGGTCAGATGCCAACAACTTACCAATGCCGATATTGCAATAACAGTTATAGCCACATCCGAAGCAGTCCCCGTTCTTACATCGTGCTACCGCGAATAAATAGCCACATTCAATATCATCCACTGGACTTGGCAAAGATGACAGAAATTCCTGTAATCTAAACGTTGTCAAGGTCTCCTCTCTGCCTGCACAATCATTTCCAAAAATCTCATTTGAATTTCTTCCATAGCAATAGACCTTTCCCATTTCTAGTGCGTGACGATATTATTTCATCATTGTGACAACATGATGCATAAATTAGTGTTTTCCAAATGAGTTATGTTATTGATACGACGATAGTTAAAATCTACGAACCTGTTCCAACAAAGAAAAAGTCAGCTCTTGAACTACATCGAACAAATTTAAATCTATCCAATGGGTCTTGTAATACTGGGAGTGGAATTCCCTCGCCAGGTTGAGATGTATGAAAATCGAGCACAAATAAACGCTTATTTGTTAGAACAACTCTCTTGGATGATGTCACCTCCACTGCAATGACTCTCTCATTTTCATCAAGAAAGTTGGACACGTTGGTGAGTTTCTGAAATGCCGACAAATGCTTGTCCGAAGTGACTGTGGCATCATAATGAGAACAATGGTAAACGTCTCCATTCTGACAAAGGGCCATCACACTATCCGATTCATTGGTTCTCACCGTGTGAATATGGCTTGATCCCATCGTGTTTGGTAGCAGGGAGCGATGATGATCTTGCAACATTGAAATCGAGCCATAAATAGCTGCAGCATCAACACCCGTCTTGCTAGCCTGAACCCGAAGAGCATATTCAGAGAGAATGGAATGAGCGGGTGGTTGGTGTACGAGCTTTTGAGAGCGTACGAGGTAGAGACTGTCATTATAAGAAAGGGACATTTTCGTTTTTGGTTTGAAGGATTGTGTTCAAAATCAATCGGAATATGAATAAGAAGAATAAAAATATAGGATAGGGTGGTGTGAGAGTGGTTGATGATACTGGTTGTGTTTAATGATCAATGGCCACGAACCAGTCGTTTTGAATTTTTCTTGTTGTTGGGGTTTGGAACATGATTGTGTTGCCTGTTTTGATTCATCATCCGTCGTTTCATTATTGAAAGCAAATTGCTCTTTGAAATTTAAAATTGCACTAGTATTCATCCACCGGAAGAGAATATTATATTATTGAATCAACCGAATGATCTGTATTCCTGTGATTCCGAATACTGAATAGGTCCTTCTTTACAATTTTAAAAAACTTGATGTGCCAATCGCGCCAAAACAAGTACTGAAAAAAATTGAAAAAGTGGAGCACTCAAAGATTGGTAGCGAAAAAGCAGTATTGAGAGAGATTAATTGTACATACAGAGTTGAAATTACTTTAGATTTTTAATATTGTAAATTTGGAAAACAACGTGCGATGGTTAATACACCAGTTCAAGTTTGCGTCCGAACAAGGTTTGTTTTTATGATGTTTTACTTGATCGATAAAAACAGCTCCGATGACAATATTTTGTATGATCGGCATCATCATTATTGAAAACCAATTGTCCAATATTTCTACCTATCATAGACCTACTGCGTTTTTTGCGCAAGATGTCATTGTTCTTGATGAATCCAAAAAGACCATTGACATTAAAAATAAGGGACGAATTAATGCAAAACAAAATTCAGTCAATTATTTAGAAACTAAGAGAGAAGATTATTCTTTTAAGTTTGACAAGACGTTGCATAACGTTTCCCAAGACTCTGTTTTTAATGAATGTGCCGCTGACATTACGCAAGCATTCCTTGAGGGCTATAATGGCACTGTCATGGCTTATGGTCAAACCGGTTCAGGTTCGTATTTTTGAGATCTTTTAAACAGCCTCATTTGAGAGATTCATACAATGTCATGAATTAACGAAATGTCCTTTGAATTGGATGAAAATCGATATGTTTTTTTTTACATAATGGTTAGGAAAAACATATACAATGATTGGAGCACCCAATAATTACAAAAATAGAGGGCTTATTCCCCGAGTAATTCAACAAGTTTTTGCCGACATGTCAAACTATCCCGAAAAATCATTTACTCTTCGAGTTTCCTACATGGAAATTTATAATGAGCAATTGTTTGACTTGTTATCCGACATTAGTGACGCTCAGCTTGAGAAGGCAAACTCAGATAACTATGAGGACAACATGGTCATTATGGAAGATAATAAGGGCAATATTATGGTGAGAGGCCTCAAATGTCACATTGTCAATAGTGAGGAAGAGGCTCTTAGTATGCTGTTCGAAGGAGAAACAAACAGAGCCATTTGTGAACACCAGTTAAATAAGGCTTCCACCAGATCCCATTGTATTTTTACATTGTATTTAGAGGCAAGAAGCCGAGTCGAGTCAGAAGGTCAAGTGGTTCTCTCCAAGTTGAATTTGGTTGACTTGGCAGGAAGTGAAAGAGTGAGCAAAACACACTCCAGCGGTTTGGTGTTGACAGAGGCCAAGTACATTAACAAGTCACTCTCGTTTCTTGAACAAGTTGTGATTGCTCTTGGAAATCCTTCTAGAGAGCACATCCCATACAGACAATCAAAATTGACCTATTTCCTTAAAGATTCTTTGGGAGGCAACTGTAAAACTCTCATGATTGCAAACATTTGGGGAGAGGAGCAACATCTTGAAGAAACCGTTAGTACTCTCAAATTTGCTACAAGAATGATGAGAGTATCGAATGAGGCAACCATTAACGTTCACATGAACCCTGATGCGCTCATTAAAAAGTATGAAAAAGAAATTAAGGAATTGAAGCAAGAGTTATCAATGCATGATCAATTGAGAGGAATCAACCAAGCAAACTATGATCCTTACACAGAAGAGCAAAAAATTGAACTTCGACGAGAAATTAGAAGCTATGTCAATGGAGAAATTGATGAACTAGAAATTAAAAACATTAGAAGAATTAAGGAGATTTTTAGTCAATTCAAGCTGATGTTGAAGGAGGCGGCTTCCTTGTCCGAACAAGAATCAATTACTAACGCATCAACAGCGAGAGAGAAACAGCAAACAGCTCCACCTTCCAACTTTGCAGGAAAGATCCATGAGGAAAAGATTTATGATGAAAACGGTGTTGGTGAAGTGGAGAATAAGGCTGGTTTTGGAGTTGGTGAAGCAAAACCAAATGCTGAATTCCAAAAAAGAACCAAGAGATCCGCTGTCCCTGTTTCGGCAAGAGACAACGAGAAGTCCATGAATGTTTCGATGAGCCAGAACTCGCTGTTGGAAACTGATAGACCTAAAAAGATCAAAATGTCACGTAATGATGCTTTTGAAGAATACAAGCGTACCGAGGGTAAAGCATTGCATGAAAATATTAAGGAAAATAGTCGTAAGTGTTTTTAACAATGGTGTGAAAAGTAACGCCGTTTGAATGACCAATTTTCTCAATACTCATAGAAACTCTTAAGGACAAAAAATCATTATTTAGAATTATTACTCAAAGGTTGAACGATACCAAGGCAGAAATTGATGATTTCAAATCTAAAATCGAAAAGAAGCAAATTGAGAATGCTCATAGTAAGTGTTTGGTTATTTCTCTGTAATGATCATTCATTGTTGATGTTGTAGTGGGAGACGATATTGTGGACGAGGAAGAACTTCGTTGGTTCCAAGTGATAAAGGAAAAGAAAGAAGTTTACAAACAAGTGTTTGAGGAACGAAAGATGCTTAAATCTGAAATGGACTACATTGAAAAAGCACTTGAGAATTTACGACAAACTCTTATTGCTAATTTCCAAACTTTCTATGACGACAATTATCAAGACCCTGCCGAAGAGCAAAAACCTCCCTTGTCTTCTCGCAGCTCTCGAAAAGAAGTTGAAGAAGAAGGAAAAGAGGATGTTCTTGACGAAGGAGAAAAGTTTGAAAAACTGTGGTATAACAAGCTCCAACAAGAAGACCCAGAAAGTCTTAATTATTACATGGCCTACAAAAAAGCAGGTAAAGCAAAGAAAGTGACGAACAGAAAGTTTTGAATGGCATTAAAGGTCAAACACATTTTGAAATCCCTCAATGTTGTCATCTTCAATTATTAGTCTCTTCATCTGAGCAAGAGCGAGGTACACTATTGTTAGAGAAGGACTGTTTATTTCAAACTGTTTATCTGAATGAAGAAACACCAAAGTTTTCATTCTTGATAACGTTTGTCTTTAAAACCTTTGTGACTGCTGCCGGCTTTTTTCTTTTGACAATAGAGGAAGGAACTGAAAAGTCACCATTGTTGCCTGTTGTTGACTTCAAAGGTTTCACTGGTGGCAGAGCGCTTTGAGGTGATGAATTTTCTTGTGGTGAGCCAATATTCTCCTTATTGCTTGCCACACTTAAAACATCGGAATCCACATCGTCCATATTATCCGATCGGCATGGACTTGCAATCCTCTCACCTCCATTCAACAACAAGGATGGTACTTCCAAAGATGGTGGAAGAGAGAGTCTATACATTTCAACAAGTTCATCCTTTGGTTTGGTCTTGGGTAACTGTTCTGGAATCTTTCTCTTTTTCTTTTGTGGAGTGTTTCCAGTCGGTTGATCTGTGTTAAGAACAAAGTGATCGAGTGAGCGTTTCATGTCACTTGATCTTGCCTCAATAAAGTCCTTTCTGAACTTTTCGACATGTCCAAGTTGTGAATTATGAAGTTCCAAATGAGTATTCGAAAAGATTCCAACTTGTTGATCAAAGTTGGTCACATGATGATTGAGTTGACTGATTCGTTCTTGATGCGTGGATGTATTCTTGCAGGATGATGCATGACATTGATCCATAAACATTCGTTGCTCCTCATTGGCAGTGTTGATAAATTGTTTCACGTTTTGAGAGTTAGATGAGACAGTAGAGTTAGAAGTTTCACAGAATGATTTCACAGATTCACTTAATTTGCTAGCTTCAGATGAAATGTTTTGAATATGTGAATCGATTTGCATTCTGGATTTGGTGACCACTTGTGTTGCTTCTTGTTGATTGGTCGAGAGGTTCAACTTCATCTTTTCCATGTTGGTATAGGACTCTTGAGATCCCTTCTTGACAGTGGCTTCCATGTTTCGAACCGACTGAACAGAATTACCAAAGAACTGTTGAATACCTGAAACAGATTGTGAGAATTCACCTTCTTGTTTCGAGATGGTTTCATCGATCATGGCTTCCAAATTCTTCATAAGTTCTTGTTTTAAGAGAATGTTCTGTTTGTGTTGTTGTTCCAACATTTCATTCAGTTTCGAGCTGTGTAAATTTGTCTGGTTCACATGAAGCTCCACGGTGTGTTCCATTTGTTCCTTCATTTCATTCATGACTTCATGGTGACGAGTGCTGAAAATTTCCAAGTATTTGGTATTTCTTGTCAGAGTATCCACAAAGAAATTATTGAGTTTTTGAAGCTCATGTTTTTGATTCTCAATTTGATGTTGCACAAGAGACATGGATTGTTCAAAGGCATCCTTCATGCTGAAAATGCTCTTAACGATTTTCTGCTCAAACATGTCATTATTTCTTTCTAAGGATTCCAAAGCAGTGCCTTGAGAAGTCGTCTTGTGATCCATCAATTGCAAGAGATCTTTTTGAGAACGTTGGAAGAGATCAGTAATTTCTTTCATTTGTTCTCCCAAGAGCTTGGCTTGTGTCATCTTTTGAAGCATGAATTCCTCAATCGAGTTCTTTGCCGTAGTGTTGACATGAACAAATGTGTTGTAAAGCTTGTGAATCTCTTCCTCAGATTGATTCAGCTTGCCTTGCATCATTTCCTTGAACATACTTGTCAGAGTTTGATTGTCAACTTCGACCTTTGATTTTCTTTCGACCTTGCTAATGAATCCATCAATGTCTTGAATGCTATCTTTGAGTCCATCAAGCAGAGAGTGTGCTTCAACAAGTAATTGCTCCTCTGTCTCTTGAGTTTTTTCGAGAACAAAGTTGGTAATATCAAGTTCCGTTTTGGTGCTTTTCAATTCAGTTTCAGTCTTCTTGAGTACATTGGTTGTGGTGTTCAACACTGATCTTGTTTCACTGTGACTTTGGAGCTCTTTTTGCAACTCACGTTCCTTTTCCTTGAATAGTCCTGTTAATTCTTCATACTCCTTCAACTTTAATTGAAGTTGATCTTCTAAATCTCGAATGGTACATTCTTGTTCTTGCAATTTTCGATTGGTTTCTTCATAAATCTCAGGTGCCATGTAAATACCATTCTTGAGTCTTTGTGCATTCAATTCTGCCTTCAACTTTTCCATATCAGCAGACATTTCCTTAATTAATTGAGCCTTAGAAACCTTCATATTCACTTCTGGCTTATTCTTGATACTCTTTGCTTTGAAAGCATAATCCAATGTGCTTAGTGTTTCCTCCAAGCACAACACTGATGGAGAAATAGTTGCAATGAGACATGTCTTGGTCTTTCCTCCCAAACTATCTTGTAAAATTCTAGTCAATTTAGATTCTCTATATGGAACGTGGGGACTGTGTTCAGTGAGAGCAGTAATGACTCTTCCCAAAGTAAGCAAACTCTGATTGATCATACCAGCTTCCTTTGCTCGTTGTTTAATAGCTCCAGATCGACCAATATTTTCACTTCCAGCCAAATCGACAAGATTCAGCTTTCCAGTCTTGATAAATTCCTCACCTTCGTCATTCACTTCTCTCATATGAATGGTAATGGTAGTAATACAATGAGAACGACTCGAGGACTTGTTCAAATTCGTCTCTGCTATTTGTCTTCTCTTTTGAGCATCTTCCACAATGGAAATGATTTGAGAAGCGTCGCGAACGACAATTTCTTCAAGACCAGCCACAACCGTGCCCTTTCTTCCTGTATTGTCATCGAAAATCTTTAACTTGTTTTGTCGATCGGTGAGCAAGTCTTGTAATTCTTCATTGTACAATTCCATACAGCTCACTTTCACTGTGTATTCCGTCTTGTTTGATTCCAAAGTTTGGAAAATATGATAAATGGATCTAGGAATGACTCCGGCTTGAGAATCGGTAGCATCTGAGGGATCTCTCCTTCCTTCCATACTATAATGTTCCAAACATTATTATTGAAAGTAATTGTTATGAATGAATATATTGAAAGTAATGTATGATTCAGTTGGTACCAAAGAATTAATGTTGTTGTAAAACATTGTGTATTACACTTACGTAAAGGTTTTTCCCGATGATGTCTGTCCGTAAGCAAAAATGGTACAATTAAATCCATCCAACGCTTCATCTACGATACTCTTTATGGATTCATCAAAGAATTCTTTTTGTGTGGTTTGTGGTCCATAGACCCGATCAAAGGTAAAGGTCTTGGTAATTTCCTTTCCGTGTACGAGTTTCTGATGGACTTTTAATTCTTTTCGTAGGTATGGAGAGGTATCAACCGAGATGGTTTGTCCCTTCTCTTTCTCATTCAATGGTCTACATCTGAGAAGCACTTGAACATTGACTCCTGAGTTTTGTGGTTGAGAGGAAGTAGTGCTGTTGTTGCTTCCGCTAATGACGGAGGAAGAGATGGAAATTGCTGCAGAGGCCGTAGTGGCACACGATGATGAAGAATTTGTGGAAAGTGTATCGGAAAATGAAGAGGGTAACATTTTTTTGTGTTTGCTTGTTAAAAAGTGTGTAACGGTAAGATTTGTGTAATGGCGGTAATTTTGTTTTAACGGAAGGGCGCGCACTCGTGGTCCAATTTATTGGGTGCTAGAATTCCTAAATATTGTGTTGAGGGTATTCATTGCATATTGAATATCTTTTTGCAAAACTGGATCAAATTATTGAGCCCCAAACACGGATGCTCATGGAATTTTTGAATGAGATCACGCAACGACAAGAAAGGCCGTAGTTTGATAATCATGGTGTTTCGTGGAGATTTCCAAAAGGACTCGAGTGCTTTCGGTTTGCATGTTGAAAAGTAGTGAAGGATGGGAACACCTTTTGGCGATAGAATGGACTCTACCATTGATTCTGTCAGATTCGGGTTTGTATCCTGACATAACGGGCCTTGCTTGGTCGATGTAGGTGCCATCACTTTTTCTTGAAAGGCGTAGAGGTACTTGTACCTTGTAATCGGAGAGGATTGGCTGCAATCAGATTCACAGTTCCAGAGTGGAGGGGTGGTACGTGAGTGACAGCCTGAACGACGGTGGTGGTGGGGATGGAAGCTTTTATACCATTGTTAGTATTGTTGAAAGGAGCGTTTCGAGAAGCACCTCTTTCAGCAGATACAGGTATGTTTTGCTGAGCATGCTTCTTTGATGGAGGGACAACAAAGACAGGTCGTTTTGAGGAAGTAGCGCTGCTGGTATGCTCGCTAACCTTATTTTCCTTATTGTCGCATTGGAGTGGACCTTCACTCGTTTCTGATGTCAGTCTCTTTTTTGGAGAGTTTGACTTTACAGTCTTCAAGTTTAAAGTAGGCTTTTTCTTTCCATTGCTTGGCACAACCACGTTCACACGAGGGGACACCTTAATTTTTGAATACTTCTTTTTCTGAGATGCCTTTTCTGGAGTCTTTCGTTTTCTTTCCTTCTCGACAGGAGGAGTGTTACTAGGATCAGAAGCTAACAGAGATGTTTCTAATTCAAAATCAATCTCTATGGAGTCATTCAGAGCTTTTTGATATTCCTCTCGCTTCTTGTTGAGGTAGGGATACATGAGTTGAAGGAGTAAGGATGCATGCCTGCATGTCTGATGAGCACATGACCGTGATGCATCTATGTTGACATTGGACGTATGGCATGAGCAGAGAAGCGAAGGTGCGAGCAAGGAAACATGACCGAAATATTGTAGCGCCTCTGTTGGGCTTGCATCATGCCGAATGTTGGTACTAAACACATGCATGAGCGAGATGGTGTGTGAACGTACAAGCTCCAACAATCGATTCAAAAGTCCATTTGTATGATCAAGCCCAGGGCTCTTAGTTACAATGTCAATCACGGTCTGGAGAAGTGACAGCTTGCGGGAAGAAGGCGTTTCGTGCAGTGTGACAATTTTGGTGGGACATTACTAGTGACATCGGTCGAAAAACAGTTCGAGAAAATGAATCGAGACAAATTGAATAGAGCATCTGAAATGAAATGGCCTTCATAAGGGATGGTTGATAAGGACGTGTCTTCCTCTTTCTGAATAATCCTTGCTTGAAAATATAGCCCAGTTTCTTTAAATGTTGAACCATTCTTTATCAGTTCACATGCTAAGATATCCAAAATTTGAGGCTCTTCATTTGAAGAGGATGCTTCATTAAGGTTCAAATCAAGGACGAATACTCGTGTGTTTGAGTGAATATCAAATTCTTGAACAGCCCTGGTGGACTATCAACCGTTTGAAATTTGTGAAATCCCAATTTTCTGCCATCCATTTCTTGACTCACAAGTAAATGATGAAGCTCATCTCCAAATGCAAGCTGTGCATGATCACTTGGGAGAGAATGTGTATTGTTATTCGAAAGTTTCTTCTTCTTTCTTTTTGGAGAAAGTTGTACACTCACTTGAGGTTTTGAACATGCACCAACAAATAAGGGCGGAGAGCATGACAATAATAACTCACTTGGAATGGTCAAATTTTCAAGCGAACCAGAACTAGGTGAGCCTGCTTGTGGGGGAGTTTTCTGCTTCTCCTGGTTCGTATGATCTTTCTCAAGAGAACTCTCAAGGCTTAATAAGATATCACTTGGGAGAGAAAATTCAGGAGAGCAGCTCAGAGGATTTGAAGGTTTTGTTGTTGGTTCTTCCTTTTTGGATTCCTTTGCATTCAGCTGCTGAAATGATTACATCAGCCAACAACAGTGTTGAGCACCATTCTCTTGTTCTTCTCACCGTTTTTGTAACAATTGAACAAAAGTACATGTCACTATGAAGAAAAGCTGGCAAGTTTCACTCCCCTGTTGAACCAAATGAAAATGTTTTCCTACATGTACTGCAAGTGTTTTTCCTCAACATAAATCGTCTCTCAAGTTCATTCAGCAAGCTCTGACATCCTGTTCGACAACTTCATCTCAATCTCTTTCAACGCCGTGTTGTATGGCGCAACATCAACTCAGAAAACAGGTGCTGAACGGTGGAACATTATTTGAACCACTTGCCTCACAACGCTTCACCTTAGAAAATGAGCGTGAGTCTATTCTTCCCTCCATAAACTAAATTTCGTAGATGATCATTTGGTATTGTCGTTGTCAGACGAATTGTCCAAAAATTGCGTTCGTGATGCTGTTTCCTATACTCGATGATGATTGTGTAGTGAAGAGAATTTTGAGGCCCGTTGCTCAAATAAGTACCTTCCGATGAATGAAAAGCTTTCATCAATGGAGGCGACATGACAGCACCGGCCTCTTCCATCATGATGGCGTCCAATAGAGAAGGAGTTATCGCAAAACTACTACAAGCGGTACTACTAACACTATCCAAACCTGAAGAAGAGATGGAAATTTTCGGAGGAGCATGTTGATTGGGAGTGATGAAGCCTTTGTCCAAAGTAGTTGATGATGATGGTAGTTGCATGTGGTTCATCATTCCGAGATCATGCTGATGATTCATTCGAAGCACAGTCTTTTCTTGAAACATCTTCAACTCGGGGCTCTTGGGACTCTCTCCGTTTATCATCACAACCAACGAGTTTGAACTTATGAAAATTTATGAAAACTACACAATTTCGAGTTGTTTTTTTTTGGTGGGTTTTTCACTTCTTGCGTTTGTGGGAAGTTAACGAGACGACAATTTTGAATTTAAGGAAAAGCAAGTTAATGTGGCTACAATTATGAACAGTATCAGAGAAGATGTTGAACGATTTTTCCTTATTTTTGAAATATAGTGCACAATTCGGTTTGGTTTTGCTTATTATTTATGTGTTGAGGAACTTGTGCTTGGAAATCTTTTTTCATACATTTCTCGATCGCGCTGTCGCTTAATCGCTTTTTTCATTGATTCTCGAATTCGTTGCTGTTTCCTTCGTATTCGCTCAGGAGTGACCAACCTTTGAATTTTCACACCTTTCGGTGTCACACTTTGACCAATTTTAACATTTCTCTTAATGACATACTTTCGGACATCATCTAATTTCGACAAATTAAATAATTTTCGAATTTTGGAGGCTCGTTTTGGACCAAGTGTTTTTGGACGCACTTGATCGGTAAGTCCAGGAATTTCTTGATCTCCTTTTTTCACTACAATCAGAGAAACAGCCGCGGCTCCAGCATCCAACACACAACCTTTCACAATTTTTCTCCTTCGACAACCTGATCGTGGAGCTCTCCAAGCTTGATATCCAAATGTTCCTGGTTCTTTCAAAACTCGTACACGTCCAATTTTGTAAATTCCAGGATGATACGGTCTACCATTACGATCGCAAGCTCCAGAAATTTTGAAAATATAATTCTTGTACATGGGTGAAATCAATGAGCCATCAATGAGGTCTCCAATTTTTCGACCGAATAAATAATTTTGATTTCCAACGTGTGACATTCTGAGTAATTGAGTTCTTCCAGTGAAAGGACATGATACTTGATACTATTATTAATAGAGTCATGGAACCAATGTGTCCATGGCATGTCGGAAATAATGGTTGTCAGTATCATATATTTAACATAAAGAGAATTTTCACAATCTTTCTGCAATGATCAACTATACTCACGTGGTGCAACAAGATCAAAGACCCTTTATCCAAATCTTCCGAAAGACATCGATACAAATCTGGATCTTGTCCCATGTATTCATAACCAGATCCACACCATTCATCAATCTTCTTTGCATTGTGTTTCGACGTCGGTGCGCGAGTTCTGTATCGGCCTGCCACTTTGAAAAGCATTTTTTTCTGTTTGGAATTTCCTCTTCAGAAGAACTGTCATTGAACATTCTTGTTGTTTCCAGTTGAATCAAATTTTTCAATGCCAGAGTTGAATGTTGGTCGTTTACTTGATGAAATGGGAACACTTTTCCATGAAGAAAACCTTTCCTTGGTTGTGGATGGGGAAGAAATAGGGCACTTCAGAAAATGTAGCATCTACATAGGTAGCATTCAAGTAATTTTCTGGGTAACGCCATGGATAGATGGTTTTTCTAACATCATAACGAGCACAGGTTGGTTTTTTCATGATGGTTCTCAATCGTAAAATATGTGAAACAAATTGACTTTCACACGAGGTTCCCACGAATAAATCTGCATCCAACGCCAACCAAAAGGAAAGGGCTGCGCTGTGTAATTGATGATTCTTGGACTGTGACAATAGCTCAGATTGTAAATGAAGAGCAATACCGTTTTGAGCTAATTCAACACTTTTCAAATCGTTCTGAGGACTAAATTGTTCAAATCCTGTACCAATAAGTAAGACACTGGAGTCTCTTTTGACTTTCAATTCATTGACTAGAACTTGTAAAAATTCATTTGGTTTGAATTCTGATCTTTCACATCCAGGGTAGAATCCAGGGAAGAATTCATATTGATAATGCACAACAGCAAAACCTTTGGGTTCTCCTGAATCAAAATATCTAACCTTCCATTTCCACTCTTCGACAATTTTATGAACCACTTCGCTGGGAGCAAACAAGTCAAAGAATTGAACATAGAGCAATTCTTCTGGAATAGTCATGGGTTGCCATCGTCCCCAAACAAATCCAAGATTAAGAATGTCATGATTCAAATAATCGGTCCTATTAGTGGCATACTTGTAAATAAATTCAGCAGCCACGCCAATTTCCTGTTTTTCATCAGTTCTGTCACCAATCTTAATTAAGGGATCAGAAATTTTTGATCCTTCAAACGAAGTTGGAGAAATATGTTCGAGTTCATCCACTTCTAAACCAAATCTTTCCATAGCATATTTTTTCATTCGTTCGAGATTGAAAAGTTTGGAAAATGGTTGTGGAATATCACAATGACACAAACCCCAATTGCCATCAACACAATTACTTGGTAATATTACTTTTTTTGCACCTAATTTGGTTGCCAAAGCCAAACAATTTACAGTTTCAAATAACTGATTGGTTAATCCACATGTGACGGCATGCTGGATTGAAAAGCATGTAATTGTTTTTTGTGAAAACAATTGCGAATATTTTTCTAAGGGACGAATCAACTCGTTGGCCTGTTCGAAATCGAATAATATTGGTCCATTTTGGTCCAAAATGATGACGATTCCTTTTGTGAATCTTGTGGATGAATTTCATCGGATAACAAAATGCTTGCTTGTTGTTCGTGTTGTTCTTGTTGATATTTTGTCACAATATAAAAAATTGAGACGGGAACAACAGCAGCAATGATAAAGAGCAAAACAAGAAGTGCATAATACAACACGTTAGCATGCTTGGATGTGAATGTGTGGGAACCACGATGATTGGATGGGTGGGTTTGTTGTTGCAATAAGAGATCATTGGAAGATATCAATTCATCTTCGTCATTCTCCGAGAATTCAAAAGACTCAGTATCAAGCGGAGAGAATGCATGCGGTTTCATATCTGGATTCTTTCAAGAATTCGTTGTATCTGAGGTGAGTTATCTTTTTTTTCGTTTGATTTTGTATTTGGCATCTTACAAAGCTTGCTTATGGAACAAAATCAAAATACAACTTTTGAAGGCGGGAATCCTCGTGATCATTATCCAAGTCTCAACTAAAATGCAACTTCTGAGAGTCCAATTTCACTCTGTGATGACCAATTTCAAAAGTTTGAACCTATTCGACAAATGAGTACAATGACATAATACATTCGTCAGAAAAACCTGTAAAATGTATTGAGTTAAACACTTGCTTATTACAAGCCGTTCCATCCCATCACTTGTTCAAAATCTTTTTCTTTAGACTCTCTTTTTTGGATTGTTTTTGATTCTCCAGAGATGCTTTGAATCGCATGTGTGTGTCCATCATGACAATACAAATTTCATTTTCCACAGTGTAAAATAAATCTTCAGGTAATTGTTCATTTTGAGTGGTGGCAAAGAAGTCCAATTGTTGTTTCACACCCTCAGCAAAATGTTTGCTAATATTCACGGATTTATCTCCATGCACGTCCAAATAGTCAGTGTGAATTTCGAATGCAAGTTCAAACTTTTTCTTTTCAATTTCTCGTAAATCCTTTTCAGTATAGCCCTTCTTCTTTTTCTTCTTGTTGTTCAAATCAGAACCATTCATTGCAGAGCCAGCCTCTGAGGTTACATCAGAAATACTTGAAGTTTCACTACTGTCATACAAATACACTTGAATGTCAAAACTTTTTTCACAAAGTGTCTTGTAATCATTGATCTTATCCAGCAAGGAAAAATTTTCCAAACTCATCTCTTTCTTACAGTGTTCCTTAAATAGATTTTTCAATTTGTTGTCGTGCATCGTATCTTGAAGCAATAATGCCTTCACTTGCTTCAACTTTTTGGAATTGGAGGTATCGCGTTTCAAAGAAACGAAAATTGATGCCACTACTGTGGGAGCCACCACCACAAACGAGACAACAATGGTCACCAAACACGCTGTGGTCATGATGGTATTGAAATTTCTTGCAAATGTCTGAAGACCCAACAGGTAATCTGTGAGTGGTTGAAATTCTTCAGAATAAGCCTCCATGTTGCTTCGATAGGATGGCGAGTCTAGTATTTGCATGGCTCTCGAAAAATTTCCCTCTTTCAACATGGAAATGACTTGCTGTTCAACTGCAATCGCCTTAAACGTTTTCAAATCATTGACCGTCATGTTACGAGAGGTAAAAGTCGTTCGCATAAAAGTAGGTAAACCTGTAACCATATCATCCATATTGGCCAAGAACAATTTGGAAAAGTTTTCATATTTTACAATGTATCGCATGGAAATGTCTTGAGTAAAATTCGAAAAGACAGCACTTCGACATGCACCAATCATTCCTTCTCGATAATAGGCACTCGAAACATCGAAGCCATCAAATTTGTGAGCAAACATAATTTGTCCAACAAAAGAAAATGTAATGATCAGTGCTAGTATGATGAATGCAATGAGATTTAGGGTCATGGAAGTGAGGCTGAGCATTTTCATTCCACTCAGTTGTAACACGCCAAAACATGTCTTGATGTGAATGGAACCGTCACCACCACTAATGCTTTTAGAGAGGGTAGTTTTTGTGGAATGTTGAGCAACGGATCCATGGGAGGCATGTGTCGCTGATGTTTTGACATTCATACCTTGTTTGATAGCATTTTCGATATGGGAGAAGCCACCGAAAAATTCTGGACTTGTGACACCTTTCTTTTCTTGAATCTGTTGCTCGCCATCAAGACTGACATTTTCAATAGTGACAAATTTGTCATTTGAAGGAATGGTCTTGGATGGTGTTAGAGATTTGTGGCTCGTTGCTGAGAGAGAAAAGGCTGAAATCAATTCTTTGGAGCTATGCTGATCGTTGTAGCCGCCTATCGTGAGGCGTTCATTATGGGTACATGTTAAAGAAGGAACGAAACTCGATGGTGATGTAGGAGGAGAATGAAAGGAAGAGAGAGATGTTATCACTTGTGTACCCTCGTTGTCATGAGGGTGGTTGAGAGAAATTTGGCTATTTTCAGAATAATCGCTGGTATTGATCATGCTGTTTGGTGTTGGGTGTTTTGTTTTTTGGTGTTGACCTTTGTGGTAGACAAGTTCGCAAAAAACCCTTTTCACCTGCATCATCAATCACAAATACCTGCAGAGTAAACCTATTTTGGTCTGTCTGACCTAGTGAAAAGGATCATGATTCCTTTTCGGATGACAATCATTTTGGTTCCGAGCTTTGTTTGTGATGACGCTAACACTCTCGTTTTCAAAAAGAGACTCCTCATAATTTTGAAAGCATCAACGTATCATTCCAAAAGTACCCTAGTTTCAATCATCAGACATTCCAAAAATCAGAGGTAATATCTCTGTTCAATTAATCAGATTCCACTGGGATGAGGAGTGGTTCAACAACGGTATTCTTCTTCTATTAGTAATTAATAATCTTCATCGAATATTCTGCTTTCCGAGAGAAGCCGTACCATCCAAACGGCTTGAAGCATTTTTTGTTGAAATTCCAAGTCTTTGCAAAATCGAGAACTGACCTTGTGGCTTAACTGGAACGGATAAGCCAACAACTGAAACATTTGTTGCTTGGATTATTGAGGAAGCAGATTGATTCAGAAATCGTCATGTTTTTGTCTGACTATGAAAAAATGCAACAGAAGGATCGCATGAGGACTCTTGAATTCATTCAAAAATCGTTGTTGGATGATGCTCAGAAGAACAATACAAGAGCATGTCCGTTTTGTTTGCAAAATATTGATGTGGTTCAATTATCGGAACATGTTTCTCATTGTTTGGAATTGTGGAATGATTTGCGAACGAAAAGAAGTGCAGAAGAAAATTCAGATCAAAAGAGAAAATTATTTTCTCGTGATGAGAGTGATTATGACAATGACGAGATGAACTTGAATTCAATGAAAAAGAAAAAGATTTTTCAATACCAATATCAAATACTTCCCAATGACATGATTCGCCAAATATTATCATTTCAAGAAAACAAATTTTTGATTGGAGTTTGCATGAGAGTGTGCAAACAGTGGTTGGAAATTGTTCGAGCCGTTCCCCTGGAGCTTGAATTTTGCTATGAAACTCTTTCAACTGTTCAACATATTCTTGAAAATCAAAGCGGTCTATGTATAACCAAACTCGATTTGAAAGACATGAAATACAACGATATTAGGATAAATACATTATTACAGAACAAGAATTTGGATAAACTCCAAACATTGGAATTACCTCGTGTTTCGAAAGAGGATATCACAGCCATATTGGAATGTCCTTACATGAGCAATTTGAAAGAATTAAGTTTAAATTGCTGTCACAACTTGGGAAATTATATTTTAGAATCTGTTTGCAACAGTATTCATTTACAGAGACTTAACTCTCTAATATTGGCAGCATGCAATATTACTCCTGAAGGATTGGCAGCTCTCACCACCTCCTCTGTCACAAGAAACTTAACAAAGTTAGCTTTGGATGGTGATGAATTTGGTGATGAAGGAGCCAAGGTTCTTGCAGAGTGTTCGTCATTAAGTAATCTTCGATGTTTAAAATTGACGTTTGAAAAAATTTATGATGAAGGCATACGTAGTGTATGTGAAAATTCAACTTTTGAAAATCTTACTGAATTGGACCTGTCCTCGAATAGAACAACAGATTCAACAATAACATGCATCAGCGAAAGCAAATATTTGACAAATATTCAATATTTGTCGCTGTCTGGCACCTGGTTAATGGATCCACAGAAATCACTTTCCTGCTTTACAAATTGTCAAAACATGAAAAATCTGAAAAGCCTTGATCTTTCATTGGTTGATATATTCTCTGAGGGAGCTCAAAGTATTGCGAAAAACTCTATAATGAGTAATTTGATAGAATTGAATCTGTCCGGATGCCAAATAGAAGATGAGGGAGTCATTGGAATTGCCACGAGTGAATTTATGAAAAATTTGAGAACATTGATCTTGGCTAACAATGAAATACAAGCAAATGGTGTGACTTCTCTCTCCAAAAGCCCATATTTATCCAGATTAACATCGTTGAATTTGGACGACAATCCAATTGGGAATGCTGGGGCCACAGCTATTGCATCCAGTTTTGCAAAATTAACAAATTTAAACATTTCAGAATGTGGAATTGGCAATGACGGACTGAAGGCAATTTGCAACAGCACAACTCTCACAAATCTTGTAAAACTTGTGCTGTGCCAATCACCAGCAATTACGAACTGGGAAATTTTAGCTTGTTCATCAAATTTGTCAAATCTTTCAGCACTAGAATTGGACGGTAATGATATTGGGATCGCTGATGTTTTATTGATTTTAAAACATTTGAGAAATTTAACGTCTCTGCATGTGCAACAAAGCACCATACCGCTTCATGAAACTGTCATTGAAATGATCCAAGAGTGGTATCCAAATTGTGAAATTTTCGCATTTTGTTCCAAGATGTTCAAGCCATTCTGTTTATAACCGATTCGAGGAGGACATTTTCGGCCAAACACAAAACACGCGGAAGGTGGTGTTGACTTGTTGTTGTTGTTGTCTGCCTGGACATTGAAAACAATTTTGATTGAATTCGCTTTCCTTCTGAATTTGGAATGTTGGGATCTTTAGTACATAGTTTTTTCATTTCCAAAACAAAATGCCTTCACTCGCCTTTAAGAAAACCGAACGGTTTTACTCCAATATATTCATGGCCAACAACAAGAACCTTAGCCAAGGTAGGATGGCCACAACCACCACCACGAATAAGATGCTTCTTCTTGTTCATCATCTCAACACTCAAGGAAATTTGGTTAAAAGTTTTTCAAGTCATCACACCATCACTCGGATCATCATGAAAGATCCCATGTCCAGTACTGGCCATTCATCTTGTTCCAAAAAGGAAAATTCATCTGTGGATCCATCTTCTGGATTTCGACAATTCAAACAATTTGCAAATTTTATGTTTTCTGTGAATTTTGCAAAAACCATAAAAGAAAATGCAATGGAGAGAATACTCTATAGTCAACATGATATCCAGCGATTGGAAAAGGATTGTGGAGATCCGTATGAAAAGAAATATTTCATTATGGGTGTGAAACGTTTATGGATGGATCGAAATGGAAATTTCACATCATTACCAAAAGTTTATTCGTATATAAACAATCATTTGATTGGATATTGTGTCTTGGAGAAAACCAAAGAAGAAACGAATCATCATCTGCCTTTACGTAATTCTGATTTAATGAATCATTTTGAAAAGTCACTTTTTAAGGCAAACGATGAGAATTCTTGGATTTTGGAAAAGGAAAATTTAGAATTCCTGAAACAAACCTTACATTCCAACAAGGACTTATCCAACGTTCAACTTGCCTTTCTTTTGAAATCCATAAATGAATGGAATTTTTATAGTCGTGAAGAAAATTTTAAGGAACTCGATCTAGTGGACACGGTCGTACTGGAATATGGCGACACGTCAGATATTGAGTATCATCTTGATATCATGTTAGAGTATGGTTTGAACGCATCAAGAGAATTACAAATTCCATTACATGAAATACCCATCTATTTGTTTTACACAAATTTCACACAAAAAAAACAATTGGAACTTGCGGTTAAAAGATTAACTCACAGTTCTGGCCAAACTCAATTTGAAGAAGAAGTAGAACATGAAGATATCCATTCCAAGCATGATCAAACTTTTCCCAAGTTTATAATTTCACAAGCTCCAATCATGTATTATCCTAAACTTTGGAATATTTTGCGAGCTATTGGAGAAATGATGTATTTGAACTTCCCTTAAGTTATTAACATGGTTAGAAGAATAACTTGACATTAATAAACGACCATTCGTCTCTGGAATTTCTTATCACAAGAAGGTTGAATGTAGAGCTTTTTGAATCCGTCATCCTGTTGTTGTTGTTGCTGTAATTTTGAGTCTGAAGCTATTCCAATCGTTTCTCGTATGGCACTCATGGAACTCGTTTCATTCGAGTCCGTCATGGAACTCTCTTCACGAATATCTTCAAATCCCATGTCATTGGTGGTCACAGTTGACACTCTTCTTGCCATGTCATTCGAGTGTTCACTTGCCAAATATTGTGAAAGTTGAAATTGATCCTTAATGACATTTCCTTCGCTCGTGTACAGAGATTTTAACTCGAACAATGCTCCTTCCATGAGAATGGCCAATTTTGTGTTGGAAAATTCATGTTCGATTCGTTGTTGCAATTTTTCAAATGGAATGCTTCTCTCAACAGAAAACACTCGAGATTCATCTGTGAGCGGTGAAAGAACCTTAATAATAATGTGTTCATCATTCACCAGAGGTTGATACAAATCTGGATAGAGTAAGCTGTGTTTCCTTCGAAATTTTGTTTGATTTTGCAAAAATTCTTTGAGATTGGAAATGAATCGTTGCTGATGATCGTGATTTTTCATTTTCAAAGTTTTAAAGAGTTGAGAGGTCTCCTTCGATGCTTTCGAAATTTGATTCACCTCCAACACACACATTAAATCCAGTCCAGAAATATTCTTTTTTTGAACTCGGTCACAATACTCTTCCACCGCACCATCTCCTCCAAAATAACAATTATTCACTAAAAATTTACAGACATGAGCACTGGTCCATTTAGGAATTGGAATGGGTGACATCCATTCTTTAAGGTCACAATGGTCCATAGCCATGAGTATTGAATTGTAATTGTGTTGTAATGCATTCACAAAGGACTCTTCTTGTAAAGGTAATGTACATGTTTCATTGGGAGTGGATTTGTGTGAATGATGATGATGAGCGTCTTCAAACGATGAGGACGATGCATCGCTGTTACTGTCATTGGATGACGTGTTTCCCTTTCTTCTCAACAAGACGTCTACAATGGATTTTCGTTTCTTCTTTTTTGACAAGACATAATCTCCAACGTTCATATCCACAGCTGGAATGGCACCGACGTTTTGAACGAATAATTTGTACATGTAGTGTGAATTCAATTGATGAATTTGTTTTCTAATAAACATTTCAAATTCAGCGGTGGATTTAAATTCATCAAACGATTCCACTTGCAATTGCTGTGAAATATTTGTCATCAAATCTCTGAATGGATACCATTTGAATTGTGCAAACATTTCCTGTTTCAATAACGAATCAATATCCTCATTCGAATGAATGTGATCGTTTAAGGTATCCATCAAACATTCATCGGCAATGACAATTTTCTTCAACTTTTCCAAATCCTTCTCGCTTAATTTGTGATCCTTCTCATAAAGCATGTAATTGCAAAATCGCATAACATTTTCCAATAAACTATCTTGATTTGAAAAACTACATCGAGTATTGTGAAATATTTTCGTTAGAATATTGTAGTCCTTTCGAGCATGATCCAACACGTTGTGTGTAGTGTTGAGAGAAATGAATTTGACACTCGAGAGGTCATAGTTTTGAATCGAAGAGCATGAGAGTGATACATTTGTGCTACTATACTCGTTATCATTCACATATTTACAATAAATTAAATCTACACTCTGAAGCATTGCATTGACACTTTCCAAAAATCGTTGTGAAGGTGTTAAAAATTCTTCCTGAGTGGATGAAAAGGAGTTGTTGGTGCCCGCATTACTACTTCTTCGAAATGCAAGTGTTGGACTGTCAGCAGTATTATTTTCATAATTTAAAAATTCATCCGTGCTGCTCTTTGAGGAAAATGCAGATTTTGATTTGCTGTTGTTGGATGGACTGTGACGAGAGTGATGATGATTTTGTGGAGATTCTACTGAACTAGTGTTCGATGATGACAGAATTGAATGAAGTGAAAATAAGTGTTGTGCTGAATGAGGTGGCGAGTTAGGAGAGTTCATGAGAGGAGGAGAAGTAGGCGCTTGTTGATCTGGACTCTTTGGACTTTTAGGACTTTTCAGAGAAAATAATGTGGAGATGAAACCTGAAGATTGATCCGAATGTCGACTGTTCGAAGTGGGCGAGCGAGATTTTGTCACAACTGTATTCATTTCTGTTGTTGCATGTTGAAAACTATCTCTTTCTGTTGATTCTGAAGAGGTTGTTAAAGGATCGTTGTAACATGAAGAATTCTGACAACTCTGACTCCATTCGGAATGATTCAAAGTATTCAATGACTGAAACGAAGAATTCATGGTCGATCCAAACATGTTAAATAAATTCCGAACGACTCGTCTCACTCGATCCCTCATGACAAACATGTCATCCACCAGCAAAATATTCTCATCATTTTGTCGACTTTGTAAATAATGTAACAAGGCATGTCGAGCTTGTGCATCATGAATAAACGAATGATACGAAGTATAAAATTGATAATCATGACCGCTTCCACTCAAAGAATGACTTGACAACAAACTCGAAGAAGAGTTAGAAGAATGATTGGGATGAAAAGAGGATTTTTGAGATGCGAAAGTTGTAGGAACATGTTCTTGAGAGAAATTTGAAATTGTATTCGGAAGTGCAATGGATGGAAAAGTAGAAGAGCCTATTGTTGTTGTTGTTGTTGATGGAAGAGTTGTAGTAGTAATAGTTGAAGAAGAAGAATTTAAATTCATTGAATTGGGTAAAGAGTGAGAATATTCGGAAAGAGGAGATGAAGGTTTTTTGGGTGAGAGGGTGCTTAGGGAGGCATAAGTGGAGGTAGCTGAATGAGCCTCGTGTGGTTGTGACATTTTTTGAAATATGACCAAATGAATATCTCTGATTGTCTTTTATGGAAGTTTGAGATAGACAGTATGGCGGCGCATCCGACGTTGAAGCGCACTAAAAACCTGTCAGATATTCGTCAAGTCAAAAATGAATATGAAAGCATAAAAAAATTTATTCGTTGAATGTCATGCAGTAGAATTGGTAATAGTTCTGGTTTAGGGTGCTAGCAAAGATCTGTCTTCCGTGAGCTGTTCGTTGGCACGCTGTTGTTTTACAAGCTTCAGCTGAAGCGAATAATGGTGTAACGTCCTATGGCCTCTATATTTCGTTTCAGTTTGTCTGTTCTTCAAACCCTTGCAAACCAATCAGGAAGAGACTCACTCATTTTATTTTTGATTCCTTTGTAGTTTACTCAAATCAGCTGACGTGGGATTGACGAATATCTGACAGGTTTCTAGTACCAATTGCGCCGCCATAGGTAAAAAAAAACAGTTTGACAGGTTGGCAACTGGATGACATTGAAAACATTTCTTTAGAGTTGATGTCAATATCCTTTCATTTAGATTGTGTTAAATAATATTAAAATTAAAAGAAAAATTCAAAAATTAATTAAAACATGAAGCTAATGTCAATACTCATTTTGAAATTCATAACCAACATTCCAGAACCAGAAAACTGTTTGGTACAATTGGGGAGGCGGACAATTTTTGGCTCACTAAATAGCCATCATAATTTGCGAAATTTTTCGCAAGCGAAAAACTCGATAGTAGAAGGCTCATGGCTGTGTTCAAAACCTGGACACTGGTGTTGCGTCAATAAATTTCTTACACCTATTATACTTGAAATCATGGTTCTGTTACATCCAATAGCCATGAGTTTAAAATATAACGGGCTAAAAGTGACAAACAGAGATACGTGATTCTTCTTTTTTACTTTGAAAAAGCTTTGTCAAGCTCACGAACGCTTTTTCGCTGTGATGCAGGTTTTCCGGAAACTTTATTTTCTAACAGTGAGTAGAGGGTATATGATAGGCACAATCGTGGAGTTTTGGTGCGTCCGGCAAATATGCAAAGGGACTAACGAGCGCTTGGTCTAGGTACCTCTATTTTGTACTTCACTTTTTTAGACCTGATTTTGCAGGGGCAACAAGAAACAAAAATGAAGCAAAGACTTGGCGAAAATCATTCTTATCAAGTTACATCATCATACTCTTCGGAATTGACAACACCTCAACAAATAAGTATTTAGAAATTAAACAAGATGCCCTTGCCTGATGCGATGACTGTGGAATTATTGGATGAAGTTGCTTGAGAAACTGAAGCAAAAATCGTTTAGTCGAATAGTGGTTTGGACTTGTAATTGATAGTAATTTGTTGTAGTAGTGTTTGTTATTTACTTGATTTCAATTCAGAGTGATAGTAATTGAAATCGAATAATATCACTTGAAAATACAAGTGAAATGTGGTTAAATAGTATGCTTGACAATATGATGGTGATAACTGTTTCACAGAATGAAATGCTATCGGATTGATATGTTGATCGTTCGAACAACAAATCATCAGCTTTATTCATTGGAATGATTGTTTCATGGAATGCGAGTTGCTTACTGTCCTCGGAAATCATTATTTCTTGTGAACATGTATAACTCTCCTCTCTCGTTCTTGTGATTAATTCTATCATCATCATAGGTTGTGATCTATGGTTGAAGTGTCTTGTGTGAGTGATTGAAGTCATGATGAATTATTGTTGTGGTATGTATGTTAATGAACATTTAAAAATTATTTATGGGCTCGCTTTCGATAAACAAACGATTGTAATGTTGTTTTGTATATTGCGAAGAGTTTTTATGGCTATTGATGACGGATGTGATCACCATTTACAGAGTAACATCATGAATTTTATTGTGATGAGACCATGTCATTCCGAGAGTGAGTTTGGAATTAACATTACATGTCAACATATCCACCATGATGAGTGAAGTATATTCATACTCATTTCATTCACTGATTCATCAGTTTATGGAAATGGTGTCTCACTCTTTAAATTCATTTTTCACATGACATTACAATACAAATTAATTTCAAGAATGTCACAGTGATTTTGTATGATAGTATTTATTATGACATTGTTATTTTGAACTTTGTGGAATTTATTTATTTGAATTGATTTTATTGAGTGGCATCTTGGAAGTGCAGAAAACATTGTGAATTAATTTTGGGAGAGTGAACTAAATGATAATTTCTATAATAGAGACAATAGCGTACAAAATATCGATGTGGTGTAGAGTAGAAAAAACGTGGCAAGCATACCAAGTAATCCTTGTGTGATGAACAGAGCAAAAATGATGTTCGTCCTTGAATAATTTGTACATGATCGAAGCAACCAGTGGCTCGCACTAGCCTTCTTTCGTTGTGAGTCGTTTTTGAAAAAACACATCACGATGGTTGGTTGGGATGACTAATTTGTTTTTGAAATTGTATTTATACTCTCTCAATCTGTATATTTCACAACATGCATTCCAAACATCAACAAATACAAAAATTAATTGTTGATGTTTGGAATGCATTTTGCGAAGTATATGTTTGGGGGTAACAATAATAGTCATGTCACAATTTGTTGTGCATGACAGATACATAGTGTACATCATTTTGATCAAATTTTGGATTCGGAATTCCTTAAGTGAACTTTTCGTGAAATGTTTACCAATTGACAATTTAATTTTTTCGTTACGAACAATTTAACTCTCTTCAAGATTAAGCATGACGTGTTGAGATGGAAGAAATTGTCAAGCATGATATGTGGAATTCGCTAACTTTATTGTTGCACCAACAAAAAATGACATTTTGTTCTTGTTGTGGAAAACAACACATATCTCTTGCAGGCAAAGCTCCCGAACAGTTTCGTTTATGCCAAGCTGAAAAGCAAAGATCGGATCAGTGGTGTAACAACTGCTACAGGAGGTATAAGAATTACGTACAAGGATCAACAACAGCCACATCAAACGCATCACCAACAACAACAAATACATTCGGTACACCATCACTTCAAAATCTTGACTATTATTCAGCCTATGATACAACGTTCTCACAACTAAACGCTACTCAAAATTGTGAATTTAATCATGAAACAAACTCACAACACTCATTATCATCTCCGATAACAATAGACTCTGAGTCACACAACTGTTCATCACCAAATTTCTTTGATATGATTACTCCTCAACGATTTCTACTCACCAATATTTCTGATTACCCAACTATTGACAATAATTTATTACGAAACACCTTACTATATTCTGTTCCTTCATCTTGGAACAAACAAAGAAGCTCGTATTATTTATCAAAGACCACATTTGAATGTCCTGTAGTAATATATGATGTTAATTATACAGTTCTAGATAAGGTTGCGTTGTACAATTTATTAACTTCGCAAGGATGTACTATTTCGAAAGATGTGCATCAATGGTTGAGAGAAAAACTTGCTGAAGAAATTAATAATCGAATACACACAGAAATTATCAAAGCTCAAATTTCAAAATATTCTAATAAGAATAATTATGCACAAGTTAGTATAATTAATCAAGAGACCATTAAGACGAACAACTCCACATCAAGTGTAGATCCAGGATCAACATCAAATACCATCCCACACAAAAAAACCTCTCGAAAAAAGAGCAAGAAAAAGAAATCTAAAACCAAAGAAAAAAAATCAACGAAAGGGTTTATTAATTGTGACAAAGCCTTTGGTTTAGTGTGTGGAAAGTGTGATGGACAATTTTTGAAACGCAGGCCATTTCGACGAGCAATTAAAAATATTAAGGAAATGACTGCCCAAAATCAAAAACTCACTTCAGATAGACTTGTTATTGGTATTCAAGAGATATTGAAAAGCAATGGTCAAACTCTAGACGACATTATTGACTATATATTTGAAAAAGATCCAGATTCTCTCTACAAGAGAATTGACTCCTATGTATCAAAAGGCCATACCAACTACACAAGACTAGCACATCATTTTCAAACACTAACATCACCTGAATTACAAGACAATTTATCACCTGAAGGTGCTGTGTACTTTACAGACACCAGATTGATGTCAGATCATCTCTTTTGCGAGCATTATCAATATCATGCATTGAATTTTATTGTCTGTACCAAAGAAAAGCTTAAAGAACAGCGTGATGAAATGAATGAATTAGTTCAACAAATATTTCACATGTCTCATGACAACAATTCTCTTCATGTAGACGTTTCGTGTTTACTGCATGAAGTAGTTGATCTTATAGTGAAGTTGGAAGGAAAAATTCCTGAAAAATTGGAACTGAAAAGTTTTTGGGATGGCCGTTCTACCAATGAAGTCATTCATGCATTTGTAATTCTTAACAGTATTCTTTCTACACAATGCAGATACAATGTATTCATAACAGATATGTACAAAGGACAAGAAATTCATAAGAATGTTTCGAAATATTTTGATATAAGTTTTTCAATATTGAATGATTTGGTTGAACACGGATTTATTTACACTTTTGAGGAAAATGGGGTGAAGAAAAGCGTAACTCTACCTGTTACAGTATATATATGTGCAGATTTGTCAGCATTATGGAAGCTCTGTGATGAAACATTTGTGTGCCCATATTGTGATTGTACTCATGAAAATTATAATACAATATTTGAATACAATCACTCTCTCGATTTTAATTGCAGAAATATTATTCTAGAAAAATACCCAAAATTGATGGAACATGTTGTCATTGATGTACTTCATGCAAAGCTTCGAATTGTTGGGAATTTGTTGGCTAAATTAATGTTGAAACTGTGTCCAGATGAATTAGAGGCAGTTAAAGATATAATTCGACAGTTCCCATCACTCTCAAAATTTGAATTTAAAGAAAAACCATTTTACAAGCAACAGCTGGCAATGGAAGCAAACAAAGTCTATCAACCACCTTACCTCAATGGAAAGCAAGCGGACACCTTATTACTCAATTTTGAGAAAATTTTTTTGGAGGCCTTAAACAAAAGCAGCTTTGATTCACAAGATGTTGCAATTTGGTCAATGTTTCGATATATAATTTATGGATACATGGAGGCCCCTTCGCAATTACTTGCAAAGCAAAATATTGAGGAAGATTTAATTCCAACGTTGAAAAAGTTAAATGAGATGCTTCGTTTACACTATCCCAATGAAAACTTTGGATATTATGTCCATATTGTTTTGAATCATTTGCCTTATTTATTGAAGAAATATGGCACCCTTACTCGTTTTATGAATCAAGGATGTGAAAGCGTTCACAGTTTAGGTCGACTTATCAATGAAAGAAAATCGAATCACAAACCGAACGGTTCTCTTCCAGGGTTTGCTGAATGTGTTTTATTGCCATTAAGAGTGTTATATATGTCCACTCGAAGAGGAAGGGACTGGATAGGTAACAAACAAGAGGACAAATCAATTTCCAAAATTTGGCAAGAAATGCTTGAAACGTGGAAACAAGACATCGCTTCCATTGATATTAATGATGAGGCCTTAGAAAAACTCGATAAGACTGCTGAGGAAACATCATTGTCAAGCACTGTCGTCAAAAAGTGCGTGTGGGAAAAAGCAAAGAAGAAAACGAATTCCATTAAGAAGAAAATTCAACACTGTACAAGAATTTTTGAGAACGGATCAAATGCGAAAGTATCGTCGCCTCCTGACAATTCCATTAAGGCCTGTATGCGATGTCAGAAACAACATGCCAAATGTGATCACAAATCTCCTTGCTCTAATTGTTTGAAAATTGGTGCTCAATGTGTTTATGAGCCACCAAAGAAGAGAGGAAGAAAGCAGAAATCAATATCTGCTCAGAAAACAATCAAAACTACTGAACAAAGACAAACGTTCAGCAGGAAACCATATGCAGAAACATATGAATCAGAGATTGAATTTTGTGATGCATTGGATGATGATTTTTTCTTAATACCAAACGACTCGCATGTTTTGGAGAATGATGTAGACATGGAAGATGTTTTTCGGATGTTTGAGGATACTCAAGCTCAAGAGGAGATTCTAAGCGATGCTGATATGGAAGATGTTTTCAGGGAACTTGTAGATACTTCTCATGCTCAAGAAGAGAGTTTTGAACATGGTAATGCAGAAATGGAAGAAGATTCTGACGAGATTGTGGATAGTAGCGAAGTTGATGTTGATGGTGAAGTAGAATTCCTCTCTGATTTCGAATATTCGGAATGAATGAATCACAACATGATGATTTGACAACCTTCTCTCCTTCAGATGTTCTGATATGATTGTAACCTTAACACATTAATGTAAGTATGGTTCTTGTTTAATTAATATTGACGTCAATAACAGATTGTTTCAACTCAAACTCTGGTAAATTAAGTAGTCTTGGTCCACCTTCCAGACATTCCGTCACGATCAATCCACATGACATAATTAACCATTTCCCAGTTGCAATATACTCTGTTGTCATAATCATTGACAACAATGGTCAAGCTGGTATATTCTGATTTTTGAAAGGTTGGTTGTTTCTCTGTAGGAAAATGCAAATTCATGTACCAAAAGGAATCATTACCGAGCTTGGGTAAGCCAGTTTCGGACATGAAGCTGTATTTGAATACTCGTACAGGAACCTCTTCACGATTGATATTAATGCTTGTTTCAACAACCTCCTTCTTACATTGATAATTACGACACAAAATCCAATCCAAAACAGCATATGGAAATCTTCCAAGATTCAAACTTGAACCAAATTTCATACCACCTGGTTGTAAATTAGCCTTCAAAGTAGCATAGGCTTCAGCACAAAATTCATTCCATCTCCTCTCAAGATACAACATCATGTCACAGAATGACATGAATGGTGTTTGCAAATTCTGGTTCACTCTCTCCAAACATTTCCAAAACTCCTCACGTGGAACAGGGTTGGCCACAAAATTCACAATTATATCTACTCGTTTTTGATGAGCCTCAACAGTTTTCACCCAACGACGTTTACGAAACTTGCCAACAATTCCGATACGGGTGGTTTTAGTGATTCCTCGTGTAGATCCTGTATGAACTCCGATGAGGTACGTAATACTTCAATTGTTTGTCAACATGCAGCAATACTTACTTTTAGAAACGTCATCCTTTAGCTTTTGCTTCTTTGATGGTTGAGTGAAGTAAGTGTTGTTGTAATGGATGAACTTCTTTGTTTCATTGTGAACCTTAACCGTCTTACTGTATTGGATGACCATGTTGCGTGATGTATCTTAGTTGTTCTAGGGATGAATGATGATGATGATGTTTACAAGTACAACTATTATTAAATGATAATATCAATCAACATACAGTTGAAAAGGTGATGATTGTGACATTAACATGATGAAAAACTTACAGGGAAGAAATGTGGTCGGGATGTGTGATGATAATAATTAATATTTTGCAGAAGAGGTGATGAACAATTATTTTGCACTAAGATCTTGTATTGATAAAGGAGATATAGTGGCGTGATGATCAGTAATCACTTACATTGGAGATGTGTATTTCTCGGTTTGTGTTGTCGTGTTTTTTTGTTGTTTGCTTTGCTGAACATTTTCGCTTGCGGAGTATCAGGTATTTTTTTTCTGTGGTAGCTATTTAATTGTCCTGCCTCTGCATTGTTTTCAAAAAAACTTACAAAAAAATGTCTGCAGAAGGGGAGGATTTGTTTGATGATTTTTTAAATTCAAGATTGGAGGACGATTCAGAACACGGTGGCGGCTCTGTTAAATTGAATGCGAATGACGGAGCACATCATGATACGGCCGAGTTGAATGATGAAGAATTTGAAAAACTGTTGAACGAATCCGAGACTGAGCCTCATCATCAACAATCGGAATTGGCCACAAGTACGACTCAACAACAGCCAACCGTAAATGTTTCTTCAACGGAATCATCATCATCAAATACTACTACTGTACAGCAACAAACCTCCGTGAAGGATCAAAATACCGAAGATGAGGATGATGGAGAGGTGATTGAATTTCAATGGACCGATGAAGATCAAATCAAGGATGAAACCGATCAAGCCAAACAAAATGAATTAATTTCCAAAATTTCTACCCATGGAGCTCCAAAAAGAAAGAGAAGCACAGCATCGAGTGTTACTGGAGAGTCCTCAACAGCGTCATCATCTGCAACAACAACAAGAACGACTGACAGTAGTAGCACCGGTGCTGGAGGCAATCATCATCAAGAAATTGTAGAAGCACGAATCAGTTTAATGATCTCTGATATTTTGAATAGATTCGGAAAGGTCATTGATATTGACAGTAGAGGAGAGGCCATTGAAATGAGAATGACAGACTTACGGAAGGAGGAGACGGAATCGTCCTATTCTTTTGCCAAGTTAAAAGAATCTCTCCAAAGAAAACTTGTGGTTCTCGAATGTACAATAGACAATCTATGCACATTAATTGACAGAAATGTGCAACGTAAAACCCAATTGAGAGAAGCTAAAAAACTACTCAAAGACCAATTGGTAAAGACTTCTGAATTGTGCTCGGAAAAGTCGAAACAACTCGAGGAGACAAAAGAAAAGTATAAAAAGATGGAGGCGATCTATCAAAAAGACAGAAATAATCTATTACAAATTATTGAAACGCTGAAATCACAAATTAACGATCCAGAAAACGAGGTTGTGAAAAATTTGAAAATTCCAGAGGATCCTAATACTGTGCTCATCAAGAGGATGACTCTGCCTTGTCCACTCTGACAAAATCTCTCCTTACTTCACTTCCTGATTCTTGGAAAAATGTCACAACTACACCAACCAAATCACAACCATCAAGCAGCTCAGCAGCCAGTACGATGCAGACCTCGCCTCGAAGCAACAAAAATCGTACATCCTCTTCATCCACTTCAAATTCTACAACCACTCCAGTCGATCCACTCACTGCTGCTTCAACATGGTTTTCCTCTTGGATGAAGTAACAGGAATGTGGTGTTTCTGGTTTTATTCACAAAACGAATAACTTTTGTTAACTTATTAAACATTTTGGAGAGAAGAGTTTTTTCATCCATGAATGTGAGTAAATCAAACTTGAA